CCATGGATATCAATATCCCTGAGTGCATATATCAAAGGCTTCAAAGTATATGGCTCCTATATTTTATATCCCAACTTTATCCAACCATGGATATCAATATCCCTGAGTGCATCTATCAAATGGTTCAAAGTATATGGCTCCTATATTCTATATCCCAACTTTATCCAACCATGGATATCAATATCCCTGAGTGCATCTATCAAATGGTTCAAAGTATATGGCTCCTATATTCTATATCTCAACTTTATCCAACCATGGATATCAATATCCCTGAGTGCATATATCAAAGGGTTCAAAGTATATGGCTCCTATATTCTATATCTCAACTTTATCCAACCATGGATATCAATATCCCTGAGTGCATATATCAAAGGCTTCAAAGTATATGGCTCCTATATTCTATATCCCAACTTTATCCAACCATGGATATCAATATCCCTGAGTGCATATAACAAATGGTTCAAAGTATATGGCTACTATATTCTATATCCCAACTTTATCCAACCATGGATATCAATATCCCTGAGTGCATCTAACAAATGGTTCAAAGTTTATGGCTCTTATATTCTATATCCCAACTTTATCCAACCATGGATATCAATATCCCTGAGTGCATATATCAAAGGGTTCAAAGTATATGGCTCCTATATTCTATATCCCAACTTTATCTAACCATGGATATCAATATCCCTGAGTGCATATCGTCGCATGAGAATAACTTTGTACTATCTCACATTTTTACGGAACTGAGAAATCAAGGTTTGAAAGTTTAGAGGTCTGTATCTTACTTAGTATTGCTATGTGAAACTTGATTTTTTGTATGTCACCTGGTCTCACCCTAGAGATATCTTATATGAAATATGATACCTTGAAACAATTTACAAGATCCTTTTTTAAAACTATGGAAATGGAGTTGATACAATTTCCCACCGGAATAACAGCTTATTTCTATAAATTGTCATATCTGATATCAACAGTTTCAACCAATCAACTCTCTAAGAATTGGTCATGTGACTTGCAAAACTTGGAGTTATAACAATCTTATATTAAAACAAAGTATGCCAATATGCATGTTATTGTATCTAGAATGAAAAATAATGTTTTGCTTTGTAAAAAAGTCTTCAAAAACCAAAGAATATTATTTAATAAAATAAAGAAAATTCAATTTATAAAACTTTAAAATCAATTTCTCAAATAAGTACAATTATTTCTTAATTTTGGAATCTCAGGACACCCTTCAAAAAGGATTTATTGCCCTTGAAACTAAGGCATAAGTACAAATGCATTGAAACCAATGATGCCAATACGGTCCCCCACATATTTCCCTCGGTATAAACCGTGTAGCCTAAACCTCCCAGCACATTACAATGTAGCCCCTAAGGGCCGGTCCGCTGGTCATTATCAGGTTATTTTTGATACAGACCAGTTGATTTTTTCACTGGGTATAGGAGAATAACATTGCAACTGGTCCGTAATTCCATTTTGACCAGCAGGTTTCAGATCCTTAGGGCCTAAGACATAACCAATTTTTATTACATGCACATGGAAGAAATTTGAAAATAGAAAAATAAATTCTAATTCATTTTAGATTAATGAAAGTGATGAAACCTCGATTTAGGTAATCACATTTTGTTCATTGGGATGCAGCTATCATTATCCATTCATTTTCTGTTGTTTGCTACTCTGTGGAGTACAATTGGGAATTGAAGCAATTGTAGAAGTGGAGACCAAGAGTGGCTCTTTGTAAAGAAATTGAACCAATTTGTTACTTTTCCAAAATAAAATGTAGATGATCTAAAAACAATGATCCCAAAAATGCAAAAGAAAGGACAAATCTGAAAAACATACTAGTAATATAATAACTAAAAAGATCCCAGATGTTCAGTGAAAAGCGCAAAGTAAATCATAGATGAAGAGAAAATAAAATAAGTGTTTTAAGGGACTATACTAACATAAAGATAACTCCTTATTGATATAGTGTATGGTCAGTAAAAGTTAAAGCTAGTTTAAATAGATTTAGCTATTTGTTTTGATTACTATATCTAGTATATAACCTATTATTATGTACTCTATTTGAAGAAACAAATAAGTAGTCTTTCATTTTCAACATTTAATGATGACAGCTTCGTAGATGCATTTCTATTGCATTTGGCCATTCAAACCCCTATAAGACTTGGTAGCAGGGAAGATAAAGGGTACTTTTGACTGCTCACATGATCTAATTAACTGGTCATTTGTACTTTTCATCTTCCCTGGTAGCGAGGATTAAGGTTTTCGAGGAAATTGGTAATTCTATTTCATATCATGTGGCCATGAATAATCCAATGAGCATCCATAATACAAAGAGTAATTGAGGGCATATAATTTGAATATGCATAGGATACTGTATCATTTTATTTTTTTGATCTACTTGTAATAGTTCTAAAACTAAAACATGAAAGGCCAGGCATGCAAACTGGCATGGTATTGTGTTACAAAACATTATTTCATTCTAGATACAATAACATGCATACTGGCATACTTCGTTTTAATATAATATTGTTATAACTCCAAGTTTTGTAAGTCACATGACCAATTCTTAGACAGTTGATTGGTTGAAACAGTTGATATCAGATATGACAATTTGAAATTAGAAATAAGCTGTTTGTCTGGAGATGGTACAATTTCACACTGAATTCTAGCTTAATGAGAGGGAATTGAGATGGGGCATGTATCTGAGATGAAAGCCTGTGTTTCAAATAGTAAAATTCCATGTCTATCTCAATTTTTTCGAAAATGGCAGTTAGTACAAAGTTATTCTCACGCGACGATATATCAAAGGGTTCAAAGTATATGGCTCTTATATTCTATATCCCAACTTTATCCAACCATGGATATCAATATCCTTGAGTGCATTTAATGATTCAATTGAAACTATTCATAAGCGGTAAGCGAGAATTTAATAACTTACTGTTACACGTACCTGTTCGGAACAGAGTGCCAAGCGCACAAACGCATATTAGAATGATTTTTAAAACTAAAAGAAGCACCCATTCAGGCAACATTTGACCGATATTTGACAACAAAAGCCCTATGATAACATGGACATCCATCCCCATGCACTAAGCCCTTAATTAAGGCCCCAAGAAGTGGGCCTTTTTAGTGATTTCTGGGCCTAAGAGGCCTTATTTTTTAATTTTAGGCCAAATTTTGAAGAAAATGGGCCTCAAAATTTCAAAATTTGGGCCCAGTTTGGGGTTTTAGGGGCCCAAAATGCGCAAGCATCTTCTCAGACCTGAAATTTGCCCCCCACCCTCCCTTATATTGTTGGTTTCCAGATCCGCCCCTAGCTGCCATGATAATACAGCCTTTAACTATTTTGTAGGAAATTAACAAATTGTTTACCCTTTGCATTCGTTTGACTTCACTTCTTAAAAGAGAGCTTCGTTTCCAAACTAGACTCTGCACGCACGGTACAAATTGTTCAAAGTTTTGAGCGAGAAATTGAGCCAGAGCGCCAACAGACCCTAATTAAATGCTAATTATCGGGAATTTATTTATTTGAAATAGTAATTTTTAAATGTCATATGTTTAATAATTCGTTTAACATTCAAATATCCTAAATAATAGGGAATTTAAGCTTGCATAGAAAATCTATAGGGGGGCCCCTCTATACGTTTGACCAATCGCCCATGATGAATATTTTCCGTTCACGTTGAGGTAAAAACATTGCAATTGCTTTCAATTCTAAAGCAACATAGTTAAATAACTTCCACGTTTGTTAGCATATAATTTAGAAAATAAATTAAGATTTATTATCCAAATTGTAAAGGCCCGTGTTAAGGAAACATTTGAATGCTATGAGTCGGCTGACGGGCCGCTCTGCATTTGCCCTCTCTCTATCTGTTGGCACTTTGCCGGAAGCCTAGATAGATAAAAACATGGATTATATCTGTCAATATAAAAATATCATGCAGTGGGTACCAAAATTGTCCCAACTATTATCCCTCTCTTCATATCAACAATCGCCAGACGGCAATTACACGGGTTACTAGAGTATCCGCGTATATTGAGTATGACCGGTTCTAAGCTTACGAATGTGACCGTATTTCTGTTCCTATAAACAGACGAGGTGAGTACTTGCTTTTTGTGAACACTTTCGAACGTTTTCTTTTTATCCTACTTGGTCAATGAATGATACTTGGTATACTTATAATGCCAGGCATATCACAAGGGGCCTTAATCAAGAGAAAACGTATTAATAATAGATTGAAGCCGTAAAGTCCTAGTTTCCAGCATCTTTGATCAGTTTTTGTGTAACACAACGCAACTCCGAAGAGGATGACACATCTTATGTATAATATATAGCTAGATCTACGAATTAGTCATGAATATTTTAAATAATTTAGCCTGTTCTGTCCAAATATGATACATCTTTGAATTTTTGAGAATACGAATGTCACTGGTGCCCCATTATTGGAGAATACGGTTGTGAAATGTCTTCCATGACATTTCACAAGCGTATCCTCTGGGAAAAGATAGATCCTTCTCTTGCTCACTCTACGCCGGGGATCATATAAACTGAGATTTGGAGATCTTGTTCAGGTTAGCCATAAAAAGGTTTGGGATTTGTTTTTTTCTACTGTGATATTAATGATTTGGCTCTAAGGCTTTCTGATTGATATTCCATTATGAACAGTTACATTGCTAAAATAGCTCACGTTTAACATTTTTTTGTTACATTATTATTAAATACAGCATAAACTAGGCTATATTCAACAAACACAATCTCAAAAAGGATAATATAGAAGTTAGCCCTTATTTTCCATTTTTAAGCAGCTGTGCCTCTCATGACTTTCCAAAACAGGTCATATTCGTAGCCTAAGAACCGGTCATACTCTATACGTGGAAACTCTAGTAGCCCGTGAATTATGAGGATCTGTTCCTGTTGTCTATTCAATTTTCCCGGGTGTGAGAATTGTACCGCACGAAAAAGTTTCAATCGATTAGTTTCTAACGAGAGTAAACTTTTGTGTTCTGCTTTTCAACTTTTGAAACTTTGGACTTCAAAATATGGCCAAAGTGCAGTGATGTACGATTGAAAGTAAAGTCTATTAACATTTTATTGAAGAATGCATGTAGCTAGTATTATATTTATTCAATTTAAGCTAACCTATCATGTTTTCAATAAGCTAAACCAAAATCTGGTTATTTTTACAATTTTTTGAAAATTGAATTTCAAATTCAGTTTAGAATAGAGTCAATACGTCTATTTCCAAACACCCCCATCAAAAAATGTAGTTAGCTTAGCTGTACTGCACATCTATGGTATGATTCTATATATATTATGTGTATTATACACTGTAGAATACATTTGCCGAAAAAATTACGAAAAATTGTAAAAAAAAACTGGGTTATACCATTTTTACTACAAGGTATTTTAGGGGGGTAATTCCGAACAGGAGTATTTTTGGGGGGTAAATCCGAACACTTACATGGGGGTAATTCCAAACACTAAACTTAAATTTAATTGTTTTAATTGTTAGATTGATGGTATATCATTATATGATACCCTGAACTTATGATACTGGATCCTGTCACCCCTTCATATCAAGAAATCCAAATTTAATTAATTTATAGGTGACATCTATTGATTGAAAGGCATATGGTTTGTGGGGGTAATTCCAAACAGGAGCATGGGGGTAATTCCGAACACCTAAATCATCATAATTGATTATTTTATTGTTAGATTGTTGTTATACATCATTATATGGTATCTTTTAGACTACAAATATTATGTAGAGGTAGTAGAGGTAATATTACTCAATTCAATGATTTGCTTGCCATTGTTTGGAACCCGTTCGTGTTTACCCCCCTGTTTGGATTTGGACGTATTGACTCTAAATGAAATACAAAGATTAATCAACCAGAATCATTATCAATGTAATATATTTTGGATGCATTGCAGTTCATTTGGCAGGGAATAAAGACCCTGCTATGGCTCAGTGGCAGAGCCAAGGTTACCAATATCGTTTGGCCCCGGGTTCGATTTCCAGTCAGAGAAGTTTGTTTGTGCGTTATGTAATTCTGGGTGTTTGACTGAGTGGTTCACGACTCGTATAAAAAGGCTTTGGTGTGTACCTGTATGTCTGTGTACCTGTGCACACAAGAGAACACCAGGGCTCCTCCAAGGAGGGTTTTCTGGCTCTATCTTCGAGTGTAACATAAATAAAATATGGAATATACCAGTCCAATGAGGTATTGCTCGCCAAATATGGCGGTAACCAAGATATAATGATAAAACATTGGCAGTCCATGTATGACCTCATGATTACACCGGGGGAGCTTGGTGCTTCGCAAGATGGAAACGTTTCAATGGTATAAATCTGGAAAATGTGTGATTTCTTGCAAAAATCGTCATCTTTCTGAGAGTGGGATTTGTACCTGGCCTTGTGTTTGTTGATCTTTCAGAAAAAAGGCTTTATAATTCCCATACAGGGGTTCGTTTTATAATGAAAGGGAGCTTTGAGGCAATGGAGGGAAGGGGAGGGGGGTCACACAAGTGAGCCTCTCAAAACCCCTATTGCTACACCCACTTACATGTTAATCATAGAATTTGAGGTAATTGATACCTGTAGTATATTGCAAAACTTGTATCCTTCAGTGTATGTATCTTGGTCTTTAGTTTTTAGTTTGGCCTACAATATGCATGTGAAATCAGGCCTGTCTGAAGGATTTCCCAAGGGGGAAGCGACTTTCACGCATGGATGGGTGAATTTCACTAACCAGGCTTTCACGTGCCAGGCGAGCTTTTATTTCTCATATTTTCCTCACTGAATTCTCAGATGAAAACTGATTAAATGTTGTGAATTTATTAGTGAGTTTTATAAATCATTAAAATCAAACATTTTTGTTGTTTCAGTAATGGCTCTTAAGGGAATCAAGGTAATTGAACTAGCAGGCTTGGCCCCTGCTCCATACTGTGGACTCATTTTGTCAGACTTTGGTGCCAATGTGATACGTGTGGACAAGGTTTGTTCATGATAATAATAGTTTAGTTTAAAGTTTAAAAGTTCATTAAAATATTTTATTTTTGTGTCACAGGTTTAAAAACTATATTTCATAACATTTAATATACTGTACTGAGTACTCCCACTAATATTTGCAAAATAAATCAATCCTTTTTATATGAGAGCCAATGCGGGATCATTCAAAAGCATGAAATATGGTCTAAATAGCCCACCCACATCGGAATAACCTGACAACTGTAAAGTCAGATACCTTTGACAAAAATGGCGGATATAACCGTCGCTTCAACTGTTTAATCACTTAGTCCTCATTTCATGGGATTTTATCGTCACTAATTCTGTGCATGTATTAAGCTCTTGTGATGATGATGAAATCCCAATTTCGATCAAATTGGGTCGTGAATCGCCACAATATAGCTTCTTCGATATCGTCAATGACAACAGAATCTGAATTTGAGTAAATTAGAAAGACAACGGCATATGGTAATTACAGTGTCCGTTGTCACGTATCTCATTTTGATCGGTTAAATTAAAGACTTTATTTCATTGGTAGAACTTTATTAACTGTACAATGAGTATTAAGACACTTCGATTGATTGTTGTTCCAAAGGAATTTAGTTTAGGTGCTCTATTAAACATACAGTTCATGAAAATCTAATTGAAGCGACAGTTATGTCCGCCATTTGTGACAATAGTATCTGACTTTATCGTAGTCAGGCTATTCCGAGGTGCCAATATGACAAGGTTTATTACCGACATATATTTTTACTAATTTATTTGGTCCTGAAAAAAGGTGTAACAATCAATAAAATTTAATATGTTTATGGCAGTCATTATGAGATTATAATTTTGACAGTACATGTAATTCAAATGACTTATTTTCCAGACAAAGACCGCAGACAATATTGATAAGTTGTGTCGAGGAAAAAGGTCGATAGCAATAGATTTAAAGAATCAATCAGGTGTAAATACTTTGAAGAGATTATGCGGCTCTGCAGATGTTTTAATAGAACCATTCAGGAAAGGTATAGAGATATTGCCAGTCAAGGGACGATGGGGTCATTAAAAGAAACTGTAAAGTTCAGGAATTCTAAAACCCATTCAATGATCTCAGGATTTTTTTCTTTTTTCTCAAGTGGGTGCAAATTTTCCATTTTCACAATTCAGGCCAAAATTTGTCAAAATATGTATATTTTTCATGATTTTTTCTCATTTTCAAGTGGGGGCAAATGGATTCTCAGGTGGGTGCAAGCCTATTATCAAAATCTCAGGTGGGTGCTGTGCCCACTTTATTTAATGCTGGGGAGATCACTGCCATTGTTCTCTTATATCCATGGTTGCAGCTTTATTAATTAGTTTTTGTTAATGACCTATTGAATAAAAGTTTTAAATGTCAAAACAGTAACATAAATGTACCTTAATTCAATATGCATATCATTTCATCTCTTGTTCTGTTGATAATTTGCAATGGGATCATATTATATTTGATTTCTACTTCTAAGCACACTTTTAAGAGAACAATGTATGTCATGCAAAAACAAGCAGTCAACTTATCGGAGATTTCAGATAGTTTGAGAATTTTTTCCAGCTTGTTTGATATTATTTACTTTGTTCGAGATGATATCCCAACTTGGTGAAAATGATATTTCACTTTATTGGAGATATTTCAACTTGTTTGCAATGTTATTTCAGGTGTAATGGAGAAACTTGGTTTGGGACCTCGAGAACTCCTTTCAGATAATCCTAGACTGATTTATGCAAGACTGACAGGGTATGGCCAGTCAGGAGTGCTTTCAGAACGTGCTGGTCATGACATCAACTACCTTGCCATCTCAGGTCAGGATGCATTGTAGAAAATTAGGTATATTTGTATTCATGCAATTAAAGACAGATTCGGGGCTTCTTCGTTGACAAGAAAGTAGATGAATATGTGGTACGGCTCAACATGCAAAAAGTCGAATGGGTCTTGATTGTGCTTTCCTATCGCCACCTATCAAAAATATATTTTGTGATCTATGTTAACAGGTGTACTGTCAAGACTTGGGAGGAAAGATGGTAATCCCCACCCCCCTGTCAATTTATTGGCAGACTTTGCTGGGGGAGGTCTCACTTGTGCCTTAGGTCAGTAGAATTGTATGTAAATTCTATATAATATACTCAATTCTAATTACATATGTAAAATAGGTACTATCATATAGCAATGAATTATGGGACTATCGTCGCATTTCTGTAATTTGGAACTCATTGAAAGTTTTTGTCGTGAAATCGGGGAGATTGAATTAAAAAGTGTTCAGATTTTAGGCAACGTGCATTTATGTGGCAATGAATTTTGGAGCTTAGAAAGAAAATTTCATTCGGCCTGACATCCTAGGTGATCCTAAGTCTTTTATGTGGTAATTTTAGGTATTGCAATGGCATTATTTGAAAGAAGCAACTCAGGTAAAGGCCAAGTGATAGATGCCAACATGGTGGAGGGAGCAGCATATATAGGTACCTTAGCTCTTTTATGCTTGACTGAGTTGTTATGAAACAACATGATATTTGTCATATCTATGTACTTCCTATATAATGTATACTCGAGAACTGTCATAAAAATATTGTGATTTGCTAAATCTGAAATTCAATACAAAAATTGTAATCCATTGTATTTACCAGTAACTGGATCTAGAATACTCAATACTCATCAATGATTGCCCTGAGAACTAGTGGCTCATATTCAAATGCTATCCTCTGAATTGCACAATACTAAATGTACAATACTAAATCCTTATGGTTGTATTTAGCTTCTTTCTTATGGGCAACAAAACTTGGTGGTTTAGTCCAAGGTGGCCCAAGGGGAACAAATAGACTTGATGGTGGAGCTCCATTCTACAACACATATTGCACTAAAGATGGCAAATACATTGCAGTGGGAGCCCTTGAACCAAAGTTCTATGCTCAGTTTATTAAAGGTAAGCATGGTACAGTATTCATATTTGTTCATTTTATTTTAGGGAGCTTCCTTTGGGCCATGAAAGATTCCTTTGTCTTTGGGAAAGGAAGGGGTGAGAACTTCCTCGATGGCGGAGCACATTTTTACGACACATATAAGACTAAAGATAGCAAATTTATGGCAGTAGGAGCAATAGAGCCACAGTTCTATGAAAAGTTGGTAAAAGGTAAATCTTGTGGTTTTGATTTAGCTTTTCTAACCTGTATTGGTAGCCCAAGTCTTAACACACTGATGTCTTCAATCTTAAACTAACATATGCATGCTGAAGCAATATTATGGTATCCAAAGACCAGTTGCATGCTACTGGGATATTGCGGGTTCAGATGTGCATGATTGCTGATTAAATCTAATTCAGCATTTTTTTTAAAATCCTTTCATGACGGCATGACTATCCATTTATTAACACTCCAAAACTAGCATGCTAAAGGAATGAATATATAGTAGTAGTCCTAGATCCCAAACTAACAAGTTGAAGATATAATTTCCAACAAGTTTTTGTAGTTGGCTTGACTATTTCTCTCTTGCCTTATAGCATTACATTGTGCAACATTTGTATGCATCTTTATCTACATTCTACTCTGCCATTCACAAGTCTAATACATAGTTCCAAGAATTACCTGATCATCATAGTATCCAATTCTTACCTGGTGCAATTATGAATGCTAATTTCTTGGGACTGTGTACTAGATACTATTCTTTAGTCCAGGCCGGTTTACTACACTTGAAGTAAACCTGTGTTTACTAAATTACCATTTTTGTTGCTTCTTTAGGAAAGCTGTTTATTTTTGCTATAGTTCGTGCCTAAAGGTAGCATCCTATTACTGGGTAAAGGTTTACTCAAAATAAACTTTCCTAATAAAGGCAAACTGACCAAACAATGAAGCAGGCACATTTCTTTTAGATTTAAAGACAAGAAATATGATCAATAAGAGATATACTGTCAGAAGTATTGAAAAAGATTAAAAAATGCAATGCTACATGTATACCCAAATTTTATTTTGCTATCTACGGTAAGTACTACTCATGGCAAAATAAATAGAGTTCCCCTTAATATAATGAGTTATTTTTTACTATTAGAATTTTAGGGGAAGATTCTTTGTCACCTCTTCTATCATTTATTGCAATTTAACTTTGACGTGATATATGTAAGGCAGCAAAGAAAATACATGTACATGTACATGTATTTACATTTTTTGACTGTGACTATGGCACGAACCTCTTTTCCCTACTCACGCTACTATATCTTTGTTTCCAGGACCCTATAGGCAGAGGCAGCAGCAGATGCTTTATTTTTCTTCTAATATATAATTGTGTATAAACCATGTTTACAAATTGTAATTACTACATTGAGGGGCACCTTTAATACCACTGGCGATTGGGTCCCTCATGTATGATATGTACTTATAATGATTAATGGCAATAAAATCTCTTGATAAAAAAGAATTTTTGATAGCCTCATATCAGATCAATCAGATACTATAATTAAACAGTGACAATATTTGTTTAATTAACAAGTGCTTTATTCTTTCAAAATACAAATTATTCTACAACTGTACATATTATACATTATTTTACATGTTATACATTTATTTACATGTTATACATTTATTTTACATGTTATACATTTATTGTACATCATTTACAATCATTTTTTATTAATTTTTAAACCAATATTTTGACAAAACCACATGAGTCCCATAAATATTAGCATCAGTCTTTGATTATAGATTACGTTCTTTGATGAGAGCTCCTACTGTTTTAAATAACTAATATTTACTAAGAGCCCTTATTGGCAAGTTTTTCCCATTGTCAGCATTGCAATCACTCAAATTAAGTCAGTATAATCAGTCAAAAAATAAGCTCTATAGATAATTGGCTTTAAACCTGGGAATCGGCTAGATCTCGAGTAATTAAAGGCTATTAAAGATACATCAAAAATATGTTGATTAGTGTCGTGTCACAGAGAGGCAATTATTTAATGTTCTTATAAGGTTGGGTTTTATCTCAGTATTCAACATGTTATTAGGCTAATACAATCAAGATGATTTGTTATGATTTAACTAACAAGGAATGATCGCCAAGCTGGATATGATTGCCGTCATTACACATATTAATCATCGGGGCTTCATTTGTTCCCATAAGAAAATGATGATTGTCAAAATGTAGTAATTATATGACTTCTCTTATTTATAGTGATCTGATGCATATTTTCCATGGAGCAGTACATGTACACTGTATGTGGCAGAATGTCAAAGGAGAGTTCACCTGCCTACCTCATCTTAGCAATTTTTAATTATTATGGATTCTGGTTACATGTTCATGCTACTATAGCAACATGTATACATTTACATTTATATTCTGATGAATGCCAGATAAGAAGTTTTAAGAATAAAATACACATTTGTCATTTCTTATTTATAGCTATTATATTAAATGAATCTTGTCTTATCCAATGATTTGATGACTCTGAATGTCCCATCTTAATTTAAAGCTGGTTTCTACATATCTGCTACTTGTCCTTCAATTTGCTCACGTTTAATAAGAGGTGGCGATGGCACAGGAGTTGTATTTTCACTGTAACCATTTGCATTGTCAGTACTATTGTCCATGCTATCATTTGCTTCATTAGCTGTAGAATCGTTCCATTGTGAAGTCATGAAGAGTGCATCTGGATGTTTGTCCTTGTAATGGCGCTTCATATGACGCATGTAATTCCTGACTCCACAGATTTTACAATGAGCCCATTTTTCTTCAGTTTGTTTGTGCTGTTCAAGGTAATGCCTGTTTAGATTTGATTTCGTTGAGAATGTACGGTTACAGTGATTGCAGACTCGACGGCGTTTCCCGTATGGTGGTCCATAAGCAATATCTTGAATGGGGTGACGTTGTTGGGGTTTTTTATTGGACAATGCCTGGGCAGCATATGCATTGCGCATTATTTCCGAAGCAATTGCATCAGCTTTACCCCTCTCTAAAGCAAATCTACCTGTGATCTCTCTACGGAATGCCGCGACATGATCAGTATTTCCTTTTGTAGAGAAGTTCATTGGACTGTCATGTTGAAGGAATACTGGGCTCTCTCTCTGGGGAAACACGGGACTATTTCTTTGTGGGAACACGGGGCTGTCTGTCTGAGGGTAAATGGGGCTCTCTATTCTTCCAGGGAAAACTGGTTGTAGGGAGGGATTCACATCAGGACTGCTACTTTGCCCATCTGCAAGTAAAAACAATTAACACTTGTTAATATCAGTTAATTTCAGTAAGAAATGTAATTTGAATTAGCAGTGTCAGAAGAATGAAAAGATTTTTTTATTACAGTACGTAAAACTCAAGCTTTTGTCAAAATAGATGAAAATGTATAATCACAGATGACTTTTCACTTTCCATAAATGCTTGCTTGGACAGTTAATTTCATGTAGATTGAAAAATTGTCCATGCACTTTAATCTGATCTGGTTGAGAAAGTCAATTAAAAAATGTATTACTTTCCGATAGATGTAATTAAATTTCCTACATTTAATATAATAATCTGGTTTAAATTACTAAATTGTATTTGTTCGTTAATTAGCACTTTCTGTATTAAACTGTAATTTGAATTGTACCTAGAATAATATTTTGAAAGTAACTTACCTGAATGACTTAGAGTTTCATCACCAGTGCTACCATAACAATCTCTATTATCATCTTCTTGCTCTGCAGGTTCAGCTTTGAATCTCTTCACCATGTTCTCATCTTGAGTCTTATGTATGATGTTGTTATTTTCAGAATCAATTTCAGTTTTTTCTGACTTGTTTTTCTTGACGGTGAGATCAAGTCCAATGTTATCATCACCCTGGTCTACATTGACTTGTTCTTCATACAAGTCTGTTGAGCCTCTCACTGATACAATCTTAGGCATTGTTGGTTCTGTCGCGATATGTAAAGGAGTAACCACTGGAAGGTCACCAGAATTATGAGATTCAGGTGATATTATTTGCCCTTGGAGTTCTGGTTTTTCTGGACTTTCATATTTCCTCTCGGGAACAACCATCGGAGGGCTTTTCCATTCTGATGCCAGGTAACCTATTGGAACTGGAACCCTGATTTCTTCTTGTGGGCCAGATTTTACACCCATCACTGTTCCTTTTGAGAATCGTCGACTTTTCATCAGTTTTGGTTTTGGGATGAACTGCGGGCTCGGCTGTGGTGGAACAGGTGGTCTTTGTAAACTATGAATATTCCCTTCATTAATAATGAATGTCTTGTGTATCTTCAGGACCAGTTCTCTGGCATTTTCAACGTTGTGTGGTGAGATACAGACAATGCCATCCACATCCAATGATTCTGAAGTTTTTATACGCTTCTTGTAGAAGTTGATGATTGTCTCCTGTAGGAGACTCTCTAGCTCCCTTTTCATGATGGTTCCCATGGTAATGTGTACTTCGACCCAAAATATGATGTTAGAATAAATTAGAAAATGTCTCTTGTCGCTTTATATATTCCGGAGTCCTATATTCTTATTTCAATGTCTTAGCAAAGTTGTTTGTTCCTCAGCAGTATTCATAGAATTATGTCCTCCACTCTTGACTGTAAGGTTTATTATGATTTTAACAAGATAAGCAGGGTGCTTTTAAATGGACAAAATAGCTGTATACGGTTTAGCCCGCAATCTTGATAGGATTACACTGTATTAGATTAGCCTGGGGAAAGTTTGCACCAAAGTTTGCCATTCATGTTTCCCACAGTTTTGGCTCAGCTGCTTCCAAATTGGCCATTGTTTTATACAAATAGTCTGGTACAGTACATCTAATTATATAATTATGGCATTTATATTTTTTGATAACAGGGATGGTTAGCTTGGCATGTTTGCATTATCAGTTTTAGGGAAAATAGGATTATGATGCCAGGCATACATTTGTAATTACCAAATATACAGTTTTTTTTGTTTGTAATTATGAACAATTAAATAAGGAATAATGTCCAGTGACAATTTTAAGTTAGATAATTTGAAGTATTTTTTCCTGGAAGTTATCTTTGCTCTGATTATATGCAATTTGATTTGTGTTTTTCCCCAGTCATGTTTTTCAATTTTCGTATAGTTTTGTGTTACTACTGCATTATTTTATAAAATCCATGGGCTTTCAATAGATGCCCATGGATTAACCAATAAAAAGTATATACCTCACACTATCGAATATAAGATGACCCGAATATATTGTGACTTGCTAAAAATAGCATAAAAATGATTGTATTATTGACAAGAAAATACATCTTAATTTAATTTTGCGATAATCTTCGTGATTCAGATCAACACTGCACAGACATTTTGTTAGGTAATGAAAGACAAAACCTCCTGGCTTCTTAGAAATAACAATGGAATTAACCCATTAACAGAAAATTCGATTAACCTAATCTGATATTATAAAAGAAATACCAATAACATATTGTACTCAATTTGAGTCCCAAATCCAAAGGGAGCTGCTCAAAAAGTGTTATTATCTAGAGAGTATTTAAGACAAATACCCAAGATTTAAGAAGTAACAGTCCTGTAGATTGTTCATCAATGAATTTCTTTGTTATGAGATTCACATCATTTTTGTTTTATGTGTATTTGTGAGTTATTTATGTTCAGTTATTCATTGTATTAATAATCAGTATCTTTCATATTTTACATATCAGTTTCAACTTTTAGACATATGATAAAACAAAAGTATAGAAATAATGTTAGAAACATATACACTGCAGATTGTAAATAAATGATTCTGGACTTGTCCATGTTTTATGATTCAACGACATGAATCATAATGATATGACCCCTATGTTTGATGGTGAAACACAATCAGGTGGAATTTGAATCCCAGTTAGGAGTAAAAATTTGTGTATATCCCATAAGTCCATAATTTGTCAAATGACTGATATCGACTAATGAGCTTTCACAAGATGTCTCAGCATCATGGGAAACATGTACCTATTCTACAGGATTATTATATCTTGGACCAATGCGGTCTTTTTCCAACTAAATCCCAAGGATTATAATTATATAATACTAAGGACTTGTTTTCAGATATGATTTAGAAACTAAAATAAGAAAAAAGATTGGGATTAAGTTTGAAAGCTCCATCAACTAATCTTGATTTCTTTCATTCTAACCAGTTGTTCGCTATATGAATTGAAGATTAGTGTAAAACATTTTATGTAAGACAGCAGTGGTTTCAAACTAAATCCTTAGTCTGAAAAGGATAAAGGATTTTAATTCTTTAATCCTAGCCCCATGTGAATAGAGGCAGGATTATTTGGTCATGATATTATTAAAACTTCAACCATGTCACCGTTTGATTACATTGATTTAGGGATTTCTAAATGTCCCCAAACCATAAGAAAACCTCAATCAAATATTAGATCTTTTAATTCTCCCAACCGCAATCTTAAAACTCTTTAATTGCACCAGATTTTAACGTTAACATTTTAAAAAGTGAACTGGACAAAGAAACAACATATCTTTTTTGGATAATACATGTACATTTGCCATTGAAGAAAGTAGAAGGAAAAGAGATGAAAGATGTTGGAAGCAATCTTTTCAAAATTCAGTACAATTTACCATTTTTGAAAATAGAATTGAGATATCTGATTGAAAGAAGAAGCTATTGAAGATTAGGGAGCACAAATGTCCAAATTAATTAGAATTGGGAAGAAAATATCCACCTTTCAATATTTCCTCCAGACAACCTTAAATATTGAAGGATTGTAGTTTTGTTCCTTACACAAGTCAACCGTAAAAAGTTTTACAAACTTTAAAAAAAGTTTTACAAACTTTAAAAAAAGTTTTACAAACTTTCCCATGATGCATCATTTATAATAATTTCATTTGAGACTTTTTCAAGTAGCTTCAAAAAATTGAATATCCTTTGTCATTTCATGAAAGGGATTACTGAATTTCTATTCCAAGAAAATGTATCTCTATAGAAGGAATGAGAGAATTTGAATTAAAAGTTATATTTTCCAAGAAATAGAAATACATGTGATTCAAAATGTGATAATCCTCTTTATTTCCTAATCTAAACCATCTGTTCATGTGAAGTTTTGTTTACCCTAAATGTACATAAATGTACATATAATTGTATAGTTAGGCTTAAACCTCATGTCTCTTTTCATGATTAAGAGTCTGTCAAAACATTTCCAGAACCCATAAACAACTCTACCTATAATGGTCCTTTTTCCATATAGCTTTGAAATCTCGTTAAAATCTCGCTTGAATGGCCTTTTCTGAATGACAGTTGTGTATATATTGTATATTGTAAAATACATGAACATTATATTATGGATTGCATTTTTTCTTTTTCAGGTCTTGGGTTAGATCCAGATGAAGCATTCCAAATGAATAATTTTGATGAAATGCGAGATAAATTCTCGAAAATATTCGCCACTAAGACCCGCGATGAATGGAGCGCCATATTTGACGATACAGATGCATGCGTGACACCAATTCTCGAAATGGATGAAGCAGCTAATCATCCCCATAACACTTCAAGAAATTACTTCAAAGTTGATAAAGATGGCGCTCATTTTCCTGGGCCTGCTCCATCTCTTTCACGAACCCCTGCAACTGTGAAAACAACACACCAGCCCTCAGTGGGAGAACATACACTTGAGGTGCTCATGGAGGCAGGTTTTAAATCAGAGGAAGTGGAACAGTTAGCTACACAAGGTGCTATAGAGCAATGTAAACCTGAGTCAAAACTCTAGGATTTTAGGAGAAATACTGGAAAGGACATTTCAGAAGGTTCACTCATAGTGGGGCCATTTTTGCAATTTTTCAAAGTTGGACTGCATTGCTCTCAGAAAAGTAAATCTCCAGAACTAATAAAAATGCATGAATTTTTAAAAACTATGAGCTTGAACTGGATGAAAATGTTGTTGGTACAGTATAATACCAAATTTTTGAATTGCAGTATTAATTTTGTATTTTGTGCAATGTAATTTTATTTTGTGATTGCAAATTGAATTGAATTAAATTAGATCATTTAATTAATTATAACAATATAACAACTGTTTAACTATTATTTGTATGAAATGCGATTAGCAGAAATTAAAATATAAATGTGTGAAATTATGTGGAGGAAATGGAATTGCCAAAGCAGTTTTAAACATTATGTACACATCACTACATGCATCCTCCTAAGCAGGTGCACAGAATCTGTATTCTGGATTTTGGAGCCCTGCATGTATTTTATAGTTAGATGATTTCAAGCAATTTCATTGGCCAATGTGACAGTGTGACCTCAATGTATCCAATATTTACATAATATGTGATAAACAATCCATATTACATGCTAATTTATTTAATTTAATTATTGAAAAATTATTAAATGTAGATGAAATATATTATTTGAGGATTTCTTGTAAAAATACATGAAAAAGTATATCCTTGAAAGAATGTTTTACCAGAGAAGCCAGCTAGTTACTCTGCGAGGACAATATTATTTCAATAAAAGTTTTTCAATTTAAAATCTGTTAAAACTAAACTGGTTTTGAACATGCTATCACATTACATATATTGCACATAATTTGTAATTTTATTCAATAATTATTTTTATAATTTGATATTTTAATTAAAACTAAAAGAAAATACATTAGTAATAGAATATTGAAAACTTTAAATGGTGTTTTGATCAAATTTTAAGTACCAGAAATTTGTCACATTGGATACCCCCTGGCACTTCAATTTGTCACGTGTGATACCCCTGGTATGTATATTCTAGTCATATTGGATATCAATGTGACTAGAATATACATACCAGGGGTATCACACGTGACAAATTGAAGTGCCAGGGGGTATATCCATGTGACAAATTAGAGTTCCATCAGGTATCCGATAGAATAAAGTGACAGAAGGGGATTCAATATGACATATTAAGGTGCCAAGGAGATATCAAATGTGACATATTAATGTGATAAATGTGAATCTAAATATAAGATGTGACAAGTTCAAGTCTCTGAGGAGTATCTAGTCAAAATAAAGGGCCAGGGGATATTCTTTGATACAAAGTAAAGTGACAAAGGGTTATCCAATGTGACACTAATTAAAGTGTCCAAGGAGTATCTTATGTGACAAATTAAGGGGTTCTTAAAGTGACAGATTTAAGTGACAGAGGGGTACCCAGTGTGGCATGTTAAATTTATAAGTGCATAGCTCATTGTAGCTCTGTGTCAAATATGACATATTATTAAAGTCTCAAAAGGGACACACTATCCAATGTGATAAATTAAGGTGCAAGAGGGGAATCTGATGTGAAGTGAAAGTTACAGTTGGGCTTTACATGAGAACTTAAAGTGACATAAAGATATGATGTGACATTTTAACATTTAGTCACCCTCATTGAGTTGTGCTGGCCATTGATCGAGTGGTGCCGGTGGAAGAAGACGTAAATATGCTTTCTGGAATATGAATAGTCACAACAAATTGCAGAGCAAGATATCAATATGTCAAAATAAAGTGGCAGATGAGTATTCTATTTGTCAAATTGAATTGACAGATTTATATTTATCAAACTAAATATTTATCAAAATAGGGGTATCCAGTTTAACAAAATAGTTCCTTATGAATACTTAATGTGACAAGTTGACGTCACAGAGGGGGTATTAACCCGGGGGTATTCATTGAGACAAATGGATTTGACAGAGGCTCATCTCATGTGACAAGTTGACGTGATATTATCACTGATACGAGGGGTATAACTGAGAGAAATGGAAGCATAGGGCAATGACAAAGTCAATCATGCTCTTGCACAAAATTCGCCAGAAGCTTATTATGGTCCAATACGAGGTTATTGAAAAAGGCCCAAACGTCCAACACTCGCACTGATCGTTTTTCCATCATAATCTTTGAACATATTTTAAGGAATGGGATTCTTTTTATAATTATCCTGGATAGATTAAATACCAATTAGAATATTTATTACTCTAAATGAATACGTCTTGATTCCTTTACTTTGGTTTTTTTAAAATAACAAAAAATAACTTTGATCAACTTCACTCAAAATTTCCGATCCCAAACTTGAGTATACTATCTGTCATTAATAATTACCTAGTTTTAAATATAGTAAATTAAATGTATGATTAATCAGTCACTAAAACACAGGTTTATCAGAATATAAAGTTCAATGCCAAATAAATGAACCTTTGGTATATTTTATCATCAAAAACTCTGTTTTGAATACAAACGAAGGTCATCAAGGATTTACTTTGACTTACCGGTGGAGCTTTTGGGAGTCCCTTTGCAAGTAACTACATCGACTCCAAGACTTATAAATCCATAAAAAAAGCGTATGGACAAACATATTCAGAGCAACAATTGAACATTTTTTCATGCCTCAATATGTGACTGATCTATGGAGACTGCATAATTTCATTGATGGTGATGACACAATATTGACAGTTTAATTTATATAAGATGAGGCATTTACGATATATGTCCGTGTTGCGTGTAATACAAAGACGATGGGGCCCCAAGTTGGCATCATACAGATGGAATTCACGCACTTCCATACCAGAAGAGAGGTAATGTACTGGTATTTTATGAAATTATTTATCAATTATAAATACCATTTTAAGTCGCTATTTAATTACTTTCTTTTGTCAAACTTCAAATTAGTTCCCATAGATGCAACTTAGTTGCACATTACTGTACGAATATTATGATCTCCAAGAGGGCTTTTTGTGAAACAGAAATATGTTTATTATATACATGTACATTTACAGGTGAATGTGTCTTTAGACACATCATATTGTCATCTTTTGATTGACCCAACATTTATTATCACCATCTATTGATTACTTTTTCAGACTTGTCCAGCACCCTAGTGTTTCTAGACTAGAGATAGGACAGGCAGCTAGCATGCTCGACATTGGCATTAGAAATATATTCAATGAACAACATGATGAATTTCGAAAGAAGGCACGGTTGTTCTTTGAGGAAAACGTGGTACCTGACCATGAAATGTAAGTACGAGTATACGGAGGATGGTCGTTAACGTCCTCCTAACATCCGATGTATCGTATATTATATTGTATTCCATACCTATAGGTTATTGTACGACTGTACGGTCGGTTTCGGATACAGAGTTTATCCCTCGGGAAATATTTGTATCTCCCTCGCTCCTGGTGGTCATTGGGATATACCCTGTATCCAAAACCTCCCAGTACATAACCCTTATGTATTGACAGTCGTAAAACATTCCCGACAACATTATGCAAGTTTGAGAAAAAAATATGAAAGACTATTCATGAAGACGATGTGACATGTTTCATAAATCTTATTACTATTTTTTTAGGTGGGAAAAGCAACATCATTGTCCAAAAGAGGTGGGGCACTTTCATCAATTTTATTCCCATTTTCTGATAGTTATCAGTTACATGATAATAACTGACAGAAGTCCCTAAGAATCACGTGTGAGATTAATGGTATTTTGTACCTTATTCAGTAAAGCCCTTATACCTCATACTTTGTAGTTCCTAATACATGCAATAGACCTGATTGTTGAATTGATTTTTAGAAATATGAAGAAGTGTAAAAGTACGTACTATACATGTACGTTTACGTTTTTATATATTTTGCTTTTTTTTGTTGTAGTTGTTCACTTGGGCAGGTAGTGCTGGACTTCTAGGAGTAGACACTCCAGTAGAACATGGTGGAGCTGGCAGGGACTTCTTATCTTCTATGATCATGCTGGAAGAACAGTGAGCAATATGTACATTCTTCAGTAGATTTCTTGAATATAAAGTTATATAAATCTATGGACAAAGATTGAATACTCATGAATTATTTTTATGATTATTTTTAATTTTGTCAGCGATTCCTGTGTTTAGATAGAAACGGCTTTTGACTGATCAACCGTGAGTTGTTTTTGAGCCCACGAAGCATTATGGCTTTCCGTAGCCAGTCGCATTCAATACTATTACAAAACTTATCTCATGTATCCCTAATTAATCCCAAACCGTCCTATAAAACGATTGATTCAATGTTGCAGGTTCTACTCGAACTGTTCAGGTCCTGGTTTTCAGATGCACTCAGATATAGTAATGCAGTATATCTATAAGCATGGCAGCAATGAACAAATGGAAAGGTATCTGCCAGGTATGGGCGCCGGTAGGATCATAGGAGGTTTAGCCATGACTGAACCAAATGCAGGAAGGTGGGTGAAACTACGTCTGATAACAGTTCGTTGCCAAGGGTAGTTAATGGGAGAACCTCGTTGAGTTGAGGTAATCATTGGTGGGTAGTGGTTGAGGGGGCTGGGGGCGCAAACGTAAATATGCTGTCTGAAAATAAGAAACAATCGTGCCATGACATCAATTTACCCTTTTAACTGCCTTTCAAATATTCTCCTTCAAATATAGATTATGTTTAAATTAGTTCGATGAGTATTCCAAGGCATGTTTCATAGAAAAATCTTGTTATTTAGTGATGTACAAAGAATACAAACCCGTGCAAAGCAAGATGGAACAGATTGGATATTGAACGGTGCCAAAGTGTTCATTACAAATGGTCATCTATTAGACTTGGTTATTGTTGCTGCAGTCACAGAACCAACAGCAAAGAAGGCAGCTCATGGTACAACTCTCTTCCTTGTGGACTACGGAAAAGAAGGCTTCAATAAGGGACGCGTTTTACATAAAATTGGTATGAAGGCACAGGTATTGCACAAATTGACAACTTGCAAATTAAATGTCCAGTAAAACATCATGGGCTTTCCATGAAAACATGTATAATTTGTTAACTGAATCAGTCAAGATCATTTCGATTAATAGAGCAAGCCACTATGATTAAAGTTAAAGTGTTTAGAATTCTGTTGTATTGTAGGACACATCGGAGCTATTCTTTGATGACGTCAGATTGCCAGCGTCTTCCGCACTGGGTGAAATTAACAAAGGGTTCTACTATCTCATGGATAACCTGCCACGCGAGAGGGTGCTTGTCTCTGTCATGGGACAATGCTCAATGGAGGGCATGTTTGAGTTGGCCCGCACATATTTAAAAAAGCACGATCCAAATAGGTTGAAATCACAGGTGTGGTATGCGAGTAATGCGACACATTACATGTATTCAAGAAAGTAAAAACTGTTTGCACATTTAGATTTTTAAAGAAAACTTTCAAAACAGACATTAAACTAAAAAACGTTAATAGCGATTGCCTTTTTGTCAAAATAATAGGGAGTCAAGCTTGCAATTTGTTTTTCACAACATAAACGTGAACGGAAAATATTTAAACGATGCATTTGTATGGGCGATTGGTCATACGTACAGGTTGGCGTTTCGATTTTTTATGCCAGCTTGTACTCCTTAAAGGTGCAATAATTAATGCAGAGGGCCAGGGGTCATTCAGCGATCATGGACCAGTGTCAAAATATATTTAAGTTTGGATATTTCATCAAGACTAACATCTATTTTTATTATCTACAAAGAAACCCCCTAGATAAACATTATTTTAGCTGATATTCCTCTTGAAACATGGTGGATCTTAAAAATATAAAAGTGGAAGTCCCCTTTTTGAAGCTTTGAACTGAATTTACACTTCTTAATGCTGAAATTGATAATTTATCCATACATTTTAAGAAAATAGGTATGTCAAAGAAGATGTTAAACCAAATGTTGCCTTAATTGATAGCTCAGAAAAAAATGAAAAAACTTTCCTATTTTCTCTACAGTCCTTATTGCCCCTTTAATAATAGAGCCATGGACAACGCAAACATCGTCACACCCCTGCAATTTGTGTTTTAGGTTGTCCAGCATAAGCTAGCGGAGGTTAAGACAGCAATATGCATTGGTAGAAGTTTCCTAGACATGTCTATGGACCTATGTAACAGAGGAAAACTAGACAGTCAAACAGCATCTATGGGGAAATGGTGGTATATCCTAATTTTAAATTCATACAATTTCACTTTTCACCTTTACGATGCCCATTATATTCTATGATACAATTTGGAAATATTTCAATTCTGAGATTTACTAGGTGTTCCAAGCTCCAATGATAAGTCTTGTCTCTTCTTCTTTCCAGGCACAGCGATACCCAGCAATGGGTCTTAAAAGAACTATGGGAATTATGTGGTGATGTGGTTGAGAATTCTCCTCTAAGTAAAGCTGTGTTAGATGGTAGAGCTCAGCCAATATATGGTGGTACAAACGAGATAATGAAAGAATTGATAGCCAGGACAATTGTAAGGGATAAATAACAATGTAAATCTTAAGGTTTTAAGGCCGATATAAGATGGCAGAAGTGTAGCTAATTATATTTGTACTGCCATTATGAATATTTTTTCTATTGCCCATACATGTATATTGGTGTGGCTGTGATGTACAATCACTGCGACAATCGGTTTCTGGTTTTGCCTGACATATAGACTGATATCTGTCCGTGACTTCAGCCAAGGACCCCCGTCCCAGTGTATATACAGCCGGAACCCCCGGGGCTGGTACCGAGCTGCTGTTAGCGATATAAATAAGAGTTTCTGATTATTGGGGGTAAAATTTTTATATGTCTCTGTGCAGGTCTAGTATACATTGTGAAATAAAAAAACATTAATCTAAATCACATGTAGTTTTGCTTTATGTCAAGAATATTGTCAAGATTATGTTAAAACATTTTTTTAAATACACTGAGTTTACCATAGGTCGATAGTAATCATTTTAAAATAAAGATGGCATAGTAATCGATCTGTGTTTATGTTTCTCTTTGATGCAAGGAGGATTGGCTCCCAGAATCGAAGTCGATATTTTCCAACAATGAAAACGCCGAGATGTCGTTATTTTCTGAAATTATAACCGATTATAAATTCAAAATAAACAGTTCAAAAGATTCGAACCAATATCTCGATCATTTCTTGTGAGTTCTGGAATTTTTCGTTAGGAAATAAGACCAAAATTCACGATTCAAATGTTGAAGTTAACAAAATGGCGGCTGTTGGAATTCAAATTTTGTAGCACGACATGTCCATATATGGGACAGAATATCGATGTTGCACTCTGGGAGCCAATCCTCCTTGTCTTTGATGAGAAAAAAGATAATACTGGATTCTGTTGGTGCTGCCATCTTTATATCGGCCCAGAACCTATTGAGTTTACCAACGAGTATCAAGTCATTAGCCAGTATTCTGTAAAACAATAGGAGAAGCGGTAGTTTTGTGTTAATTCTCAAAAATACAGAACACGATCCCATATGTGCATGTGGTGTATACCATCCCTTTGAAGAAATTTCCACCTTGCATAGTCCCCGGCTTTGTTAATGATAAAACTTCTACTTGCTTCGTCTGGTGTAGCGGAAGTGTTAACGTGTACCAGGATAATACTAGTGCTCATATTACCCCGTACTCTTATTTATTCATGGCTCATAAACATGATTTTGAATTTGAATAAATAGAAATATTCAAATGAATTTTAAAAGAAAAAATAAATAGTTTGCTATGAAAATGAATATATAGACGAATCAGACGAGTATCACTGAATTTAGATTTTTATCTAATTTTTTCTGCATCAGTTCTATCCTAACTTCCAACATGGCAGGTCAAGAAGCTGATGAATTATTTGAGATTAGAACCGCTTTATACATAGGAAACTACCACCAATGCATCACAGAGGCTCAGAAACTAAAGGTACTACTGCTTAACACAACCTAGTGTCGATTTTAATCATTTTGTGCCATATTGTGAAAGTTATTCAGAACTTTGTGAGGAAATAATTTTATTTTTATTTTTTTTACTGTGCCTATCACAGTGAATAGTGCCTATGCCTCTAGGATAGTAGTGTTGTCGTGATTTAAGAAATATAGACCGAAGAGCAGGGGTGAAATTGTTGAATACACCCCATAGGGCTAGGCAGAAACGTTTTCGAAAGCTTTTGTACCTACCCGGGTATATAAGACTATATTACGCCTGCTCTGAGGTGTATATTACGATTCAGACATGAAACTCCCCAAAATGTTTCGAATATTCATTATAGTCAGCTATTACTACGAGCCTCCGTAATGAATACTACTCATATAATCAGGGGTATTGTTTGCGAATATAACCCGTATGCAATCAATGTTACTCCTGAAAATTGCCGATGCATCGATGTACGATTATGGCACATTGCGACAAGACTAATGCCTAGTTAAGGTAGATCTAGGCTAGATTATTTTTCATCATTTTTTAGGGATGTTTATTGATTTTAGATTTTTGATTATGTTTAAATGTTGCTAATACTATGGTAAGCATGTGGAGAAAGTAAAACTTTGATGCAATATAATTTCATTTTGGGATAACTTTGACAGACTATGGGATAAGTCGTCATACAAATTACATTGTTGTTCAAATTGCTCTCATTTATAATCCATGCGGAAGAAAAAAATTTTCTTGCATAATGGCGATCTTTCAAGATTATTTAGTTTTAACAAAGTCATCTCTTAATTCAGGCCTTGTGTAAGGTTTATAGCCTTATAGCTTAAAATTTCCTCTGTTCATCTTTGAACCAATTCATAAACTTATCACTTTTAATTTTATTCTTGTCAGAACCTTCATCTGTGATGATTTAATAGATAGTCATAACAATCAAATTAATCTCAACTGATACAGTTTGGAGCATAAATAAATGAGTCATAGATTTGAGGATTGGAGTGAGGATTTCCCATAATAAAAATAATAGAATTTTCAAGAGGCCATACATCAGTGGATGAGAGTATAGAAAATATAAAATACACATATTTTAGGGGATATGTGTAATATTGGCTTTCAAACCACCATTGAAAATGGACAATGGTGATAGAATATCGACTAATAATTTATTTATTGTCCAAACTGAACTAAAGGAACATGATTATAATTAATTTGAATCTCTAATTTTCAGCCAAACAATCCAGATGTGCGCCTGGATAGAGACAACCTCATGTACAGAGCATATATTGCACAGAAGAAATATGGTGTCGTGTTAGATGAAATCAGCTCCTCATCTTCGTCAGAGCTGCAAGCAATAAAAACATATGCAGATTATCTCGCAAATGACAATAAACGGTACAACATTATTTCCTAGATAAATTGTGATTTGATGTACTAACATTATTCAAGAAAATCCATTTCTCTTTTGGATTTTGCCGTCTGTTAGGTACTGAATAAACATGTTAAAAAAACATCAAACATGGTCACCTTATCCAAGTAATTGAACTCCATTCATGGGAATATTCAATTTATATTGCCTCAATTGCTTAACATGTCAAATCATTTTCTTTCAGGGACAGACTTGTGCAAGAATTAGATGGTAAAATGAGTAGCAGTGTAGATATGAACAACAGTACATTCCTGCTTATGGCTGCGTCAATATACTACCATGAAGGCAACATTGATTCTGCATTGAGAACTCTTCACCAATCTGAGTCATTAGAATGGTATGTCTCATCCATACCAGGGGAAAGATTTTTATGATAATGTCATTACTTTTTGTGCTACAATTCAACAGGTGCATTTTGGTGTACTCTGGCAACTTTTTAATATGATATGAATAAGCTGTAAAACATAAAGTGTCTTAAATTTTTTGCTAGCTCTGAAATAGTATTAGGCACTATTTTTGATCAAATGATGAGAGACTAACTTAAGCAGTGGTCTCCCCATGTCACTTTTACCATGCCCCGCCCCCCCCACTTGGAACCAAAGGCCCCTCAGTTGGCACTCTGCATTCCAACCTCTGATTTGCATTTGATGAGTAAAGTAAGCAGCCACCTGTATATATTGCAAGTGTAGCGAGGGTTGAATTTTTCAGACTTGAAAAATTGCAACCAGTTGAATTTTTTTGTGAAGAACACTTTTAAGTGTTAACATTGAAAGGTATTAAAGGTATCGAGTATCAACAGGGCATTTGGAGATTGGGATGTTTGATGTAGACACACATGGGATGTTCACTTAATATATATAGCTGTTTTACTGTACAGCCTGTCATTAACATCAGTAATGTTAACAATGAATTGCGTATTATAAAAGTTGTTCTAACAATATTTTCAGTGCATCTCTCATGGTCCAGTGTTACTTGAAGATTGACAGAGTGGATCTTGCCAAGTAAGTAAATAAATATAGTACATGTAGTTTATTATGTCACCACCAAAAGTGGTGACATATTGTTATGGTCTCCGTTTTTTTGCGACAGCGGTTGGAGGTTGGCGTCCGGCGGTTGGTGGTTGGAGGTTGGCGTCCGGCGTCTGTAACAATTTCTTACAACTTCCTATAACTTAACAAATACTGTTTAGATTGACTTCAATTTTTTTCTAAATCATCTACATGTTCTCAGAAGTTCAAATCTGACTTTAGATTTGACATTTGACCTTCAATGACCTTCTCAAGGTCAAAAAGGTCTTTTTTCAACTTGCTTCACATTGACTAAATTTTTTTTCAAAATCATCTACATGTTCTCAGAAATTCAAATCTGACTTTAGATTTGACTTTAGATTTGACATTTGACCTTCAAATCTGACTTTAGATTTGACATTTGACCTTCAATGACCTTCTCAAGGTCAAAAAAGGTCAAAAAGGTCTGTTTTCAACTTGCTTCAAATTGACTAAAAAAATTTTTCAAAATCATCTACGTGTTCTCAGAAATTCAAATCTGACTTAAGATTTGACTTAAGATTTGACATTTGACCTTCAATGACCTTCTCAAGGTCAAAAAAGGTCAAAAAGGTCTGTTTTCAACTTGCTTCAAATTGACTAAAAAAAAATTTCAAAATCATCTACGTGTTCTCAGAAATTCAAATCTGACTTTAGATTTGACTTAAGATTTGACATTTGACCTTCAATGACCTTCTCAAAGTCAAAAAAGGTCAAAAAGGTCTTTTTTCAACTTGCTTCAAATTGACTAAACTTTTTTTTCAAAATCATCTACATGTTCTCAGAAATTCAAATATGACTTTAGATTTGACTTTAGATTTGACATTTGACCTTCAATGACCTTCTCAAGGTCAAAAAAGGTCAAAAAGGTCTTTTTTCAACTTGCTTCAAATTGACTAATTTTTTTTTTCAAAATCATCTACATGTTCTCAGAAATTCAAATATGACTTTAGATTTGACATTTGACCTTTAATGACCTTCTCAAGGTCAAAAAAGGTCTGTTTTCAACTTGCTTCAAATTGACCAAATTTTTTTTCAAAATCATTTACATCTTTTCAGAAGCTCAAATTTGACTTTACAAGTTCTCAGAAGTTCAAATCTGACTTTAGATTTGACCTTTGACCTTCAATGACCTTTTCAAGGTCAAAAAGGTCTTTTTTCAACTTGCTTCAAATTTACTTAATTTTTTTTTCAAAATCATCTACATGTTCTCAGAAGTTCAAATCTGACTTTAGATTTGACATTTGACCTTCAATGACCTTTTCAAGGTCAAAAAGGTCTTTTTTCAACTTGCTTCAAATTTACTTAATTTATTTTCAAAATCATCTACATGTTCTCAGAAGTTCAAATCTGACTTTACATTTGACATTTGACCTTCAATGACCTTCTCAATGTCAAAAAAAGTCAAAGAGGTATTTTTTCAACTTGCTTTAAATTGACCAAATCGTTTTAGGTGGTGACATTTTGTCATGTTAATGCCTTGTAAAGTATAGGGTGACACCAAAAATGACACCCACCTTACATTGCATAACTTGTTTGTATATGAATATATAGACTTGTCCTTTGGCACATTTAAAGTAGGCATAATGCGAAAGCACCTCGAGAAATTTCAGATGTTTAGCTCAAGTAGGTCAAATTTGAAATTCAGCAAAGTATGTTTTAAAGTTTTAAAATTGTGGTTATGGGTAATGGATGGACAAAATGGCTACTTATTATCTGAGAGACATTAAATAGATAGTCTTCACCAGATAAACACTGGATGTGGGAGCAAATTCTTTATATTGTTGAAAACCTATACAATCATGAAGACATCCACAAAATGATGTATTCCTACAGACCTCTCACTGACACCTGAATGATTTTAAACTGAAAGTCATTAAAGTTTTTCAAATTAAATTTCATTTAAAAAAAACATACATATCAATTTCTCATGTTTGTTTGTTCTACATGCTTTAACATTGATACTTTGTAAACACAGGAAAGAACTTAAAAGAATGCAAGAACTGGATGAGGACAGTATTCTGACACAACTCGCCCAAGCCTGGTTTAATCTTGCTGTGGTGAGTAAGCTTTTACTACTGCTATCCCAGGGTGTTAGGTTTTACATGTGATCATGCAAAGAATTGTAACAATAATCACGAAATTTCATTCTTTTCTGGATCAAATTTGTTGCCAGACATTCAGCATTATTTCAGGAAAAAACATATTTATTGGTCATTTGCTATTCAATAACATCATCATAAGACAAGTTATGATTTCTCCATCCGGACCTATAGCAGATTGTTACTGTTATAGGCCCAAATATCACCAATAAATTAGATTTTTTACCAACCTTTTAGGGTGGAGAAAAATTGCAAGATGCATACTACATATTCCAAGAGATGGCTGACAAGCATGCCAGCACACCACTGTTGCTGAATGGGCAAGCTGCATGTTTCATGGCACAGAACAAGTTTGATGAGGCAGAAGGCTGCTTACAAGAGGCCATGGGGAAGGTGAGTCTAAAAATGCTACATATGAATGTGAAATATAGTGCTCTGAATCTCCACACTATCTTCTAGCTACTGCAAATCATTTCCTAGTTATGGGGCTGATAAATTTTAATGAGCTCAAATGTAACTTTGAAGGACTTTTATTGAAATTGAACTATTTGAAATGTTCATGAATGAAGCAAGTTGAAGGCAGGACATGTATAGTATTGTGCTTTTCTGGCTACATATTTTAATTCATAAACTGTAATCATATCACTCATGCTATTTACCAGATAAGCAGCTTGGAAAGCTTTGATTTTTCAGAAAACAAATTTTGCACCTTAGTCCATTGAGAGTGTAATCTTAATCCATTAATTCGAGTGTTATACTCGTATAAGTCACAGTTTGCTACAATTTTACATTTAAGAAATTAATTAGAGACTGAGCCGCTTAAACATCCATGGCTTGTAAAATAGAAATTCTTCTTTCAGGACAGTAATAATCCAGAGACTCTGATCAACATGATCGTACTATCCCAACATCTTGGTAAAGCTCCTGAGGTAGGCATGTTTACTTTGAGAAAATGATTACTATTGAATATGATTTCAAGTAGTTAAAGAGTCACAAACAAGTAACCACTTTGATTGTGTCTATTTCCTTATAACAAACTTAGTGTATTACAATATGAATATACCATTAGATATTACTATTTTACAGCTAATTTTTTTGCAATCTGATTAATCCATGTGCCAGATGTGGCATAATAAATCCTATATCTTCATGTCATGGGATAAAAGACTGTATTACATTTCTCTCTTGCATCAATTCATATCCCATACTTTGGTGTCAAGGTCATTCATTTCTTTTGAAAAATCATTTAAAACATCACAATTATATGCAAATATTGAAAATGAGTATTATCCTCAAAAACAGTTTAAATTAATTTTGAAATGTGTTTTAGGTGAGCAACAGATATTTATCTCAGCTAAAAGATTCTCACAGAAATCATCCATTTGTAAAAGACTATTTGTCAAAGGTAAGACTTATTTACTTTGCTTCGTTAATTTTTGAGATTTTAATGCATGCCAAGTTGCCAACTGTTTTTCACAATTTGCAGATTGAATTACCATAAAGAGCAATATGATAAAATAAGATTGTGTACAATGTCAGAAGGTTGTCAATTTGATTTGTCCCAAATGATACCAAGGTCACATTTGCTCCTATTCATCGGCCGACGCCAGGCCGATTGCAGTATTTTGTTCAAAACTGATTTCAACTTGCTACAAATTAAACAAACTATTTTTAAAAATCATGTACAAGTTCTCAGGAGTTGCAATTGGATGCCCGGCTGATGAATCAGAGCAAATGTGACATGGGCATGAGATACATTTACATGTAACAAAACATGAATGGCATTTTATGAATGAAATCTGATTTATTTGTGATATCATTTATGAAATTATTCTGTATTTTCAGGAAAATGAATTTGACAGACTAACCAAGAATTATGCGCCTTCTGCATAAACATTAAAAACTATTATGAGAGGAGACACCAATCTGGAGACGATAGAATTAAAAAATATGGTACTTCATATTTAGGACATAATGAGAACATACAAGTCATTTTATGCTAATTCATTCACCAGATAATAATACAAGGAGAGCTCTATTGATATATTTATTGTAGTGTATATAAGAATTGGGAAGTAAAATATATATGAACATATCTCATACAAGTTTAGTTGAATTAGTATGAAAGACACTTTAAATGAACTGGCTGATTAAAATGACAGGATTGTACTACTAACAGTGAAATCGTTAAGTGGAACACCCCTAGAAGCAGAACACCTCTGATATTGGAACACCCCAGAGTCCCAAGACCACCTGATTTAATTTGAATAAACCTATAGGTGGAACACGTCCCAAGTGGAATACTTTTTAGAGGTACCACATGTGTTCCACTAAGAGTCTCAGATTGTTCTGTATTTAAAAATTATAGCATACAGTATTTCATATAGAGCTCGATGATTCAGGGTTGACCGATGGTATCTCTATGATTCCCAATTTTTAAAAGCTCATCGCAATTTGTCTCTTGTCTTCCTTTTACCTTTAATTCCATCTCATGTTTTTGTGAGACTATGTGAACTCATTATTTATCCCAATATTCAAATATTTCTAGCTACCGCATGCCAGCAGAATTCCATCCCATTTCCGGGTCCATTCACATAACTCATCAATTAGTCTTACGTAACAGCAGTCACAGCAGGTAAACTGTGCTTTCTCATGGTCAATATTAATAATATAATACGTCTATCTGGAGTTATTGCAAGTGAACTCAGTAATATAAGCAAATTAAGGTTATTTAAAAGTATCATTATAGTATAGATACGTAGATGATGCAGCCAATTTTAAATAAACTTTATATCGTGAATGTAGCCATATATTTTAACACACTCTACATGATTGAAGGAATGAAAAAACTTAAGCTTCTTTGGATTTCAATGTCTACATGTTGTCACAATTGAAATCGTAAGTTATCTAATTATGGGGAATGGGGAGGTGTAAGTATAAGAATCCTGCCCCGAAGAAATATATTTGTACGTTATACCCTAAATTATATGACATTGGTTGGAAGAGCGACTTTCTTTTAAGCTTCTAATGTTAAAGAATTCTCAAGTCGGCATATACATAGTGAGGAAAAGGTAGACATGTAAGTTTCAATGGATTTCAGTAAAATAAACCTGCCCATGAGAAGGAGTTATCGTGTATACTACTCTCATAATGTTATTTCATATACTGCGTGACAAGGAGTCAGCCAAAATACTTTCAGCGATCAGGTGTGACTAAAGCAATTTGTAACAATTTTATGAAAATGCATAACACTACCTGAGTTTATTCCTATGTTTAAAAGGAATGCTAAGTCATTTACACAGTTAATTAAACACAATGCCCCTATGCTGGATTCACCTAAATCACTCTACTATACCTTGCATTTGGTGTTCATGGGCAACCCATTTGGCTTATTAGTGATGATTATGTATTTGTTTTTATTTGTCTATTCCTTATGAATGGTTTATCGGATGACATTAGATGTTAATAAGGTACTTTCAAAAATATACTAAACAATACAATTAGACAAACAAAGTATCTTATGCATTTCTAGGTGTTAGGTATAGTAGTGTGTAAATGTGCCAAGAGAGCATACCAAGTAACGTTCAACACCAATGATTTTTATAACACATACGATATATTTTCAAGGCCATGGCCAGAAACTGTAGCTTTAATAAAAAGCCCTGAACATGAGGCTACAAACATTAATACATTATTAAAATTTGGATGAGATAACCATATGTAGTTGAGCAACGAGGGCAAAAGAGTCCCAGGGTTTGAGTACTCCATAAGAAAGGCATACTCGTTTACCAGTTTGATTTTCTATGAAAACATCATACCTTGGAAATCCAAGACGTAAGAAAGGAGAAAATTGATTAAATATGATAGTACTTTCATGAGCAGTTGGCAATTTTTACATTCTTTTCTAATGCCCTGGTCACATTTGCTCCGATTCATCGGCCGGTGCCCGCTCGATTGAGTATTCTGTTCAAAACTGAGTACAGTTGATGAATCGGAGCAAATGTGACCCAGGCATTAGCGGGTGGAGGGGGCTGTTGTCCACATATGAATTTTTCAATTCTGACCTTCTTGAAATTAATTGTTACCTGTATGACTAAGATGAATTATAATAAAATATAAGGTTATGACCCAAAACACCGATTTTCACCGTAGGTGATTATGAAAATAATTCAAATATAGCATCCAAGGATGTTATTGAACCATAAATGCAGATAGAGGTTGATGATTGAACTAATGATTAAACAATATTAGAAACATTCACCACCTTGTATCAAATAAGCTTAGAAATTTAGATTCTTGAAGTGCTATTACGAATTCAATAATATTATTTGTACACTTAATTATTCAGAATAAGAGAAGAAAAAGCAATTAATTTTAACAATTTAAAACTAGGGCTTAACAAAAGACCATTATTCCATTGAGTTCCGTTAGAACACGGTCCTGACTTAGAAAACCTGTTATTGTCCTGAATTGTTATTATATGCAGCTTAGCAATTATTTCAATCGGCCTGTAGTTTTATTCCCTGTGCTGATATTTAGATTTATTAAGTGTAATCAGCATCATTCACACTGGAAAGTATTATCGTATAATATCTGTGTATGTATTTGACTTTTACAAAAATCATAATATCAAAAGGGGTCAATTCTGGGGACTAAGCCCTCAAAAAAGAACGTTGTTCCACTCTGTAAGACCACTTGTTACAGATTCAGTTCAGAATTCACCTCTCTAGCATTAGAAATATTGTCAAAGTGAGTATTAGACAATTTGTAGCTCTGCCCTGGCCCCTAGAGTAATTAGGAAAAGGGGTTTAGTTCATGACTTAAGGAAACTTGCTATTCTCCTGATTGTTATAAAATGCAGCTTAACAATTATTTAAATTGGCCAGTAGTTTATCTTAACCCGGAGCTGCAAATCCAGCTGCATTGCCGGTATTTCCTATCCAATGGTAAAACCAGACTCGAGTCCTGTCGTTACTAGCAACCAATAGTAGATGCCATTGGCCCAATAAAGCTGGATTACGCATGCGTTTGGGTAATTATTCGCCACATGTTTGAATTACAATTCGAATAGCAACTCGATACAATAGACCACTTTTCCGCTAAGAAGCCTCAAAAACAGCAAAATGGTAAGTTTGGCTTTAGTTATTATCAATATGAAAGGGATGGAGAGGACAACGTTTCGGAATCAAATTTAGATTTAGATGCAAAAATGTTCAAATGCATATGAATTAACAGTGGCGGATCCAGAAATTAACAAGGGGAGGGCAAATTTTGAGTCTGGAAAAAACCGTGCGTGTCCCATTTCGTTTTTTTATTTTACTGATAACTTTAATAATAAAGGATTCATGAAATGCGAGGAAAATATGGTAATCACTTACATTCCTTGCTCTTTTATTCCCTTGAAGTCAGTTAATGTTGTTGTTTTATTTGCGAATATATTCAGGCAGTTACATAAGCGCTATCTCAACGGGCCTTCACAAGGTTTCATGCCAGTCTAACAAAGTTTAATTGATCTATTTCATACAGGTGTAAAATAAATTATGGTCCCCTGGGGATTATGGTCCCCTTTCCTTACGGCCCTTACTGGCCCTGACTGTGTATAAATAATAAGGAAAATAATTGTAATTAGGTCACCATATAAATCAATAGAGAGTAGGACCAAAATTTGATAGGATCACCTACCCCTTTACACCGTACAATTAGAAAAATGTTAAGCGCAAGTGTTTCTAACGCTTGCATTATATCTACCATTGAGCCCGGCCATTGAGACGCCATGTAGACATTGAAATCTATTGAAACTTGCATTTTCTCTTTACTGAATGAAAACAAAATGAATACATGATATAAAATTCTTATAAAATGACCTTAAATATTACCCAATAATATGTAGTTATTTTCTGAAGGCAAACAATATCGACATCGAACTCTTGGAATGGTACATAGTTGTGCCTGTAGTTAGTGCCTTCGTTCAGGTATCGGACACCCAACCTTTAATTGTTTGATGTGAACGGTAAACATCATACGACCCTCGTATGTACATCGAATGAGAGTCGATACGCACTTTCATCAATGGAATGTCAACATTATTAGCAGGGATAAAATGGAATAATTATTCATTAATAGCATAGAAGTTGTATAGTTTATTTATAATGTATGTACACGTACGTTTGCTGATCAATGAGCAATGGTAAAACATTCCGCGATACATTACTCAGTCATACGCAAAGCTCAAAAACTTGAATGGAAGCAATTCTACTTTCAAATACATTATAAGACTTGGTTTCCTGTGCAAAACCATTCAGTAACTTCAGTTTTATTGATATGGAAGCTCATCTGAAATATATCATGACCACTTTCAAGAATGGCTTTAGAAAGAAACCTAAAGACCTCCCACAAACGTATGTTTGGACATGGGCTTTCAATTAGATGAAAGCCCATGGTTTGGTTTGGGAAAACAATGATACGTGCCTAATTCCCGACAGTGTACATATATTACATAATAGTAGTAGGCCTAATGTTTAATATTTATACATAATGGAGTATAATTTAACTTAATTTTCCATAATTGCACTGAATAGCATTTCTTTCATGTACTTACTTTGGGGCACTTACATTTACACAGAGGTTCAACGTATTCCCAACACCTACGTTCGATATTTTTTATTTCACTGTTTTAAAAAATTGGAATGGAATTCAATTGCCCATTATATTAAACCATAAATCATATTTTATTTAATCAAAGGTTATATGTCATATAACATTAAACGTGTATATAATTATAAACCCCACATTTGACACTCATCACATTCTTTCTGTCTTCAACCAGAATACAAGTGTGAAGCTAATAAAAGCCACGATATCTCATGATGCATAGTATTTTAAACTAGTTTTAATCAAATCATACAAGGTTTAATCGTTACTTTGGAGATGAATTAAATGCAGAGAAACTTAACAATTGTATAACAAATTAAATGATACGTTACAACACACTTACTGTAGAATAGACTGAAGATTCGTATCTCACCATGTGTGTTTTGTTACAAAGGTGAATAATGCGATATGACATTACAAGGAAATTGGTGTTTTATTGATGTGTTTATTGATGAGAAGCGTAGCTATCATAGAGAAATTCATTTACATTGCCTTTATACCGATAAAATCGACGCAAAGATAAAATGTTATGTTTGCATATCATGTAATGCAACACTACTGAGAACTTGCATTAGGAGTTGCATTTGATTGAAGTGTTTTGAAGTGCATGCAATGTAAAGTTGTTAATATGATTAACATTTATCTCTGGTTGCTTTCATTTTGAAATAAACTTTTACTTTGATCAGCCAAGTTAAAGGGAAATGTACATGGCAGAGATAACGAGACACAGAGATTGATTCAGTTTATTCACGAGCATTCAAAAGTTTTTCATTGTGGTATTGGTAGTTATCCCGTAAGATTAAGTCAGTTACCCATTCTAAGCACTGTTTATTATGTGCACGCCACACACGACAATTAAATAATAATTTAATAATTAATTATTATTTGTTAATTGAAAACCATGTGATTAGTTTCATGTGCGATAAATAAGTTATTAGGGGTGTGGTGGGGGGGGGGGGGTCCGAATGCTGTCGTTAAGTATGTAATTTGAAACCAGTTTTCTGCATCGCAACATGAAACATTTTCATTTCTTCATATTTTCACCATTTCTTAAGCTGTCCTGCATTATTATGTTATTGGATAAACTTCATATTGTTATAACGCTTTTCCAACCATTGAAACATTTTCTTCATTTATAATGCTATAATAGTTTTAAATAGGACTTATTTCTAAATGTCTGCAATGCGACAAAATTTCGGCCAATCGTTGGGATATTACAACATTAGTTTTGATTTTGGTTACGATACACTTGAGCAGATTATATTTTATTAATCGTGTGAGTTGATTCTACAACTGCAACATGTTATCGACCTCATAAAACTCATCAGCTTAAAACGTTTATAATATTATTTAGTATTTTAGGTAGCTATTTTGATCATCCGGTGATACGAATAGTTACTACAACTACATTTCTTTTTTGCAGTGTGTATTATAAGGATTATAAATACATGTAGGACTTGTCTTGCTTACATAACTATTAATCTAGTAAATATGATGGTATCGCTTTGTGCTACTTTCAAGCACAGATGAATTCAGAATTTAAAGGGACAGCCCTGTGTAAAATGTAATTTTCAAAAACCTTGCCATTTGCCAATGTTTCCCGATGTACATTCCAAACTGTTTTTCTGAAAAAAAGAATTGAGATATCAGATATATGATGATTGTGATGATATTGATAAAGTTATAGACATGAAATATCCACAAGTATGGACATAGGCTAAATTTATAGATCTAAGCTCTTATACTTTATGATTTCCGTCAGCTACTTTAATTAATCGTTCGAACAGGCACGCCCCTATTTTTTAAATTTTGTTCGAAATCGCATTTGTTACATTGATATTTTTCATTTCAGACTGACCAATTGACAGAGGAGCAAGTTGCCGGTAAGTGTAAAGCTAGAGTAATAATTTACTTTATTTATAATCTATTTTCGTATGTTTATTATTGGCTTAAATGATGCCTTCATCAGGTCATCTTGGACTTCCAAGTATGAGTTTTCATAAGAATTCAAACTGGAAAGCGAGTATGTCGTCAAGTATAAATCTAATTGTCTTTATTATGTTTCCACGCTTTCTTTCTTAAAACTTTGCTATTAGTAACTCTATACAGTAGAAGGTTGATCCCAGACCTATATAGTTCATTTTTTACTGTTGAGTAACATAACCTTACTCTGATTCCTCTTTTCTCCTTCAGAATTCAAAGAAGCATTCGCCCTTTTCGACAAAGATGGCGATGGCACTATCACAACCAAAGAGTTGGGAACAGTCATGAGGTCACTGGGACAGAACCCTACGGAGGCGGAACTTCAGGACATGATAAACGAAGTCGATGCTGACGGTAATAGTCTGATAATATACACTATTTATAAAAGTGATACATTCCATACATGTGTTTTTTACTCGGGATTAGGTTAAAATGTGTTTTGGCTTCTGATGTAGCAACATAATCATTTGCAGTTGGGTAGCAAATATGTAATTGACATTGTCTGGCTTTTAAGTGCCAGGAAAATTATTTCTATGCTCTCAGACTTTTGCCTGACTATGCAGTCCTTGCATTAACAATATTTCACGTTGACACTACGGAGTCCCATAGAAGACACTTCTAAAAACTTGACCTAATTGCAATATGTAAACCCTCTCAGACTGCTTCTCATATCGTTAAACGGGATCAATCTCATATATTTCATTCGTCTTTAACAGGTAATGGTACTATAGACTTTCCTGAATTTCTCACTATGATGGCCAGAAAGATGAAAGAGACAGACAGTGAAGAGGAGATCCGAGAGGCATTCAGGGTATTCGACAAAGATGGCAATGGTTTCATATCCGCCGCAGAACTTAGACATGTCATGACAAATCTAGGTATTGTTAGGATTACCATTTTTATTTGCCATCAGCCTCTCCAACCGATTCTTCTTTTTCTCAGTTGTTGGTGGAATCCAATAATGCTGAGATCACATAATATTTCTTGTTAAATTCAAAAAGCCAATGAATTCCTTAAAAGCTTCATTTTATTTCCTAAAAAGAAAATTGAGATATCCACTCAAATAAATAAAAAAATTTGACGTTTTAAGATGCGATTAGTGTACATCTCCGATAAATGTTAAGCCAACTCAAATTATTGACGTCTTGCTCAAAATTGCAGGTGAAAAACTTACTGATGAAGAAGTAGATGAAATGATTAGGGAAGCAGACATTGATGGAGATGGACAGATTAACTATGAAGGTAAGATACACAAAATGAACTTCAAATTATGAGGGGGGATTTGGGGATCCATGTAGGAGGGTCACTTTCCAAAAAAAGAAAGTGAACGATATGTGCTCCTAAAAAATGTTGTTTGGGCCATGTGTCAAAAACATCGAGTCCATTTCTTCCGAAATCTTCCGTCCGATCTCTGAAAATACAACCTTTTGGAAATTTGGATTTCGGGAGAATAATTTTTTGTCTGGGGCTCATTTCAGATACAGGATATAAACCACAAATTTCACAGAGATTCATATCACCCCTCTAAGTTCAGCAAGAAGTTTTCATCGCATAACGTCCTTTAAAAGGCTCTGTATAAAAAACCTCCTACCTCATACCCACCTACCCACCTACGTGGGACATGATACAGTCATTGAAGGGTTCACTTTTTAAAGATTTTTATATCTCAAAATAGCTCCAGATAGAGAAATTGGAAGAAAGTGTGCTAAATTCGATGCCCCGAGTGGAAATCGAACCCAGCTGGGCTATAGTAGCAACTTGCTACCAAGGGTCGTTACAAATGCATCTATCATAAACTAAGATTTAATAAACTAAGATCTTTAAAATTGAACCCTTCAAAGGCTGTATCATGTCCAACGTACGTGGGTAGGTCGGTATGAGTTTTTTTTATATACAAAGCCCCTTTAAAAGCCTGTTTATGTTTGACTCTTGATTTTATTCCTCGAAATAAATCTGATATTTTCAGACTTTTTAAATCACCAAACATAAAAAGGCTTCAACACGCGATACATAGTTTCCCATTGCCAAACTTTTGGAGGGAAGTTAAGTTTCAAATCTGCTTGTGAACTGATGTCTTCACTGAATTATTCTTAGTTACATAAAAATTATAAATATTCTTTCAGAATTCGTCGGCATGATGACCTCCAAATAGAGACAACATACAAATAGAATTTAAAACAAGAAAACCCGAATCCGTCCACAATATAGGTTTCGATGAACACGTTGCTCAAGTTTGATAATATGACTTTACAAGTATCACGAGAGTAGTCTAGAATGGCATATCGTATTTAAATAACTCCATTTGTACAAGTCATCCTGGAAGTCACTATACTCATCCGGTTATTCTAGTCTATTTTCTTAGCCAGTTTGAACTCCTACCAATAAAGGAAAGGCCACCATGCTAGGACCATCACAATAGACTAATTTGATCCTTAGTTTTCAATCATCAGTACGACAGCGTAAAACGTTAACATGCAACAGAAAATGCCATTGAAATACAGGTCAACCGAGATATGATTTTCCCGAGTAACGTCATTGTCATCTGGTTACTGATTTTCTAGGTATTTATCTTTGTACAATCAACAATATAAAGTGAATAAAACAATTGTATATAATTATAAACACTTACTTCTTTCTCGTGTTATTATTAGGGATTTTTATTTCAAATTTTATGAAACAAAATTCAGTTGCAATATATTGGGTCTAAGGTCAATCAATGAACTCACTGCAGAACAAATGTCAAGGTACCCAACAAAGATGTCAATGTACCAGACGCAGAGAACAAAAATGCTGTCAAAATACCCACCGCTGAATATATGATGTCAATATACACTTCAATGGATAAAGTGGCCAAACCTCTAAGAAACTTCAAAGTACAAAAAACAAATCATGATCAGAAGTTGTTTTTCGAGATTGATGAGTCACTCAAAATAAGGCATATAACGTTAATAAATATACATATTTGATATTCAGAGTCAAATAAATTACACGTACATGTAGGTTACGAATTACACGACACAAAGAGGGCAGTAGCTGTCACACTACACGCCACGACCATACTGCCATCTTGTTTCTCGTTCTAATTCTGTCAACTCAGTTTTAATTATATTATATCTACCCCATCATATGTTTTACACCGTTCCTAAGGGAAAGCTTCGTTGAGTCCAGTAGTAGGGTTACGCCATTCTGATACTCTTCACATCTTTCTGTCTTTAACTAGAATACTATAGAGTGAAACTAATAGAAGGCCATGATTTCTCATGATGGGGTTACGCACGGAGTTATAATCTATGTTTTAATCATCGTGGGCAACTTACAGTGTGAGCGTCTACATGATGCAACTACAATATCAACGTCCTTAAATATGTATGTAAGTACGTATTCATAAATTCATATGTTCCTATTAATAGTCAATATTTGGAAACTTTTTTTTTTTTTGGGGGGGGGGGGTCGTTCTTATCCGTGTATATCTATTTATACTGTTTTTATTCATTGTATATGACTAGTTCACAAAGTACATTCAAGAAATTAATTGCCAAAGCTTGATAAAACAATTAGCTGGAATTCCGTTGTCACACTCTCTGTCATTTTATCACATTTTGATCAATACACATTCAAGTTTTTACGTCAATGTGCAGCTAAAATATAAATTGATAAGTCATTAATTATGTATGAAAGTAGGCATTAGTGGATTAATGGTGTATTATTAATATACGTTTGATGAAGTGCCCCAACTTGGTTTAGTCAGGATGACTCCCATTAACAAATTGTATCACTTGATCCTTTATTGGCCGATATTGAACGAACATTTAATTTGGCTCCAATTCATCCTTCTTCAAAGGACTTCATTTATGCTTTAAATTCAAGTTTGGAAAGAAGTGAAATACCCTTGGACCAAGGATGGCTCCAATTCTCCGAAGTATAAAAACGTAGTGATGGGTTGTCTAAGTTTCACGAAATCTAGTCACGTTTCGACGAATGTGATTGTGAATTTGAATGTGGTATAGGTATCAGGTACTATTGCAATGACACATCAATGAATTTAGCCTTTTTTCAAAACAGTTTGGCATCTTGTGGAAACATTTACGTTAACTTGTTTTTTGTAATCCCAAAGAAGGCCGAGATTAGCGTTGTGTTTTTGTGATTTTCGAAGCGACGACCAAGGTGGTAACGGCTGACTAAACGGCTATAAATATTGCACTGAAATAATAACTTAAATTACATTTGAATCAATACACAATCAAACATTTGAACTAATGCTGTGATACCGTATTTGGTTGTTTTGAAATATTTTAATTAATTATAGAACTAATTTTCAACAGTGTCATGATTTAAGGATGAATATTGAAGTGATAAAATGGCGGCTGTTTAACTTTGGTTATTACGTTATTAAAGGCCTGATATGCCCTATGCGCATAATGAAGCAGTAGTCATGACATAAAATTAACCTTGATGGGGTATCCCAATTTTCCCATCTTCATTCCACCCTATGCAGACAGAGCCTGTGGGAAATATTGGGTGCGGAGCAAATGAGCGGAGGGTGCGGAGCTAACGGTTATTTTTGAATTTAAATTTGGGATATTTCTGAAACTAAGCCGTTTTGGGACTTCAAATATACCAAGATATGTGTATTTGACACCAAATATCAATACAATTGTGAAAATAGTAGCGCAATTCATTCTTAAGCGACGCAGTGTGCCTTAAACCTTTCCCAGACCTATATATTTTGAAATTATCCTTTTAATACTGAGTCCCCAGCATTCATAAAAAATGGTGTTCAAGGTGCACTATCTATACAAATTATTTTTGCATCTTGGAAGCCAGGCAGTATCTGTGAGATTTTATAAAAATTCGGAAATGTTCTTCAGATATGAGCCCCTCTAAATATTGGGTGCGGAGCAGCTCCATAAACGTAGCTCCGCACCCAATATTTAAAGGGGCTCATATCTGAAGAACATTTTCGAATTTTTATAAAATCACACAGATACTGCCTGGCTTCCAAGATGCAAAAATAATTTGCATGGGTAGTGTATCTTGAACACCATTTCTTATGAATGCTGGGGACGCAGTATTAAAAGGATAGTCTCAAAATATATAGGTCTGGGAAATGTTTAAGGCATACTGCGTCGCTATAAAATGAATTGCAAGTACTATTTTCACAATTTTATTGATATTTGGTGTCAAATACACATATCTTGGTATATTTGAAATCCCAAAACGGCTTAGTTTCAGAAATATCCCAATTTTAAATTCAAAAATGACCGTTAGCTCCGCACCCTCCGCTCATTTGCGCCGCACCCAATATTTCCCACAGGCTCTGTCTGCAAAGGGTGCATTCACTCCTTTCCGAACGCAGTGAAGACCGAGCTCCAACAGTTTAAATTCCTAAATGTTATGAAATATGTAAAATGTTATAAAAAGGATGAAACATGCATGAACTATTATATCACTTGATTTTTAAGGGTTGTTTCCCAGAACCGATCGTTCCGATTATTTAATAAAAATTTTAATTGTTCAAAGTGTCATTGAGCATCAATATGATAGGTAGCCTACGTAGATACGACGCCAAACAAAAATACAAAACATAATATAATGGCTTTTGTCAGTATGTGATCGACGTATCAAAATTGCCATTAATATTTCATTACATAAGTGATGAAACTATCGGATCCTTTCAAGCTTCAAGTTTTAGCTATGCCTACAATGAGAAATCTCATATTAAATACAAAATACGAACAAGATAAATCAACACAAACAGGATATTTTCACGAATCTGCAGGTTCCATGTCGGATATGCGTGAACATCTCGCATGGAAACAATTAAAATGAAGCATAAGATGTTTGTGGCGCCGTTGATGCCAGCTCTGCTCTTCATGGTAAGTTTGATTAAGACACAGCTTAACTTGAGGTTAAAATGCAAATTTATCTTGAAACTTTTTTTGTAAAATAAATAGCCAGAGACGTGACAAGCCCTGTTTTTATTTCATGAAAACGAATAGAAAAATCGTTATTTAAATAAATTATCAGACTCACGGTTTTTAAACAAATGTGAATAGCAGATTAACGTCTAAGTCAATGCATTAGAAATAGGCATTTTTGGAGGGGGAAGGGGGAGAGGGGTCTTAGACATCTTCTCACGTTAGATCATGATTTTGGGATATATAGGTTATATTTTCCTTATGGCAGATTTACCCTCAGAGTTTGCTTTTCTTGCTAGGTTTATTTACAGTTTTTTGCCCTCTCCCTAGATATTTGTAATGATCACGGCTAAGGCTGGAAAATTATTGGGCATAATTTAACATGTTGGCATTCATTCCATTGCCCAAGTTGCCACGTGGCATCTGCGAGTTTAGAACCCTGATTAATTGAACTACTAGTATAATCAGTTTATTAAACCGTGTCTTGTTGACACTGACATTTGCATTGTCTGTGTGTAGCATTGTTGAGTTAAATGCTGCAGTCGCTTGATTGTTTTTCCAAATCCACACGGACAACTTTTAATTTATATTTGCTATACTCAGTCTTGAAAGCTGTACTGTATATTTTCATGAATATCTAGATTATGAAAAGTAACAATGAACTGTACAGGTCGCAGGTGTCATTCTTGGAAGAAGCATTTGCGTTCTCTATAAATGGATCAAACTATTTATTCCTTTGCTTCCCCATGAATTAGGATACTGAGAAAGCAAAAGGTTTCTCTGCGGGTGAAGTCGTTATTTGTTGGCTTCAATATTATCTCATTGATGACGTCATATGATAAGTAATTAAATAGCTATCTATTCATTTATTTCAAATACAAGTTTGATGTTGAGACTGTCTAATGTTTTTTGAAATCTAGACTGATTTATATATCATACATATTATCGTCATTTTTATAGTTAATGAGGTCAATCAAAAATCTTGTTCCAATAAATCTTCCTTCAATATCAATATAGGCTGACTGGTTTATCACTCATTTTTCCAACAAGATAGTTTATTAATTTCGTTAGTGTGGAAGCTATTATTTCATAATCATAATTTGTTAAGCTAATAGACTAGATGCGAGTAGAAATGATCTTGATTTTCGTCATTAAATATTCAAAATTCAGTCAAAGTGATTTCATATTTGAAATCTACATGTAAAGATACATCTAAAAATATGATTTCGAAAATTGTTTATCAACTTTGAAAATTTAATATTTTTTGAAAATGTGACTTCTAGTTCGGGTTGATTCCCCATAGACCCCATATTACAAAATCACAAAAAGTGAAATATCTTTTCTTGTATTGGACATATAACATTTTCTTTTACTGAACATACTTTAATTTGCATAACTATTCGATACATAAGGGCTATATGAAAATTGAACCACTAAAACCTATGTAATTTAAGTTAAAGGGAACTTTCTACTACACCCGCCATGCTATCTGGCTCGAGCGAGCCACCCGGTGATGAAACTGGTAACTACTGTACCTACTCGCATTTGCGTTATTGGTCTGTAATTTGGTTGTATTTCATTGTCACCAGTTTTGAAAATTTGACTAAGAATACCAAGTTTCATTGATTCAAAAATTATTTTATGAATGTTTGTTTGACCATCTCATATTTTTTTTTTATTGTCATCCCAATTTTTTAATTCATTTTTAGTATCATTTTCCAACATATATTTTTCCTTCTTATGTAAGCTAGTTGTTTAGACTTTTACAATACATTAATCAATTGTTAAATCAGAATCCAAATAATGTCATAATAATTGTTTTAAGTTTTATTATTAAACAGGACATTTAAACTATATCAATATTTTATTTTCAGATAACTCGACTGCAGACATTTCAGTGCGGTAAGTTTAGATATTTAAGGTTCATAAACTGAGAGGTTTATACAGGGTTTATCCGTTGGAAAATATATGTGTTTGCACTGGCGGATCCAGCAGCTGATCATGACAGGTTGGCATTTCAAATCAGACAACCAATTTGGGCCCCTAAATCCCAAAATTTGGCCCAGATTTGGCTCATTTTTTGATAATTTGGCCTAAAGAGGCCCAAAAAGGCCACTCATTGAGGCCCACTAATTGAAGTCCTTCAAAATTGTTGGGCCCAAAATATTTTTGGCCAAAATTCTTTTTCTGGGCCCACCCAAGGGGATCCGCCAGTGGTTTGTAAATAACATTATAACAAGTATATAAATTATGACTATCAACATATTAACTCTGATCTTTGCATTGCCTCTTGTTTTAGGTGTCTGATTGTCTTGGGGTGGTTTTCATAAACAGCAGTCCTTTCGTTAAACCCCAAAGTTAATTATTGGTTACATTCATTTTGGGTCACCCGATACTAGCAATGACAGATGCGCATGCGCACTCCTCTTGATAGGCCGTGTGTTTCTTAAAAATTGTAGGAGAAAAATAAGAGGAGCTAAATGATAATAATAACATAATATCATAATTTTATCATAAATTACATTTACTTTCAGAGTTATCGAATATGATCTGTTATAAAGGGCGTTTAAGTACGGTTAATGGTTACGTCCTTTCTACCCATAATGTAAACAACACCGTCCAGTTATCTCCCGAACTTTGCATTCTTTCCTGTTCCTGGATCGGCAAATCATATGCAGGAACTTCGGAAGATCCCGAGTCCTGCTACTGTGCAGATTCATTGGACACAACAAGAATATTGAACAGCCATTTATGCAATAGCTCAAGAGGGATGGGTGGTCCCGATGGATTAGCAAGCGTGTACGACGTTCCACCATCACCCTATTTCATAGGAATGAAACTTAATGCCAAGTCGGTAGGAGTTGTTAAGGAAGAGCATCAATTTCAGGTATGGATTAATATAAAGTTATCCTACTACTACTTATCACAATTAACATATGTTTTTATTTTCTGTGTAACCACAGGGTACGTACCAAAATAAGCGTGACAGTTGAACGAGTGGGGTACGGAACAACACGAGGGTGGTGAAATGTGAACAAACAGATATTTTCATCGTTCCAGAAAGTTGTGGTCTAGTTTCTAGATATTTTTACATATATGTAAATGTCTGTACATGTACAACCACATCCTAGACAGTGAACTTGACGGTAAATTCATATATGTAGTTTAACCTACACAAACTCCTATTGTAGTATACGGTATAACGCGCGGTAACGATAGGTACAACACAAGGAATTGGAATTTGTGTTATACCGTATCTTACCCGCGCGTTACCGTATGTTACATTCGGAGTTAGTGTCGATTTAACTTTGAAATTCACCATCAAGTTCACTGTCTAGGGTGTTGTTACAGACATTAACATTTAAAAATATCTAGAAATTAGACCAGATCTTTCTGAAACGATGAAAACACCAGTTTGCTCTTTTACCACCCTCGTGTTGTACCGTACCCGCGCATTCAACTATTACGTTTAATTTGGTACGTAACATTCTTCATTGAGTATTTCGAACGTTCCTGCTACGACAAATTGGTTACAGTTACACAGCTTCGTTATGAAGCATTTTGACACGTTCCCGGGCCTATGATTTTTGAGGTGTTCCATTCACAAAATCCCTTGCTACGAATCAAATGCAAATGTGTCTTTCATTTGTTTTTAGATCACACTCAAGAATCCACCACGATCGAATGATTCCCCAAACTGCAGTTGTAACTATGGCGACGGCTTATATGCTCCCTGGAGTAGATGTGATTCCACATTTAAAACAAAGTTCAGGTTGCCTGGAATATATAGAGTGAAATGTATACTTGATATCGATAAAAATATGACGGTATGTATTATTCTATTGGTTATGTTCCCAAGAACGTGAACGGTAACAGGTGATTCGCGAACGAGTACAGGTCTTGAAAAACATTTTTTCTGATATGATGCAATGATCATGTTTTTATATGTTTTACCCGAGATCATCATTGCAAGAAAAAAATAAACTGGATTGTCTGTAACATGGCTATGCGCAAATTCTAGTATACTATGTTCTACCACTTCAACACTAGTACTGTACATAATTTAACATTAGTAAACAAAACTTCTTGGCTGTATGATTTTATAGAATGATCACAGATGTATACAGAATTCTATGTTGTCCATCATGGAGAAAGTTTGCAATAATTTGATTGATTTTTAAGGAGATTGGAGCTGTCACATATGTGAATATATCAGAACCTGTACGGGAACCAAGTTTGGATTTTGGAGAAACAAACGAGGAAGGTTATATTCTCGTACAAAGCAACAAAGACGTTGACTTTAGAGTCTATGTGGACTCCGGCAGTGATGTGCAGGTTGCGCTCGACTTTGGCGACGGTTCTTCCAAACAGAACACATATGCGCCAGGTATGTGTTTCAAACTAACCTAATTTGTTAACAGCAATGTCTTTATATGCAATCACAAACTTTGGAAATGGACTTTCGAAAAAATATAATCACATGGTACAAAATTCAATGAGAAATCGTATTTTAAACGTCATTTACGGACAACCTTATATGCAACCTTTTATCGTTTTAGAATTTAAAAATGAGGTTGGATTCTCCTTTTCGCGGTTCGCTCTTTAATCGAGAAGGTATGAAAATATGTACTTAAAACGTCCCCCAAATGGACAAAATTTGATTTCAATTAAAATTGTTAATGTTGACATGTTAATAAAAGTATTGAATTTCATTTACTTTTATCAAGGAAACCATCTGGCCTATATCACAGACATTAAAATACTTAGAATGGACTTTAGTAATGTTGATGTTTACTGTTATCGGGACCGTACTGTACCGTACTGTTAACTCAATACTAACATTTCTAGTATTTGCAAAACGAAATACTCAATGCTTTACGATTCGGGCAAATGAATGTTCAGAGATAATCTTTTGGAAATAAGTCACATGACAATTTGGATTACCTTAACTAATTCCTTGGAGGGGTCCTTATGGAATAGTCTGTCCAGAAGCACTTATGAAGCCGTTTGGTCTACTTAAATCTATGCTAATCTAAAATGCTGAGAAGCGCCTGGAGAGTTTTTGTGTACTATATAAACTGAATAAATAAATATATAAGTTTCTTTTTGAAACTGGAAGTGCGAAATGAAAACTGAATAATACAGATTAAAACGTTGAAAGCGATCAAATCAAATCAAAACAATGTTTCAGATCCAATCAGGTTTGCAATCGGGCCGGAAATTCCATTATTAGCCTCGGATGACATCGTGTCCAGTGAGCAAACTGGGCTACACATTGACCCATCTTCTACCATGAGGGGGTCCATCAACATGCACTCACATAGCGGGCTTAAAGTGTTTGGCTGGGAGTTCTATGCTACTGCAACTGGTACACTTACACTCATGGTATAAATACTATATTATATAAGGACATAAATGTGTGCTATGTATTTTTCATCAAATAAATTATACATATCTGCTATTATCCCATTGTTATAAGAATATCATGTGAAGATATATTTGATATGTGGAACAAGATCATATTTAAGCAAGAAAAATCGAATATCACTTTCAAACCATCGAATATCACTTCTTAAAAAGTGATATTCGATGGTTTCGTGTTTTTTCAAAATTAAATTTTTTCAAAATCTTTTCTTTTTTAAATTGTCTTAAGAATTTGTTTTTGAAATCTTTTAAATGTTTTTTCAATTTTTTTCGCTGACGATGATTTCTTCGCTGCGCTCACTCATGCAGATATCAATATCACTCATGGATATAAATGATGTTTTTTTCAAAACCATAGGATATTCCTATAAAACATCAGTGTCTCATTCTCTACCATACCAGGTAAGTTATATTATATCCATCCCTTTTGACTACGTTTATCAATTATAACATTGCCTTCATCAAATGACGAAAATTGAAAACAATTGCTTTTTTATTCATTGTTATGTCGTGTATACATTAACTATATTAAATATTTATTATAAAATCAGACTGATTAATCTTCGTACGGTAGACCTATTCCCTGAGCGAACGTGACAGTGTTTGTTTTTAAATTGCAATTCACTCCAGGAACTCGTCAATATCTGCTGGGATAACATGCTGTGCATTTTGAATTGTGTGGCACCTCAACAGTCATACGATCTATCATTACATCATCTAAAATAGTTACCAAGTAATAATTTTAGCGATACAAAATGTTATCTTGCCTATATACGTTAATATTTCAGCACTTCTGAATGCCACTAATATAAAAGTGATTGTCAGATAGATAATTAATAAATATATAAATGTTTTTGATCGGTTCAATTATGTTTATAGATACTGACATATAAACCAGGGCTTAATTCGACAACGATATGTGAAGATTCACAAGTGTTTTACTCTACAAGCGGCAGGTGTAATTCTGCTGATGATCCGATCGCAAGAAAGCCCATACGAACGACAGAAGACCTAAATTATCTTAAAAGCGATGACACCGCGTTCATTGTCACGTACAAAGCTAAAATTAATGTCGAATCGCTTGGTTACAACTTTGTCAGTGCAGAGAGCATCGAAAACCCTGAATATAGCTATAATAATGATCCAAAAGCAAAGAGCTTTCTAGGTAATGTGGTTTATCAATTATTTTTATTTAATTGGGGTATTTTTAGACCATTAATATGACAATAATTCCAAATGAATGTTTCAGCACAAAGTGTCAAGGGGAAAGTACCAGAAATCTGTAAAACTAAACCAGAAGTGGTGGCATATTATCATAGTCTCAAATTTTTTGTGGTCGGTGTTCGGAGTTCGGTGGTTGGTGTTCGGCGTTTGTAACAAATGGCAGGTTGGGACATTTTGGATGTTAATGCTTTGTTTCATAATTGCAAATATTCCATCACAACGACACTTCTGCATTATTGTAGGGTATAAAGTAGATGTCGATGGTGGAGCTAGGATTGGTTACCGCCCTACTGCACATTCTGAAGGAAATGGGTTTCTTTACAATAGCGATGCTGACGAGTTTGACGAAAATAACATCGATCCATCAAAATTTCTCCCTGTCGATTCAGAAAAGAGTTTGCTCAGAGCAATAGTTGTCTACCCTACAGAGATCATATTCCGTCACCAATTCTCAATGCCAACTCCCGTTGAAACACCAAATGAATTGAAATTGAGTCTAACATCGAAAAATGGACCAATTCATCGTGTGCACCCTGTCCAAATAGTGGTATCCGGAGTGCAATGCTCGTAAGTGTATTAACTATTTACACGCACAACGGGCAACATTTTGAACACAATATACCATCTTAGTAGGTTGGCTTTAGTAAGTCCATGTGATGCCTAACTCTCATTTATATCCAAAATAAATATTATTGTACAGTGACAAAATAGGTCATGCCGATATATTAATATAATATTGATTTTTAAATACATATCCCGGCATCACCTAAGTAACATTATGTAAATAGTAAGTTTAATTGATATGAATATTTGATGTTATTTTAGAAATCCGGAGATCGAATTTGATCCAGAAACTATAGGAACTCTCTCCCAACCTAAGGAGTTTGAGAAAAAAAGTCCCATCGTGATACATCCGAGCATCAAAATGGATTGCATAGCCACGAAGAATAACACAAAGCAATGGAAAATAAGAAATATCAACAATTCAACAGTAGATACAACCAATATACGGTTGAATAATGCTATGCTTGTCATACCTAAACTGCATCTGGTGTACGGAGTTTATGAATTGAAATTTTGCGTAAAGATGGAGTTAGGGATGGATGTGCATATCCCGTATAAGTACTGCCTTGCGACATATATTAAGATAGTACCTTCTGCAATGTACGGAGGTATTGTACAAGACATCAGTAGCTTCATCACAGTAGGTATCGAGGATATTTTGGAGTTGAGACCCAAGGATCATTTCGTAGATCCTGATGAAATTGGAGGTGAACAGGTAACATCCCGGGGGTAACTTTCAGATTATCAAAGAAATTAAAAATCACACACTGTTTTCGCTAAAACGAGGTGAATAAGGATATTAGTTATGATTGGCCTAGAACGCAAGATATATAAATCCCCCTCCATCCGATCCCCTCCCTCCATCAGATATTAATTTATTTCGATTATTTTTTTTGTATAACGTATGGAAACTAAATTTAAAAAGTGAGCAATGTCATTAGTATTGTGATAATAACGTCCCTTATACCTATTTATTACAGGTCGTGAAGACCATTGTTGCCCGATTTATAGCAAAAACATTGACTTTTGCACATTGGTGATGATGCGCCTTTCTTAATAGATGAATATCTTAGAAGGGTATCAGTTCAAAAAAATACTAGATGACCTAAAATATTTTCCCATGCACTGCGCCTATTCATTTGGCAATTCAGTTGTAAATTTAATTTTCTCTTGAAAAAATAAATCTTCCAAATTTGTTGAGTTTTCTTGCAGAAATCGCCTAATCCCCCCTCCATCCCATTTGTACGATCACCGGGCGTGATTCTTTTCACACAGTGCATAATATTTTCCACTAAATAACCTAAAAGATTCCAGATGTTCTAGAATGTTTGAGGACGTTTTGGATATAAACACAAATTATACTATATATTTTTTGTCAACTCTAGTTCAACTGAGCGTTGTAATTTCAGGGATTTGATAGGTTTGAATACTTGTGTTATGACATGAGAGAAGAATCAAGTGTCGATCGATCAAATAACAGTTTACGCAGTATGCCTTTGACAAAAGAGGAACTTAGTGACGATACGGTTATTTCCAAGGGTGGTTGCTTCAGACAAGGTCCAGGTTATATTGGTAATCAAACACATCTTTTTGACGAAGGCAGCATTAATATAGAAGTTAGAAATATGCAGGTAAGTAAATTATTTAATTTCGAGATGAGTGAACATAATATTCGGACCCTTTAGAGAATTCAATAGTGAATGCCAATTACGTTTTACAGGCTTTGTTCGCATGTTCAATATGGACGTTATCTCATTGGAGGATATTGTTACTGGAAGTATTGCAGTTTATTTGAAGTTGTATCAAGAAGAGAATTAGAAAGATGCTAAGAAAGATGCTGAATACTACTCTCTTGCTATATCTTCTAAGGAATAGTTTGAGTTTAAAGTAGAAAATAATTTATTTCTGTGTCATACGTTTAAAGGTCACACTTTATAACATATAATGAATACTTAAAAAATTTAAATGATTTGACAAATATTTTGTTATTTCTGGCCATTATCACAATAAAACCTAAATAAACTGTATTGATACAATAATTTTGCAGTCAAGTGCTGGACAATGACTATAACAGATTGGGGACACACACTTGTTGCCCAGTTATATCATTAATTCTAAAAAGTATCCTATGGGAAAGAAAGGTATCAGTTTTAACCAAGCCTGGACTTCACAAATGTAACTCCTATAATCTGCCATAGTCAAATTGTCCTTTTTGAATACATATGATATTATGAAGAGTTTTTTAATCTTCTTAGCAAGCATGAGGCTAATAAATACCAAAAGTTTTCACTTCATTGTTTCTGTCATTCCAAATGTTTTTTAAAAAGTAACCCTGCGATTACCTCTTCTAAAATAGACTTAGCATTTAAGTTTTCCATATGAATTATATTCCCTTGGCCTGATGCCTCTATCAACTTGTAGACTTTTTACTCCCAACTATTTTTAAGTCTTAAGGACCAATGATGTATTTTTGAGTTTAATCTATCTTTGTCCAAATTCAGCAAACATATGAAAAGACGCTGTTAAAACTTCCGAAAGCTTTAGTATGATCAATATAGCACACAAATGTATCAAATTTAGATAGTTTTCTATTGTTTATAATATAATTCCAACTATGTACCTGATCCAAACAACTACGTTTTTTCTGAAACCATTGTTCATCAGATAACATTTTATTTTCCTCAAGAAAAGTTGTCAACATCATGTTCAATATATCACAATAATTTTACAGAGGACAGATATCAAGGAAAAGGCTCGGTAATTGAGAGGGTTGGTTTGTTAATCCCATCAGGTACATTGTCCACTCAGGCGGCTTTCCTTAGCTTGGCTCTCCCAACAGCAGTTGCAACTTCTTCGATGGTGATTTCTTTGTTCATGGGATTGTTCTCATTCTCATTTGCTATAGTGGTCTTCATCAAATTCCTCATTTTTGTTTACTCTTGAGTAAAGCTGTTCAGAAAGTTAGTTATAGTGAAATGATACCACACGGTATTACAAATTAAACTAGAAATACTTATCATAAAACGTAATTATAAATGGCACTGTACTTGTTTACATATTTTATAACTTATACGTTACGATTGAATATAGGTGAACCAAACATATAGATTGCGAGTTGATGGCATCAAAAATACACTTGTATTGGGTTCAACTATTGAGAGACGGGCAACTGCTGAATTGACATTTGAAGTTGTTGACAACACCCCACCAAAAGTCGCAATACAGTAATGTACATTTTATATTCAACTGCACTTTTTGTACAGTAATATGCATTAAAGTTGCCGAACTTAGCATTTTTTGTTTGTTCTAGATCCGAATCATTTTCACCCAAGCGGCTCCCAACGATATTTTTTTTATAATTTTCTTAAGTTTCAGAGTAAAAAACCCGGGGTCAAAAATAATTGAAATGTGACGTATCATCGACTATACCCACTAGTTTAGGGAAACGTGCGATTGCAAAAAGTGTCATGAAAAAACATTTAGAAAATCAAATCAATAATTTTATGAAGTGGTTTCATTGTTGATGTTATATAATTGTACATTGCTACCCCCATTGTAATTATAGTTGCATTGCTGGCAATTGTGAACCGTCTAATGGAGAACAACGCATCCTACCTAATTATAGGTTGGCTTTTCAAGGAGAATGTTATTGTAGGGGATTTCCCTGTTCTTTCAAATGGGCTGCGAGGGACGAATTGGGTGATATTAAAGAATTCGAAAACTATGTTGATGGTAAGCGTCTCTCTCTCTTTATTCAAATGGGGTGCGAGGGACGAACGGGGTGAAATTAACGGATTCGAAAACTATGTTGATGGTAGCGTCTCTCTCTCCGTATTACTATTACCGTCTCTCTACCGTATTACTAAGAATATGATAATACCCAAAATGTCAATATGGACTTCTAGAAACATTAATTAAAAATGATTGAGTAAATATGGTACGTTCTTTTACCGAAGAGAATATATAGGCGCAAATGCAAAAAGGGAAGGGTGACTAAAAACTTTAAGGAAACCCAACAAGAACTAGATATAGCTAGATATATCTCGAGGTGACCTAAGGTGGATCCAGTAGGATGGCATCTTTACGTTTTATTACGTTTTATATTAAGTATAATTGCGAATGGCATGGGTGGTATTTTTTCATTGTTGTCTGAATATATATTGACACGTTACGATAAAATACACGATTAAGATCAAAATATATATATTGTTAAGATTCCACATTTCCCTTTTTATTTTTCATTTTTGTGAAAGTGCGTAACAGGTTTTAAGTATTATTTGTAAAGTTAACATTTGCAGACATTCTTATTTCGCTCCTAAAACCCTTATTTTGTTAAAAATAAATCTCAATAGATTTAAGAAGAAGATATAAATTAAATTCTTAAATATTTCAATTCAAATTTTATTTTATGAAAATCATCCGTTACATAATAATATGAAACATACATTTTACACTTATTGCATCATGGATCTGCAGGAATAAGAGGTAATTATGATTAACTCTAACTACAAAATACAAAAAGCTCTACAAAATACTGATTTCTTCAAAAATATCATAAAAGTAGCATTATTAAAACATGACCACATACAAAATATTGTTTTTGTCAAAAATCCTTTTTAAGTACTACTATATTCTAGGTATCGAATCTACTACAATAGCGATCAGTACTGACATATTCAGCAATAACATCGACGTAGAGACGATTGAGATATGCTTGACCTGCAAAAATTTAAATGATAGCTCTGCAGGGAAAAGCATTGTGAAACTAGCCATAAATAACCCTCCAAAATCTGGCAGTTGCCAAGTCTCGTGTGCAGATTCAATATCATTTGACGAATCAGTACTGTTTTCATGTAGCGGTTGGAGAGACAGTGATGGAATAAGTAGATACGAATTGATATGTAAGTTAATTAATTTTAATTTAAGCTCATGGGGTCATTTCATTGTATCAACAATTTCAAGCACGAGACTCTCGCATGAGACTGTTAAAGTATTGGAGCCAAACGTTTACAATGCGAGGGCATATACTAAACGAATTTATTGAAAAGATGTTGAACATCATTGGAAAGAATAACATTAATCCAGAAACTATTTTGTAAGAGTTTTTGCAAGGCTAGCAATGTGACTTTCAGGAGCTTCTACTTGGCTAATCATTTTGATATTGTACACAAAGTCAATTCCATGTCCGTTATGGCATATCGTTATTCTTATTTTAAGATCGCTAAGCACAGTTCCTAAATCATATCGTATTTTGTTATTTTCACTTTTGTTTGTTACTTTGCTTTCAGTGTCAAATGAAGAAAGAAACATTACCAAACTCACCTATTCTGGCGTCAGCTCTTCGTTTACAACAAAACTTTCTCCTGGAAGCTGGGACATAAAAGCTCGAATATATGACACATTGGGAGCGTTTGTCGATAAAGTTATTAAGAAAAATGTGACTGTAAGTTGTTACTTGATAGTTTATGTTGATGAAATCGTATTAATTAAAATCTGTCAGTTCTGATTTTGTTTATTTTCTCTCTCTCTAGGTTTCACGCCCGAACTTTAAGGAAAACTCCACAGAATTGTTCAGACGCCTCAGTAAAGATATAGATGAAAGTTTATCAAATGGGGAGGAGAGTAACGTCCTCGCTCTTGCCGCTAGAATTGGTGAAGTTGTACAGCTCTCTGGTGAACAAGAAGCAGAAAGTAAAAATGTCCTTATTTCTAAAAAGCGCCAATTGTGAATTTTAAAAACCCTTTTCATAAATAGGTCATCTATTTTTGTCAGAGATATATTCCAATATTAAGAAAGAAGCCACAATAAACGCCGGATAGACCCAACGCGACCCAGCTATAACCAGTTAGACTATAAACAGATAGAATGTATTTAGAATTTGTTCATTTTATCATGAACATAAGTATATAAAAGAAATACGTGCACACTCTTAAGAGCATGCCATGATGACTTTATACATTTGTTCTATTTTAGGTGTTAAATCCATCATATACAATGTTACTAAAATGTATTAAGAATTGATATGCTACTCTTTTATTTTAACTTCAGCGACGAATATAATTGGGCTAGTTTCCCCTCTTCCTGGATTTCATCAGGAACACAAAATAACGGTAAAGATAAAAGTGATTAGTGAGAGTTCATAAAAAGTTAACATAGTCACCTGGAGATCAACTGGAAACGAAGACATGATGTTTTCGTTCAACATGGTCGAACTTCCGATGGAAGAATTTCGTAATAATTTTTGTTTTCTTGATTTTGTCACCTGTATCTATTGTCGGTTTTAGAAATAGATCAAGTTATTATTTAGATATTTACAAATCAGTTCCTTGCTTAGAAAACGAAGACAGTTTTCCGTTTTCCCTTGTAGCAATGATATTATATGATTTTCAACGAAGACATTCTTAGGAGGGTCTCGTTTGCATTTGAAAGCACATTGTTGATATCTTGGAGGAAATGAACCTTTTTTGACTCTGCTCTACCTCTTTACTTCGTACATTTAGATATCATTGAAATGTTATGTCCTCGTTTCATGCTTCAAATACCTATGTTCTGTCTTGCTTCAGAAATGTCCTGTTTCTCTGAGAAACTGTCCTTGTTTCTTAAGCCAGGGAATTGTTTTGTAATTATCCAAACAATAACTGTATTTCTTAGGAATAGAAAAATTTCGTACATATGTACTTGAACCTACTATATGAACCCATCTACTACCCACGGGCCAAATAAGATAAGCCCCGTGGTGACAGGTCATCTCAACCCCAAGTAAACTCAACTCAGCCCATTAAACTCAACCTCAAGTCAAATCAACCCCAGTAAAACTCAACTCTGCTAAAACCCAACCCTAAGTCAACCCAATCCTGTAAAACTCAACCCCATTTATTTCTGCAATGTCTAGTTCTCTAGTTCATTTACTTTAATAATCAAGATTTTTGCATTTTAAATGATACTCTGTTAAAATATTTGACAGACAGTCAAACATCTTTTAAAATTAAATTTTTGAATGTTAATGTATTAAAGAAATTATTAACGATCAATAGTTTCAACATGAAGGTATTACAACAAAAGAAACTTATTAAAAAAGAATCAAAATCGAGATAAAATGACGTTATGATAACCCCTCACTGATCCTTTATTGTTTTACAGTTGCTGTTATCCTATTAGTCCCCTTTATTAGAAGGACCATGTTGATAGTTTGGAGCTTTGGAGATCGCGCTCATTATTAACTATGTACATGTCTTAGAATGGAAATCAAAAATTGAAATAAAATTATTTTGATCAACGAACTAGGAGTTGAGTTTCAAAGGAGTTAAGTTGACTTGCGGCTGAGTTTTACAGGGGTTGAGTTGACTTGGGGTTGAGTTTTACTAGGATGAGTTAACTTGGGGCTGAGATGTCCAGAAAGCATTGATTAAAAGAAAAAAATCAAGCCCAGTCTTCGTTTCCAGTTAATCCTCAGTGATCCCCAGTTACATATTATGTATGTCCCATGAAATATTAAGCAGCATAGCCTAAATGAGGACATGTACATAAAACAAGTCAATAAAGGATTAGACAATCCAACACGACAAAACAAATTTGTTACCAAACAGAACCGGACAAGACCATTTAGACAAGACAAGAGAAGACCATATTAGTGTGGCAGTAACCAACAAAACATGACTGTACTGATACCAGACAGAACAGGACAATAATCTGGTCGCGACAGGATAAAAAGACAATGACATGAGAATACAGGATATAAAAAGTCTGGACAAGGTGATGTGGGACAATGGCAAGTCCAACAAATAGGGTACAGGGGGACTTGGCACTTACATTAACGACAATGTGCACACCTGAAAGAAATCTTCAAAATTCCCCAAAAATTATATTATTAACTATTTTTCACAGAGATATAGTAATTAAACAGTCAACTAATTAGTTTTAACCAAAACTATGTTTATAACAGTTTAAATTAGTTAAGTTTTGGACAAGTACTCGTATGTGTACCGTTTATTTGTGTATTTGCGATTTGTTTGATATATATACATACTGGGTCGTTCAATATGTTTGCGGAAAAATGCTCTCATTTCAAACATTTTTGATATTTTTTCATGAAATTTTCACATAACATACAAAAAATATCTGGTTTCTGATTCGTAAAATATCAGAATCGCCTGGAAAATATGGTATTGAATTTTGGGTAGGCGGGACACTTTTTACGACACAAAATGTACCATTTAGAAACGCTTGAAAATGAGGCTTATTCCCCTAGTACAGTGTACATGTACATTCTATATATATATTTTTTAATTTGTTCTCGTGTACATTACAAATGGTTAATGTAGAACAACTAAATGACATGCACCTACCCAAAAGTCAAGTTACCATAGTAACCATAAGTTTTGACCAATTAAAGTAGAAATGCTGGTATTTTACAAATCAATAACCAGATATTTTTTCATGTTAGATGAAAATTTCATGAAAATATATTAAAAAACTTCAAAAATGAGAGCATCTTTCTGGGAACTTATTGAATGACCTGGTATGTAGACCTTTAATATTTGATTTCGACAACAGAATTTAAGCAAAGTACTCACAGAGGAACAAAGGGAGACATTAAGAAAATTAGAAGAAGATCGAAAACAGCACTCCCAGGTAAGAAGAAATGCAATTCATCTGGTGATTTCTGTAGGATAATAAATATGCAAAATAAGATCGACACTGGCATATCTATAAGAAAAACTTAATTACATAATTTTAGATAATAGAAAGGGTTATTGGTGGTGTAGCGGAGCTTAACTATCAAAAAAGCCTGGAAATGGTTCAAACCCAGGGTAAAGTTCTCTCAGAGATGGTGAATGATCCTTCTGTGTTATCATTCTTGAGCATGGTACGTTATATTTACTATAGACTTGATAAAAATTCTATGCACGATAGCTTATTAGTAACCTTTAACTTTCCCGGATTGTCTTACTGTACTTGTAGCTAATATGCCTTTAATGATTTACCATTGAAAACCACACATTTTCTTTATAGGACTTATTACAAGAGAAGTGTGACCAAATAAATGATGTTGTGACAACGTTGAAGAATGATTCTATTCAAATACCAAAAGAAAAAGTCATTGACATGCTAAAAATACAGACAAAATTAATGGCAGTGAAAGCAACGGTGTGTAATGGTGTTCATCCCATACTTATACCTTGGCCTCTGCAATAAATCTGTCCTCGAGACGTACATCACTCGGGATAATATACTGTATAAGTGGTAATTTTGCCTAATCATTTAATTTGCCTATTTCCTAATTTTTGCCAGGTTCGGAAAATTAAATGTCGGAAATGTTGTCTTTATAATGTTATCCAATGGGAGGTTTCTTGTTATTAGGAAAATTAAAATTAGGAAAATGATAAAATTTGACCATTCGGAAAATTAACCACTCGGATTAAATACCACTTATACAGTATTATATTAGCTCCTGGATAATCCCAATATTTTGAACCTCATACAGGATAACTGGTATTCATTTTATGCATAAGTGGAACACAAATGATCCTATTTTAATATCGTAAGGAGTATTTATTACAATCTTATTGGATTTTAATGGTTCTTATCTATTGTTTGTTATTCGACTCATTGCTATACTTCATAACCAATATATTTTCTATATGTACCGTCCTACCAATATCCGACCGATACTACTAGTTCCATGATCTCTTTCCATCTATCTGGCAAGTCTGCCATTGCTCTGGCTGCAATGCGCATCATGTTGCTCACATCTTCTGATTGTGAGTGCATTTTGACTCACCAAATTTTCTGATTTTTCACTTGCCTCATCTGATAATTGTATAACGGCAATAACGTTCTCACACTTCTCATATGTACATGTAATAGGCACTGCTGATTTGAAAATAGTGCTGGTAACTTGGATTTAGTTTACTCCTTTTTAGAAAACATATTCGTGCGTTTTAAACCATAAAAAATGTAAAAAATATACAATATATTAGACACATACAATGTAGACTAACAGCACCATACCACCATAAAGAAACGAACTATAATTCACACATTTTTATTATTACAAAATACTATTTTTCCACAATGTAGAATCAATGCATCAATCTTTTGTAGGCGAATAACATCATAGCTGTCAGTCCATCGCTGAAAGATCAACAAGATGTTAAAGAGGATGATGAGGCAATGCACATAAATATGGACCCACTCAGTAAAGATATTGGTTCGTGGAGAATTTTATACAAGTCACATTATCATTTTTCTTAATTTGCGGTAACACTAATATACTCGTATATTTACTGACTTTATACTTTATCAAAAATTCCTACATACTGGTACATGATACATTGGTCTAATTGAATACCAAGAGTGACAAACCACATTTTATCGCAGTTATACTTTTCTTTTTTCAATATTAGTTTAATGAGCACAAGTTGTGTATGAAATGAAATTATTAGTACCTCAATTGAAATACTCAATCCTGATTGATAATTAAAAGTGAGCAATATGTACTGTTGACCGCTGCTAGGAACGACCGCAACTTTTGAAAAGTGATTTATATATTTTGGTTAAAAATGATAAAAATCTGAAAAAATATTGATTTTTTGGGAAAATCGTTTTGCAGAATTAATGAATTATTGAAAAAATCAAACCACTTTCTAGGATATGATCTTCGACGGTTTAAAGTTTTTTTGCAAAAATATATCTTTATCCTTGTAATGATACTATTATTCGGACTAATAAAACAATTAAAATTGTTACCCTCTCTATTCGGTCAACTGTAAATCTCCGGTTTCGGTCAACTGCATGTACTTTCAAGGTATACAGTATTGTTATACACTTTTGCTAGTTGATCTTAAGTGAGGTCTACAACTGAATAATGTTCCCTGGTACTCACCTAGTTACGCTGACGTTACGTCAGCGTAACAAGATTGCAGAACTTCCGGGCTCTGTTTTCGATAAGATATTTTTATTTCTCGATTCTACACCACTTATAAGTCAAGTTGTGGACAACAATTTGGCTCAAAGTTAAGGAAGATAGTCTAGTTTGAGAATATACAGGCGGTTCTATGTTTGGTATATTAACGACGACGCAATTCACATATTTAGTCCCTCGCTTTTGCTACGTTGACGATCTTCATGGATATTGCCAACGTGAGCTCCATTAACTTTGAGCAAAATTACTGTCCACAACTTGACTTATTAGAGTGGTGTAGAATCGAGAAATAAAAAATATCTTACCGAAACCAAAGCCCGGAATTTCTTCCATCTTGTTACGCTGACTATCGTCAGCGTCATTACATGTAGGTGAGTACCAGTGATGTTACTTTGTAAGATTGGTAGTCAGTTATACTGCGATATATTGTTTTCTCTTTTTAGATCCACAAAACGCCGATGATCAATATATAATGGCTCTAAAAAGGAAGGTGGCTGCTCAGGTATATATAGTCGAAACTTTTTACATTGACAATTTCGGACATTAACGTGTGTCTAACATTTCTTATTGTTTTAAAGGCCCCGTATGATTCACTATTTGTCGAACAAAAAGTTCTTCAAAACCCCCTTTTGAAATCAAAAATAAGTTTCGCAGATTACTCGTATAATTCGCGTAATTCGTTCACACACCACAACATATGGTCATTACTGTAGAAACGTATTTACTGTTTCATGAACTATATTTCTATTTAGAGGAAAAAAGTGGCTGTTAAAACAATGGAATACTCTGTGAATGCAGCTAATCGACTTGTGAACTCATTAGTTGCAGAGGAGAAGGCTGTGGAAGTTGAAACCAACTATATGCGTCAAAAAGTCATGAAAACGAGCATAAATAGATTCATTAATGGTTATAGTTTTATTAATTAACAAAACTAGCGCGATGTTAAAATAGTACTCGTTTAATATAAAATTTCTCTTGAATATGTTTATAATTCTTCTTCTGCTAGATTATCATTGATCTCATTTATATGCATTTTTACATATCTGAATATCTAGTTTTTCAATCATACTTTGTTTCACTTCTTACAAATACAATAATTCATACTATTATATATTAAAAGTGGAATATACTCGGGCCTTCAAAATGGGTAAGATGTTAATCGTATAGAGGGTGTTCAGATAAGAAGATACATTTATTGTAGGTGAAGCATTCTCATTCCCTAATGGGAGTGGAATAGTCTTTCCATTTCTGGAGGATATTTGCGCAAGTCCTTCCGCTCCGCTCAACTGCACCAACAATACCATTATAGGAGTAGTGGTATGGCACATTTATGTTACATTCTCGATTTTAGATTTATTATTGCTTTATAGTTTAAATTGATCATTTGAATTGTTAACTATTCATTCAAAAATAGGAATATAAGATTCAATGACTATTGCTAGACACAAACAAACATGCATTTATTACACTTCATTGTGTCAGGAAATGCTGAACTGCTGAAATGGCATAAATAACTGTACTTTCCGAAATTTTGAAATATTGGTGGTCTGAAGAGAATAAATGCACATTTCGTTGTTCGTTATAAACAAATATAACACTAATTAGTACATATTTACATTACTTATTAGATGTATCGTATTAATAAAATAATGATTTGAATTATTTTAGTTTCAAGAATACAGTTCGAATCCTGTTAAGGATGAAGATGATGAAACAAGTCGTGAATCAGCTGTACCTGGATTGACCATCTTCAATGAAAATGGAACAGAAATTATTATCTCAAATCTTTCCAAACGAATCGAAGTAGAGATTAAGAATAAATTGCAAAAAGAGGAAATTGACAAAAAAGAGCACGTTGGTGTATTGAATCTTACTCGAAAATTTCCAGTTTCATACAGGTACATGATTGTACAATGTAGAATAAACTAGAATATGTATTTTAGTGGATAATATATACAGTGGATTGCACATGTTAAAATCAGAGCAATGACTAATGAAGACAGGCCCAACGTCATTCTTCTAGTTTTTGTTTGTTTTAGGAAGATTGAACTAGCCAGAACAGAATTGATAAGTGCCACATTAGAAATCAAAATAGGCCTGGAAAACAATACAGAACAAAATGTAACAGCATACCTACGATTTGGTGATTTTCCAAAGATTGACAATGATTCTTATGCTGAACACGACAATGATTCATTTGTGGAAAATAAACCTGGTAACATTATTTTTAAAACTTTATAGATATATTGAAGGATGATACAATATAAGAGTAAATGCATCGTTTATATTATTTTTACAAATTGAATATAATTGGAAAATCTGCTTCCTACCTTTTTTGATTTCATTGTTCTTTTCATTGTCTGTATTAAAAAAATGTTGATCAAGTTTGTATTTATGAACATGGTAATAACGTAGCGTACAGCAAACGTTGGTGTACAGTATTTGTATATATCTATTTCCTTTTATTTGTTTATTTATTTATTTATTTTACATACTTACATTGCAGCTGGAAGCAACAATTCGTTGTTGTTTTTCTTCGACAATGATGAGATTGATACATATATGGACCTTTACAACACGACTGTAGTAAGGGTTCTGATTGTTAATGCTACCAGGGAATATTCGTTCAAATCTGCCAGACGAAGTTGTAGTAGTTTCGATAGCAAACTCAATGCTTTTACCTCTAATGGCATCCAGGTAAAAATCAGAATCATTGTTTCATTTAATTATTTGATATTTACGCCATGGTTACCATATGCGTCACCTATCTATGTTGATTTATCAATTCCTTTTATCTAGGTTTTGCGACCACCAACACTTTCAGGGATTGATGACACTGATGTCATCTGTCGCAGTTCACACCTGACATCGTTTTGCGGTGGATGGATTGTTGTGCCAAATACAATAGATTGGGATTTTGTATTTTCCGGTTTCACTCTTGACAAAAATGTTACTTTGCTTGTATTTGTCGGTGTGATAAGCACGTTGTATTCAATTTTACTGATATGGGCAAGGCGGGCAGACAAGAAGGATATCGAACAGGTATGAAATACAGTTTTTGTATGGAATTGTAATTGTTGCTTCTTTTTAAATGACCAATATGAAGTTGAACAGTAATTTTGGTTATGTCAAGTCGTTGTTGTAAAAACATGGAGGTCAGATTGTATATATAATATAAAATAACATCGCAAAATCATTTGTAATAATTTTGAAATCATTGGTAATATGTGGATGGCTAAACAATATGTTTGTCAAATTTCCTTAAGGTGGCCTTTAACGCAACCAATAGTTAGATTTGCCTGATATCGGGATCAAATCCGGGGCCAATGCATCAGGGGGAAAATTCTGTACCACTGAGCTATATCATTTATACTAATGCTGTAAATACACCATCTCAACCTGCTGTTTTGTTAATATTCGTACACGCCACAACGTTAATTACATAAATAGATTATTTCATTTGTTTCAGCTTGGTTTGACGCCATTGGCTGACAATAATCCATCACACAACTATTACTACGAGATGTATGTCTTCACTGGACTCAGGAAAAATGCTGGGACAAAATCAAGAGTACGTAAATATTGAGAGGGAGTACTAGCCAAATTCATTGATTCTAATTCAATTGGCCAATGCTAAACGGTTCAAATGATAAATGATCACAAATAGTGTTCCAAAGTACACGTTTGTATTCTTTAAAACAACAATGTTCAATTTATTATTACATGTATACATACAAGTCCTTGTGTATCCCCTTTACTATTGGGTTGAATGCATGTGTAAATGTTATTGTTGAACATAGGTTCAGTTCTTTCTGTCTGGTGAGAATGATGAAACTGAAGTGCGAACTCTATCAGATGACAAGCGACCAATATTGAGACGTGGTGGCACCGATGGATTTTTACTCTCCACCGAAAGGTAATAAAGAACACACCGGTTAATTTAGAAACTTAATTGAATGAAAGATTAAAAAAGAGGTAAGATGAGATAATGCGTTTTTCATTCGTTCCAGTAAACGAATTTGTCATTCATTATAAATACTGCTACCTTTATCGGCTTGATTATTTATCCTATCCAAGTGAATATTAAGGTACATTGGTGTCGTCAGGTTGGAAATAAATTAATCCCATCGTAATTTAATATACGAAGTAAGTCATAAGGAATACGAAATATGTATCCATTTTGTATAGAATTGAAGAACTGAATGGTATAAATATTAATAATTGCGTCCAAATAGGGGTTAGAGGGTGAGAAAATATCAATGGAATGAAATTACAATGTCATTATGCAAAAATGCCCAAATTAGCTTATAATTCATATATTTAGATCTCTTGGCGACTTATTATTCTGCCGGATATGGCACGACAATTCCGGAGAAGGGATGTATGCATCTTGGTATCTTAAATACATCCTAATAAATGATGTACAGACACAAAAGAAATATTACTTCATATCAAATTCATGGTTTGCTGTTGAAGAAGGGGATGGAAAGGTAAGATATGATATCTTCCTTGGATGTGAGGTTCTGTTACTTAAACTGGTCATGTCAGTAATATTAATGTCAGGATAATGACTGGTCAAATTGTAACATTCTGTCCTTCAAATATCTTCTTTTTTGCTCATTTTCGCTTTTGCTGTTTTAGACCATCTTTTACAGCTCTTTCAAATACCTTCCAGTTTTGCATGTAATTGGCGTTTACTTGGCATATAAGATGTTGGAGGTTTCAAGCTCTGTAGAGATTAAGAAATAGGTGTAAACCTCCATCGAAATAGATGTAACCTCCATTTTTTGTAGCTCGATAGACTTCTTCCGATAGCTGGTCGGGAACAAAAGGTCGATCCAAGTCATATTGTGCCGCATAATGTTCAGAAAAATATGGCAGATGATCATCTTTGGTTTTCTGTCATTGCAAGACCACCAAAGAGCAGGTAAACATATTATTTAAATTTCATTTTTCTGTTTCAAATTAAAACATAAAAAATGTCTCCTAATGTTTTGGAAACGAAATAATATCCAGACAAACGATAACGGTGATATCAATAATAGCTACACCCAAACTGTACACATATTGATTAAATCACAAACGAACAAACAAACAAGCAAACAAACAAACAAACAAACAAATATGAATATCAAACTGAAGTTCCCTTTTGAATGTTGGTGGTTGTTTATTTTAAACAACAAATACAGGGTGGTCTAAAAATTGTAACATTACTTAAACTTAGGTAAAACAACATTTCTCTACTAAAATACACCAAAATATTATTGAGGATAGTTCATTCTAGTGTACATGGGCTGTAAAGTTCATAAATACAGCCTATCATGTTAATGGGTTTAACTAGCCAATTTTTGATATGCCTCCTCTATAAGTTCATATCTGGAACTCGGTTTATAGCTGTATCATTATATTCTTTTAAATGAAGCTTTAAAATAATTTCTGAAAAGCAGCATCAAAATTGACGAGTGTAAAGATAATTGGGTTCCAGCAAACATTTGCTACATCAATGCCTTAAACTTGATTGCATCTTTAAAATTTGCAGATTTAAACAACTAAGATCAGTAAAATGTTGGACGTAATTAAGTAATTTAGAGGGGAAATAAATGTTCGTACAATTAACAAATGTTCCATTTTAACCATTCTGTAGATTAATTAATGTCAAGAATTGATGCTTTCTGTCGAATATCCATGCAGGTTCACAAGGGTGCAAAGAGTTTCGTCGTGCTTTTCTCTAATGTTGTGCACCATGGTAACAAATGCAATGTTCTACGAAAAGGATGACCCGTCATCTTCAAACTCTACTATCATTGGACCATTTAGCATTTCACCAGAACAGGTGACATTTCATTTCCATAGTCTACTATCTTATTCCATCTATTCCTTTAAGTGTATATCCAGGCTTTACGAGAATAAAAGATGAATGATTGGTATCTAATTTTATTAGTGTCTATATCTCACCGTCAATGAGATTAAACATTCAAAAATACTTTCAAATTCTGATAATTCATCCAAAACGTTGCAAAGATATGTGAATTTCTTTAAATCAAAAGTTTTTTCAGTTGTCAATATTTCTAAATTAACACCCTCCGCGATCCGATTGTACATTATATTATCTCAATAAAAGAACCCCTCGAACAATACAAGTTTATATGTCTGAACATATTATAAATAGTGTACACAATAATCAACAATCAATATTTTTTGTAGATCTCAATTGGGGTGATTTCAAATCTCATTGTATTTCCCGTGAGTATGCTGATAGTCCAACTTTTCCGGAGGTCACGTTTGAGAACGAAAAGGGTATCTCCTGTTCATGCTGCAATTCAAAAAATGCAGCAGTCGGATACATCAGTAAAGAATGATAGCGACTCAAATGGGAAAGATACTATCCTAAGTGAGGACACAAAGAGAGAGGATACTGAACAAACGATTGGAGAACATTGTCAAAACATGTCTGGTGTTAAGATTGTAATCGATAATACAGAGGATTTGGGCAGCCCTGAAGCGACATGTAAGTTATAGTTTACCAGTTAGATTGGGTAAATGTTATGTTTAAAATTGAACCACAACATAAGTTAACTGATGTAGGCCTATTATTGCACGCTCGTAAAAAAGGCTAACAATAAATCTGTTTTTTAATAGCCAAAACCCTATACCGAATCAACATTGTTATATTGCATATTATTACCACTTTTTATCTGATTACAGGTGAGTCGGACCGGAAATCAGGAAATAAAAGATGGATGTTTCCTTGGTGGTGTAGATACGTAGCGTGGGCGCTTGTTGTTTTGACAACATTAGTGTCGGGATCATTCATTATATTTTATGGTGTTCAATTTAAAGACGAGAAATGCAGGAAATGGATAACATCCATGCTTGTTTCCATGGTGATGTCCATCTTTGTGACACAGCCAATTAAGGTATTCATTTGCGACATACTGTGTTTAACACATTACGTCTCATATGTTGGTCATCCCTCTTCTGCAAAGGCTGCTTCAGAAAAGCATTCAAGTTGAATATTTAACAATTTTGTAAAGATTGAATGAATTCCTATCTATTCTCTAATATCCTCTTTTATGTGATTTAGGTTCTGCTGGTGGCTATAATATTGTCAATGATATGCAGATCTACTGATGATGAAGATGCCGGTGACGAGGAAGATGAAGAACAGCCAAATTTACAACAAGATGAAGAGTTGCTACATTCTTACACGACAGGTCTATCTATCAAATCTTGATTTTATATTCAATAACTTCATTTATTATTGTCGTATTTGAGAAATAAAGACCGAAGAACAGTGGTAATATAATTGGATATACCCCGCGGGGCTAGGTACAAATGTTTAATGTACCCCGAACGACAGAAGGGAGTGAGGGGTTCGAAAGCTTTTGTGCCTAGCCCTAAGGGGTGTGTAAAATGTATTCGACGATATTACACCTGCTCTGGGGTCTATATTACGATTCGAACAGGAAAACTACCCGTACCCAAAATGTTTTGAATATTCATTATGGTTCGCCATTACTACATCCCGCCGTTATGACGTAACACATTACTCGTATTACTAGGGGTATTGTTCGCGAATATACCCCGGGTGAAATGTTGACTTTGTTCACAGTTTATAGAAGGCATGAATACAGTCATGTTCGAATCTATATTATGTACTGGGGACTCTTGGGGAATAAAATAATGACAAAATTGCTTGAATTTGTAAATTTGAATGACATATTCATTGGGATCCTCTTTTGGCACGTTAAAAGTACTCTACTATACAAACGATTTGGATTACATATACTTGCCTAACATGTCTTTTCGAATTATATCAATTATAAGCGTTGTTCGCAATTTGTAGATGGATATATTGCAAGCAAAACCAAGTGTCTGTACACTCCCTTAGATCAGAAATATCTTGAGGATGCCAAAGAAAAACGACTGAAGCAATTGAAGATGTATACTATTCTTTATGAAGTGACTCTGTACTCCATATTTACTTTCATCTTAATCATCATCAGCTACCAGCTTCGAGATCCTAGCGCCGCTCATGCAATACAAAATATGGAGAATCAATTCATCAAGGTTAAACCGATGAATATGTTTGCAAAGGTACGTCTTTTACTCACATTTATATACTATGGAAGGTCAATATGTACCATTAATAGTCATTAGTGTCAAAAGGAAAGGATCAGAAATTGTTACAGAACAAAGCAAGAAAAGGAAAACATCTATGTGCACACCAGTCATAAAGACAGCAAACCCCAACTATCCTAATATAAACCGTGATCTAACGTGAAAGAAACAATATACCCTCTTCCCTCGCTAGAATGGTACGAGCAAAATCGTATTATATTCAAGCTACCGTTGTAAATCAAGAACTATTATCTTTGTGTTTTAAAGTTAAGAAGCAATCACTCGAACATATTTTTCAACTACACGAACTCTGTTGCCATCAAGAATCTCAGAGCTGGATATTGGTATAATGGGGGACCTCCCTTTGGCCAAAGAGGCTTCACGGGAGACAGAGTCAGTCGATTAATGGGCTATGCTACACTTCGACAAATACGCGTGAAACCAAAAGACGGTGAGACTTTATCATGCTAAGTTGCATCTTATCCACTAAAAGACCCATGGCAAAATGCAAAACATTTTAAACAATTTAATAAAAGCAAACTGGGTTCGACATTGTTTTTCTCTTAAACCAGTTATTGAAAACATTCTGTAAAAACACAGTCCTTTATGTAATTGGCACTGATTTACAACAATTTAATGCAAAAACTATTTTTGTATCTTTTATATAACTGTCTTTGTAAACATTTTTTGTTTTTAAATGCTATTGTTTTTGTTCCTTTATGTAATTGGCACTGATTTACAACAATTTAATGCAAAAATTATTTTTGTATGTTTTATATAACTATTTTTGTAAACATTTTTGTTTTTAAATGCTATTGTTTTTGTTCCTTTCTACCAACTCTTCAGGATGAAATAAAATATCTTTCCGAACCTTGTTGGAAGAAAATAGCATGCACAACATTTCCTTAGACCACTCAATATTATAGTTATACAAAAGAAGGTTTGGTTCATTTAACAAGAAGTATTCAAAAAGTAAAACAAAAACCCGACAAATAGATAAACATTAAAGTAAACATTTCATTTTAAAAACAATATACTTTTCGGTTGTACAAATACAATATGAGAGACCTAAACACGTTGTTTATATGTCATTTTGTTTCAATGAGGTTCGGATAGATGTTTCATTCCATTCCGTACATATATTACCACGAATAATAGAAGTGTCTGACGTGTTTTCTAAAACAATATAGAGAAAAGGATATATTTTTTTTCAAATTCAATTGTTACCATTTAGAAGATGATCAGTTAATTGACGATGTGTAAATTTTTCAGAATTTTTGATGACAGTTAAAACATGTTTTCAATTCAGTTCGCCATAGCGATGCCAATTCTTTGATACAAAATTGCTGTATCCCTTCATTTGAAAAGATTTCAATTGGCTTAGGTTCGATTTGCTATGGAAGAAATAAAACAAAAATCAAAGAATGATATGATAAACTAAAAAGTATAATGGAGACGGTTGAATGGCTTTCACGGGTTTCTTATAGGTTCTGAATGTAATGATGTATGTGCTGATGAGGACCTTACCTATAGTTTCGGAAATCACGATGAGAGTAATTATGGTATCGGATGGACACTATACAATGCATCAATACCAACAAGGCAAGTTTACTCTCATTAACAATAACTCCATCCACGCTGCTCCACCAAGTTATCGAAATTAAGTATTTCACATTAAACTTCAACCATACTACGCGTGACGCGTCCCACATTAAAGTAAACAGATTTACGTTTCCAGCCCTGAGTACATTTATAGATCTGCTGATGAGCTGAATTCCTGGCCTGTATTTGGGAAATCGAACGTTTACAAGGGTGGGGGATATGTTGTCCATCTGAATGGAAGCATCTACGATTTGCAGAGACTGGTTGCAAAACTGAAAAGGGTAATTTTGACATATTTGTATGGAAATTGAACAATCTATCAAGAAATTTAAAACTGCATTTCTCTTCGAGCAATAAATACTGTTGAGTAGTAGTTTTAAATTGGCTAAAAGGTTAAGTTCAACCTTCTGTATGGAATAAACTGTTTTTCTGTCAACCTGAAATTCAAAAGATTTCCTCACCTTTTTGTATTTTTGACACTTGATAGTTGAAATAGCAGGTTTCTGCAAATTAATTTTTTTCGGGAGTTATGTAAAAGTCCTATTGGTGACAACATTAATTTGTTAATTTAAGGAAGAATGGATTGGTGCCCACACTAAGGCTATTTTCATCGAGTTCACAGTGTACAACCCTAATGTTAACTTGTTTATTGCTAGTACCATATTGTTTGAATGGGTAAGCTCTGGAAGTATCTGGACCTGGCATAGGTGAGTTCTTATCCATCTTGTACATTTGTCTTCATTTTCACATTAACTGGTTAATATTTACATTTATCCCATACTTAGTATTGTTATAGGTAGATAACATGTGGGAATATAATTGGTATCTGAGGTGACGGGGTGATATATGTATCTCCCGCTGAGGTGAGCGGGAGATATATATATCACAGTAGGCCTACGTGTACGTGTATATTGAATAGATAGATATTAATCTTATATACTGCTAAATCATATGTGCCAAACAAATACCACTGAATTCCACTACAAAACACAATAATGACGCCAAGTGAAGCCATTACGAGGCCGCCAAACCATCTCCAAATGATCTAGCCTCCGAAATAGACAAAGTTCCCCTTTTAAATCCTACCTCTTATGATTTGACTCGGCTATAAATACAAAAGATAATATTGTGACTCCCGGTACTATAAATGTGTCCATTTTTAGATTTGAACCACTGAACTTGATACCGTATCTGAAATCAAACGCAATGTGGTTCGACGTAACGTGTCAGATAGCGTTTGCCTTATTTGTGTTATATTTCATCTACCATGAAACGAAAAAAGTCGCCAAGGCAAAGATGGAATATTTCAAGCAATTTTGGAATTGGGTATGGTATAAAATCATCTTTAGAAATTCCACAATTGTATGATCTAGCAAAACGCATTAAGTATAATACATAAATATGTTTTAGAAATAGTTGTCATAGTAACCAAGACATATTGAAAAGGAGCTTTCCATCTGTATATTTGAATAACAGACTAAGAGCTTGGCACTGTAACATTACGTCTAATATATACATAACAAAAAGTCCTTATGACGGCATACTGTTCGATGTTAATTCAGTAGAAAATGCAGCGTTTATAAAAAAACTCTCGAGCAGTCTGAGAAAGTGTTCTTCAGAAGGCTGCAGAATATCAAATTATGTTTAAAAAATTTTCAGATTGAATTATTCATCATCGCCATGTCAATTGGTGCCATAGCGATGTACTTCTGGAGGCTGAAACTCACAAACGATTTGACAGATTCGTTCAAGAAACACCATGGCAACTCTTACAATAACTTTCAGTTCGTAGCATATTACAATGAAAATCTCACATATTATGTTGGATTGCTATGTTTTATAGGTACAAATCTGAATACAATTATTAAATGAAATAAATAAGTTAAAAGATTAAAATAGTTTAACATTAAACTGATTCGTGAAGACGAGACCATGAAGTCATGCTGAACATAATGTTTTATTTTAAATTTTAGTGACCATCAAATTCTTGAGGCTACTTCGGTTCAACAAAAGAATGTCTTTGCTGGCAAGCACATTAAAGTATGGTGCGAAACCTCTGGCTGCATTTGGTGTAGTTTTCGGCATCGTATTTTTTGCCTTTGTCCAGGTATTTTACCTGCTGCTAATGACGACGTTAGAGAAATTCAACTCGATGGTAAACAGCATGTTGACGGTTGTACAAATGATGCTCGGAAGATTCAGCTTCAACGATATGAAGCATGCTGATCCGATCTTGGCACCGATTTTCTTTTTCTTGTTCACCTTCATTTTGTATCTTGTCCTTATCAACATGTTCGTGACCATCCTTAACGAGACATTCGCAGTGGTCCAAAATGACGTCGCAAAACAGTCTAACGAGCATGAAATGGTCGATTTCACGGTTCAGAGATTTAAGGCCTGGATTGGGTTTATACCTACGAAACAAAACGAAGATGTACAAAGTGTTCCTCCCGAAGTTCGTGTATCTAACGTCAGCGATGGTGTGGCTCCAGTTTATCCATCAGCAATCGAGAAATTTCCGGAGAAAATTGAGCAAATGCTGTTACATGCATGTAGGCTTTATAAGGATGATGAAACGCTCTGTGACGAACTTCTTAATTCGAGAGATCGAGGACACAAAACAAAAGCGACCATGAAATTGTTTCTGGCTACGGACCAAGATGTGTTAAATGGGAAATATCAAAGCTTGCAATAGAAAGTGTCAAATTCGACAACCTTGTGAAGTCTTAGCCAACAGAATATGAACATAAATGTATATTGCACCAGAAATACATGGACAACTGCTAGACATCTTTTACATCATTATTATCATTTTATCATAGACATATTTTAATTGATAGAGACGCTTTGATACAGTTTTACGGAGGAGGAAGTAAAGCACAATTTACAGTCTACTCATATTAAGATACAGTAGACCTGGAGATTCAACGATAAACTTAACATTAACTTTGACCCCAATGTCAAATAAATAGAAGAATTGCAAAGGACTTTGGCTATTATTAACAATATATGTGGGTCTTTGAATGATGACCTCGAATGCATTGTTTGAAACTCGGACGATGTGATCCGAATGCAATGTGTCGAATGTTTAACTTGTTTCGTATTATATTTAGAATCGTATACATGACCTCGAGTTTTGTATTATAATAGCATACATGGCTTTAGATTTTATTTTGCTCATAGCTCTAGACTTCATTCTAGTTTAACAATGAATAAAATAAAATCTGCTAGTCATTTTTTGTGTTTCATGGATAGAAGTAATTTTATTACCCATTTATCAATGAATGTTAACACTAACTAAATCGTTAACTCAAATTGTAATATATTTGCAATTTTCTGTATTTTCTTTATATATACTTTGAATCGAGGTGGTTTTATAAGCGATTTGCTTATCGAGGAATGTTATACACTAACTGAATTGTAATTTATTTGCAATTTTCTGTATTTTCTTTATATATTTTGAATCGAGGTGGTTATATTAGCAGTTTGCTTATCGACGAATGTTATACACTAACTGAATTGTAATTTATTTGCAATTTTCTGTATTTTCTTTATATATTTTGAATCGAGGTGGTTTTATAAGCGATTTGCTTATCGACGAATGTTATAATAACTGAATTGTAATTTGTTTGCAATTTTCTGTATTTTCTTTATATATTTTGAATCGAGGTGGTTTTATAAGCGGTTTGCTTATCGACGAATATTATACACTAACTGAATTGTAATTTATTTGCAATTTTCTGTATTTTCTTCTATATTTTGAATCGAGGTAGTTTTATAAGCGATTTGCGTATCGACGAATGTTATACACTAACTGAATTGTAATTTATTTGCAATTTTCTGTATTTTCTTTATATATTTTGAATCGAGGTGGTTTTATAAGCGATTTACGTAACATGTAATTTATTTGCAATTTTCTCTATTTTAAGCTATTTGCTTATCGACGAATGTTATTCACTAATTGACATGACTGAAGTTAGTACTGAACTGTTAAAAATATTTTAAGTTATTCACTTTCTGGATTTATACCTGATATCTGATGTAACACCATAAGTGGCAAAATATTGTGTAAAATTCTGGATTTAAAGAAGCATGCAAATGTGCTCATAATATCCATGTGTACCAATTTATTATATGGAAGGTTTGAAATGTAAATTTCATGAACTTTTGCAAAAAGAATACCAAATTGATGGCAAATAACCTTAAACATAAAAGAAACATCAGGCTTTAGACTTTTTCTAAAAAAGTAGTGATGACACCATTTGAGATTATTTGAGTTAATACTCTCAAATAGTATCTCGTCTTAGTTGCACCTTTATGCCTCATTCACATTTGCTCACATGGCTAGATTACGACCACCGTATGAAATTTGACTGTCATCAAGATAATTAAGCAGACTAGACCAAACTATTTTAAAGCCTAAATTTAATCATACCACCGAACGAAATTCGAGAGGGATATAGAGAAGCCGCCCGTTCGGCGCCATTTTTGCTGATGCTTAGGAACTCATGAGCTCTGAACGAGAAGGAATTTTCAAAATTGTAGTTGTATTTCAAAATGGCCACCATTATTTTTCATAAAAAATGTGATCTTTGATAACTTAAAAGCAAGTTGGCGGCTTTGATTCAAATTTTATGTACTGATGTCATTTGGGTGTAGAACCTCTGCTCAAGGAGGTATTTAAATATGGCTTCAAATTGTATATGGTGTTGCCTAAGGACAAAGGAGCTCCGCTAATGAAGACACCAGTGGACGGATTTGGTTCAAATTTTATAGATGCCTTGGAAAACTCAAAATACAAGTGGGCGGATTTAGGTCAAATTTTATATTCTGATACCTAGAGATAAAAGAGCTCTGCTCGAGAAAAGAAGATGGTCGCTATTTATAAAAATGTCCGCTCCTTTTCATTAAAAAAATATACCACTTGTTGGATTCGGTTCAACTATTACATGGTGACATAGAAGCTCTGCTCAAAAAAAAATCTTAAAGATGGCAGCTGAATTTCAAATGGCTGCCATTTTCCAGAAAACATAATCTTTGATAACTCAAACACCAGTGGACGGATTTGGTTCCAATGTATATGCTGATATCAAGGAGCTAATACAAAGGAGGTGATACAAAGATGGTCGCTATTTATCAAAATATGTTTTATTCGATGGGATTCGCTACTCCCTGGAGTTGCTGTTTTTAGTTTGACTTACACTTTCAGTGGTATTCTTTAGGTGGAATGCTAATTAATAGATTGAACATATACGTATACATTGCTAAACACACTTTAATTGAACCAAAATAAATGAGAGACTTTATTCATTTTTTGTAACGATTACAAGAGAAGGTAATACATTATTCAATTCATATTTGATTTTGTGTAACAAAAATAGCTATATAGGTTTAAGGCGACCAACCACATTTCTTGAGATTCTGTTTCAAGCTTCATAAACGGTCAATATTTTGTTGTAGAAAACAAAAGTCTTTTAACGTAAAAAATGTCCTGTTTTGTTTTTAAAATTCTGAAGTTTACATAATAAAGTACATTTTCTTTCAGTCTTCAATTTAGCTGTTAGTTGTTTTATTCAGTGTAAAATTTGGCTGATATGAACAGGTTGCGAAAAACATATTTTTGATTCATGCCGGATGCCAAAAATTGTTATCATTCCAGTATGATTTCGTAAGAAACAAGTTCTCATCAATGATCAAGAATACGATTTCCTCAAATAGAGTAAAACGCGCCACGGAAATCAGAGCCTTCATAAATGCGACATATCGTGGTGTTAAAACAGTCACATTTGTTGGATTACGTCCTCATTCCTTTGAATGTATTTCCCAGCGAGCACTGAGCACACACATGCGCTTTACAATAACGTTGACTATGAACTCCCGTAGCGGATTTCTGCAGCGTTTCAGGACATTGATGATCGACAACTTGGCAGGGTTTGATACTTTAATATTCACACCTACATCATCGCGGCCCCTGATCATGATAGTAGTCTTACTACGATCTCACACAAGTAAAATAAATATCACCTGGAAATGATTTCACATTTGGAGCTTCGCTTGCACCATGCCATCCAGATCAAAATACCCGCTAAATTATTTCGTAAAACAAATGTCCACTTCAATTTATATTTACAATGAGTGACACTCTTATTTTATCAATAGTCAAGCAAATGGCTTTCAGAGAAGTCAATGCACAATGTCGTTTTAAAATAACTAATCAATGCATTCTTTGACCCCCTTACCCCCTACGTAATTTGTAATTGAGACGAGACAATCGTTGAAATTGAAACTAGGTTCGATTTTAATCTTATTCATAATGCATGTAATAGAATCCGGATCTTTTCATAAACAATCAACCCAGTGTGAAAAGATAAAGGGGGTTGGAGGGTTAGGCCATATTCAAAAATCAACCTGAAGCCTCTCAACAAAGACATTTGCTTTACGGCGGCCTCAGCTTCATAAAATCGATATAGAAAATATATTTCCTACTGTCTATCCCTATATCTTATGTTGCACCTTTTTACGATTTTGGGAAGCTACGGCCGTCGTACGGTGGCCGTAGATTAAATGTGATTGGAGAATTAATTATTTAGATTTTTAAAATTAGCGATATGTCTATCTTAACGGCATTCCAAACGCAATCAGCTTTTAGTCGACACTGTTTAACTGCTGCCACATACATTAGGTGAACTCTGGTTCTATTTTCCCATCCCATACGTCCTCATCGATTGAGAGAGATACCTTATGGATTCATTTGATAAATAATCATATTAGGCCAAATAACAGGTAATAGAGCATTATAGATATAATTGATGCAAAAATAGAATCAGAATTTCGTTCGCCGTTGATCTGACTGCCAAATTATTGGATGTCTCTGTAGAATTTCCAGACTCTGTCCGGTCCTATCTCTCCAACGTAGACACTTCTGCCATCTGGCGACACCGCGACGTCATGAGGTGTTGTGAATCCGGTCTGAAAAACAAAAATCTCAATTAACAGCAATTAAAATTTCTTTTTATGATCTCTCAATTAATATTGATAAATCAAATGAAACAATCGTAGAAATACAAGTAATTATCGTATGATCTGTAAAATGAAGCCTTCTGATTGATCATCCTTATGCTGTACCAATCTGTATTGCTACTGAGATTGTCCCCGTTGATCATCTCCGTCGCAATACAGAAACTATTGGTACGGAGGGGACAGTCTCAGTTGCAATACAGAGGACCACACGATAAAAACGTTATTGAATGATTTGAAGTGCAATACAGGATATATTCTGTCTCGATATTCTGTATTGACATTCGACTTCGTTTCGTTCCAATACGGAATTTCTCGAGCAGAATATATCCCATATTGCACTTCAAATCATTCAATAACTTATATTGACTAAAACACGAGCGAGTCAAAAGATGAAACTTGCCAGGATGATTACGCTGCATATACTGGTATATGAGATAGTTTTGGATAATTACAATTGACACCGCCACCTCTCTAGCTGTAGATCACAACCTTCTAAATCTAGATATGAAAATGTGATCTAAGACATTTACTTGAAATCAATGTTAAGAATATCTCCAAATCCTGGTAAAGCTGACATAATATACCCTCGAAGACTTTGAAATGTAATTTTGTCATTAATAACAGGAAGAACTCAAGATCGATGCGAGTCTTTTGTGTATGATTGACTCGGTCGGGGATGTTTCTAGGCTTCTTTCAGCGTCAAGGCGTCATCGTTTATGAAATCTGCTGAAAAACAGCTTCATGACCAAAGCAAATATTTACACACAAGTGCCACTGCCAAAGGAAAAGGACGGAAAATTGTTGCAAAACACAGCAAGAAAAAGAAAACATCCAAGAGTACACAAGTTATAAGGAAAACAACCCCAATTATCCCAACTATAATCTAAACATCAAAAGAGATAAAGACCTTACATCACCACACAGGAAACACCATCATATTCACATTTTAAAACCACAATGCTTTTTATATATTTCATTCAAACATTACAATACATATTGGATAACACATTTAGAAACTAATAATGTTAAATGATACACATGTTTTGCAAGAAACATACCTGATCAGGTGACCAAATCTCCAGAATTTGTCCCTCCTCTGGATTGATTGTGAATCCCCTAACGTCTTCAGTGTCTCCATTTACCAAATAAAAGAGCCCATCTGGAATGTTATTGTACATTTGTTTGTCCATATATTCATTTGAAAATAGAAAAGCACTCCGTTTCATAAGTACTTCCACGTCATATTTTGAGAGGTTGTTTTCATAACTTTTCTGTTCTACGTTACACTTTATAAGACTATTTGAAGATTGCTCAAGATGACTACTTCCCAGTAAACTAGTTGTAAGCTAATTTAGATTAATTCAGGCATCCCTGTGAAACAATACTTGTATAACGTTAAACTGTGAAGAAAATTGCATTGTTTTAGGTAGAAACGTACTTCTAGTATTCGTATGCAAAGAATTCAAGCTTGGAAACTATTGGTCGTTGGTGAGCATTCAAATCCCTATAAGTACCATTAACAAATTATCACTTGTTGAATAAATGATATTGGAATAAGTTGCTGCCTCTAGAATAGACTTCATGAAGTAGTCTGTAGGTAGTTTCTTTACATTTTTAAAGCTAAATACCTTCGACATCAAAAGTGAGGGCATAGACAGAACCAAAGCGAGGATCAGTAAATGTTGCGTTGTATTTTCCAAGTGCTGCTGGGGTCTCAATACCTGCTGTGTAGCACTGTACCCTGTAATACAACAATACAAAATAAATCTAGATCTCTAACGTCAGGGCATAAACAGAACCAAAGGATTGGTCAGTAAATGTGGCGTTCTATTTTCCAAGTACTAGTGGGGTGTCAGTAAATATGGCGTTGTATTTTCTAAGTGCTACTGGCGTCTCAATACCTGCTGTGTAGCACTGTACAATAAATACAACAGTACAAGATAAAGCTCAAAAGTAAGGGTAGAGACTAGAACCAAGGATTGGTCGGTAAATGTGGCGTTGTATTTTCCAAGTGCTGCTGGGGTATCAATACTTGTTGTGGAGCACTGTACACTGTAATACAACAATCCAAATAAATTTCTAATTGCGTGTAAGTAGAAACTAATGATTTCCTCTGGATAAGATAAACATGACACATGAGATAACATCTGTCATGAAGAAAATGAATAGCATTTTCATAAATAAATGGCAGAGTAGCAGACGACATTTTGCGGTGAACCTGACCTGACATGAAACCTATCAGGAAATTAGTTTAATTAGACATAGGATCTGCTGATCTGTCTCGAACATGAAGATTATACTTTCATGGTTTCGTTTCGTTATGCCACCTCATTTTAATATTTTCACTCATAGAATAATAATAATTTGTACCTGCGATCCATTTTGGTAAGATCGCGACTTAGGATTCTAAGAAAACCTTTGTCTACTTTGGATGAAAAATGACTTGCAACAAAGATGATAAACTAACATCGATTTACATGGAATTACTATTTTCTTTGAAATAATAATAAAGATAAAAAAGTCTAAAAAATAAAAAAAAAGTCCCACGGACCCCAGAGACTGAACATAAAGCTACAGGTATCACGAAGCTCTTCTGGCCTAAGATGCGAAGTTAACTCTACAAAACGGTACCTCAATTGGTAATCCATAATACATACCGGCCATGTTCTCTGTCAGCAACGCAAATGGCATCCACCTCCTCAACTAGAGCCAGACTATGAGGTACTTCCAGATCGTAGGGACCTGGGGTGAGGTCATTTTCTGCCTTTTGTCCCCATGCCTTAATGAACTCGCCACCCTTTGTAAACTTCACAATACGGTGATTGCAGTACCTAGATAGAACAATGTGCCGTGTGATATATTATATTCTGACATATCGAGACGGCGATTACAACATACTTCATGTCGTAATATATCATGCATTCTGACTCGGTCAACAACACAATACGGCGATAGAAAAATGTGTCGTATGTTATATTCTGACGAGAAAAATGTGTCGTATTCATATATCCTGACTTACTCTTACTTCTCTTTAAGAAAACGAGTTGTAGATCTCAGCGACGATAATATAATACTCATAAATATTTTGACATACGGTAGTCCTATTATTTGTAAAACTGTGAAAACAGAAAATAATGGTTCTTTCTGTAGTTCGAAGGAGAACTCATAAAAAACATTTCATATGTTTTGTGCAGGTAATTTCTGCGATGATTATAGTTTTTGAGAGAAGAAGGTAGTTTGAATATAGAAGTATGAGTATACCTTATAAAAGCTTTTGTAATTAGATATATCTCTACAATCAGAAGTGTTTGCAATAAGAACTCTTCAATATATTTAAACCAAATGCAAACAAAGCATAATCTATAGAAAACATCCTTGATCATATTCCTGAGAAAGAACATAACCGTCAGGTGATTGATTTTTCATCAAGATCCTGCAGTGTTATTTTAATCTTAGATCAACATAGATCTTTTAAGATATATTCTACTCCCAGATATACACTCCCCTCCAAACGTTTCGTTCGAAACCAAACATTGCGGCCATTCCATGATGTGTTGAGTGTGTTTAACTGTTACATTCAGTGACTTGACGCCTTTTTGAATCTGCGCATCTTGAGATATTGGACATTGAACTGATGGAACAAAATCAAATGAACAAGCCAAAAAAACTAATGAATGGAGACAAGTGAAAATATAAATAAATGAGCTTAAATTGTAAAAATCCTTCTTTATATACTAAAAAACGACAAATACAATATTTCAAATAATAGAGCAACGGTAAATATGGTTAGCACCTCGTGAATTAATATAAAGGCTTTCTTTCGCATCGTCTATATTATTATACCAAACTCATATCTAAAAAATACAATCAAATTTATTTATTTATTTGTTTGTTTGTTTGTTTGATTGGTTGTTTACTTATCTATCTGTTTATTCCTTTTTTCTATAATTATAATAGTATTAAAACGTACCCATCTGATACAAAGAAATCTCCATTTGCTGCCACGGCAACGTCTGTAGGTTTGCAAAAATTATTCGTGCCATTCCCTGGTGCAAACTTTGTCCCGATGACAAGACTTGGCTCCTTTTCGCCATTTGCAAATTTGTAGACCTGGTGAGTCGCGACGTCAGTCACCCATAGATTATTCTCACTGTCTATACTCAAACCATGTGGTAGATAGAATCTAAAACATTTATGTTACCATGTATAGTGTTAAATTCAGGGCGTGGTTCAAAGGATACCAAAAGATAATGTACAGTGCCCATTTCCGTCTCATTAAATATAGTAATTGGCCTTATAATTGTTGAAAAAACTGGTTCAAAAAGTGAGAGGCGGTATCACACTTACATATTTTGTCCCCAAGCATCCAACTGAAGCCCCGTTTGTGGATCTATCTTTAGGATGGTTGCCTCGGCGATGGGACCATCTGATTCTTTTGTGAACTTGTTTGTCTTTTCGTCAAACATGCTGGAAACATCAGGAAGATCGTTGCTATATATTGAATGAAAGCATATGAAGTCGGAACAACTGTACCGTGTATTTCAAGATGATGTACAGTTCCCAAATCGTAGAATCAAAATGTACAATTCTTCTCTCCCAGCTCATTACTAAATTCGTTGAAATGTTATTTTATAATCATACATATTTTCACACCAATCGTTTTTTCAAATCTCTTTGTCTGTCTGGTATTGTCAAAAACTTCCGCTCCGGATGGGCGGTACCTAAGTGTATACATAATATCAAATAATGTCTATCTTGTGAACAAAGTAGCTGTGATATTACATGGTTTTATTGATTTGGTTCAAATAAATCAAATTTTTTCTCTAAGACAGCTTAGTTGTAGATTAAATCAAAAGATTTGTTTAGGCAATTCATCACTACTGCGTGCTCTTAGGAATTATATTTAATATTTCTTTATGCATGTATGACTCCGCAAGTCGACCAATGCTTTGATTGACGAGCCGGGAGTCAGGCCATTCAGGACAAATGAATTCAAAGTCTAGTATTTAGGTGGAACAAGTAAATGTGGACACTTGATGAATGACGGCTTGTCAAGCCCAAATCCTTTTCACAACTAACAAAACGTAAAACACTCTCAGCTTGTGTTCACAAACGTAACTTTCGGCTGTCGGCTAACGGATTTACCTACTATTTTATGACAATGAAGGGAATAGTGGCAGATTCTATTCATATTTAGATGAGGTGCACGTAAAATAGTAGTTTATCCGGTAGCCGACAGTCGAAAGTTGCATTCGTGATTACAATGCCAACAGCATGCAGCAGGCATAGAGAATACCCGCTAATACTGCACTTTTCACTGGTAAAAACGTGTAAGCATCAATTATATACAAAGAGAAAGTGGCAGAAATGCATTTTCCATCTTTGATCAAAATAATGAGCAAATAAAAAATAATGAAAATTGACCAGACGTCTATATCTTTTTAATGAAGATTTCAAATGTACACTTCTTACGTACATGTATAGGTGTAGTACATGTATATAATCATTTTATTCATTATCTTCGACCGTTGTCATGAAATAAATTCTTACAATTGATTGGTCATCGGAATTCTTCAAAAATGTTTTAAAATAGTGAACGTTATAATGAACCTGACATCTCATATCTTCTCAGCCCTGAGAAAGATGGTATGAGTATCAGAATGAGGAACTTGGGAACCTCAGTTAGGGTTAGATGTTTTCAAATGGTGTACATAGGCGTTTTTATTTTACCACAACGGACAGACTTTAAAGCTCTCGTTTGCCCATCTAAAATAATGTTTTATTTATTTTTCTGAGAAACGATGAAGTCAAAAGTGTAGATTATAACATGTCTAATTCTTATCTTACTCTTTTTAATAACGTTTTATTTATTACAGATATGTTATTTTGGTTTAACTTGATTTATAATAGAGATGCAATCAAAGTGTCCCTCATCAAGGTGGAGAACAGTTAAGACAATAGGATATTTAGGAAGTCAGTGAATTAAATAAACCCGCGGCCACCATTATCCGGTTAATTGGTCAGGGGATAAATCGCTTCAAGGAATGTCAGTGATGCCAATACATTTCTTTTTGCTTGTCGGAATACGTTTTGTACAATCAACGAAGCAAGATAAGCCTGAAGTAACGGCAGCCTAATCGAATTCAACGTTTGATTAACATTTCCATCACGGTCATTATTGCAAAAAGGTCCTAACTTAATAATGCCATCTCATTGTGATTAGATCAGTAAAATGATATAGGACATTTTCTTAAGTCAAGTTCAAATACAGACTGACAGTTTAATCAAAGTCATAAAGTACTGAGATTTATACCAGCATTTCGATATTAAATGCATAGTCAACAGGATTATATTCTATATAAGATCCAATAAAAATACCAATAAAACTACACTACCCTTCAAAAGTCTGGGAATCATTTTAAAATCACATAAAAATTGTTAAAACGATGATAGAGCAACTTTCTGCATTTATAACTTATTATTTAAATAATCAAACAATGATAATAAAAAGTATGAAGCTGGGTTCCATGATACCACCTAAATTTCTGATTTAAAATAAATTTCAGCTGATTCAAATATTTATAGTTCAAATTATCGCTTACTCAGCCTCCCATTTCCGGGCTCCTCTGTGTAGGACGTATACAATGCCTGCATTGTCGACTGCTACCCCTGACACTTGCCCCAGCTTGCCACGAATAGACTGATCTGGCCAGCTTGGGACTACGGACAGGGGTGCAGGCCACTCATTGTCTATTGGATCTTCCTCGCCATACTCTTCAAATTCCTTGGCCCGTCTAGCCTCGTCTTCCTTAAAAGTAACATAGACAGAATTTAGTAAACATGTTATTTAGATTGAATATCTCAAATGAATACCTACTTATGAGAGTTAAATATATTTATATATTTGAACAATATATCATCAATTTACATCACTTATCGTTGTCTCTTGGACTAAACGACTAAAATGATATATATTTCTTATCTATATTTGCACATCTGCATGTTTAAAATATGCACTTTAATGTAAAAGTACATCTGATGTCATATGGTATATATATATAATACGACTGATTTTCTATTGTTCAAGCAGTATCAGCATTCAAATAATATGAATAATGAATCGTTACGTGATATCTATACAAATTATTTCACTGGGGAATTGGAACTTATCAGATCGGGTTATGTTTACATACACGACATCATGAGTATTTGTTACCAATTCAGAATCCCATATCTGTTTTCATACATTTCTTTCGGAGATCCTTGTGATACACCCAAGCATTGAAAACAATGAATCGTATTGTCCCTTATTGCTAATTATGTGGTGGGATCATGGAGAGCATTGTCTAAAATGGGTTTAGACAATCGTCATAACAAACTAAGCAATTTACGAATTCATAACACCAAATAACTGATGTACCGGTGTAGGTAGTTTATCACATCGTTCTGCCTTCAACTAAAAAGAAGCTAATAGAAGGCTGTGCACGTGATTTATCACGGCGAGGTCTAGTAAGAAATGAACAGGTAAATAAGGAAAGATTAATTTTCTGCCACACATTGAAACACAGTTGTATTTTTATTTTTCTAAATGCAAAATACTTTATTTTATTTGTTATCTGTCAGATCATTACACAATTTGATACTCTCTTTTAAGAAGCGAAGTCGAAAGAATGCAAAGGGGTTATGGACACTAACTTCCTGAGTAATGAGATATCTATGACGTTATGGCAGAAAACTCGATTCCAGATTATAATTTCTTAAGACGGTATCTTTTGACACAATTCATACCTTTATCTCCTTTTATAAAATGAAGTAGTAGTAGGCGATACAAGAAACATAAAAAAGAGAGTAGGTGGGAGGACGGGATGCAAACAAAATAAGGCTCCAAAATGTAACCACATGGCGATGCCTTGGTCACATTTGCTCCGATCCATCGGCCGGTGCCCGCACGATTGAGTGTTTTGTTCAATATTGTTTTCAATTTTGAACAAAATACTCAATCGGGCGGGCGCCGTAGAGAAATTTCGAGCAAATGTGACCAAAGAATTACACACAGGAATAACAAGTGAAACATACAAGCCCCTAATAATCCGTTGTCATGGTAATTAAATGCCATGTTTTTCATGTTCCCATCAGCATCAGCTGGTTTGGCTAATATATTCAAATATGCAGCCTTGATCACGGAGCCCTTGAATTCCTATTTTTAGCACTTTTTACAACTTATGTTCATTTGCTAATTAGACACGTTAGATGAAAAGTAATCAAATCAAAGGTAAACATATATTCAAATAAAGAGCCACAATGCGAAAACTTACAAAATGCCTGGAAAGAATCCCTTGGAGTCTTTGTCAAATACGTTAAGGGAATTTCTCCCGGCGATAGAGTAATAGAGCTTTTGCATCCAGTTGTGGGGAAAAGGAATGTAAAGACGTCTGTGAAGCTCCAAGTGTTCTGGGCTAGCCAAGTATTCCGACTCTTGCCGAAGTATTCTGACTTGGCCCGTATTCTGGGTTTACTTATCTTATCAAATACACTCGATACGATGATTTTCAATTTCTAATATCAATTTTAGGTTTCTACAGAGGTAACTGTTGAAATTAAGCGAATGAAACCACTTATAATGTAGCTACCTCGTGCACAAAATGCTTTCCATTTATTCATATACACTAACAGGGTACCCATTAGGGAATGTAAAATCCCCGGTTGTTCGACTTTTGCACCATGGGACACTCCTGAGCAATAGAATATTTAGACAGAATGAAAAAATGGGCCTCGATTTTAAAAAAATGTCCATATTTTTAAGACATTGGGTCACAACTTTCAACGAGCCAACATTTTAGGACTCTTTTTTCATCCTAGCATTATTCCAGCAAAATTTTATTTTTTGAACCCTCTCTTGTGAATTATAAGATATGATAGAATAAGCGATCTCGGAACACTTGGGTTGTCAGAACAGTTGGGAAAGAGTCAAAACACTTGGGTAGCCCAGAACAGTGGGGCTTCCACAGACGTCAATAGCAATCAACGTACAATACGACACAATAAGCTACATGTAAATTATACCCACTATCATCTTAAGGATTGCCCGCCACCTCTCCTGATCCTCGCCATCCTCCTGTGCGATAAAGTCATCTTTCATTCGTTCACTATTGGAGGCATCTCTTAGCTCATCAACTATATCCTCATTTGAGCTAGATTCTGAGGCAGCCGGTGCCCCTAATATCACCCCTACACCAACCACCACCAAAACTAAACCCACATATTGCATACGCATACCACCACCTTCAGTAGAAAAATAAATATAAAATCCTAACTCGTTTACGTTACTCAACAGCCACCTGTTCGTTGACCCAGATCCAAACCTGCCGATCGACCGGTTGGCACAATCACTTGTATCCTGGCTGTGGCCTGGTAGATCCCTGTACCACAATATGGTCTACCTACGACGATATATTTCAGAGATGTCAAGTTCCAGTTGGCTTCTAGTGTTGTGTATTGAATTATCATAGAGATTCCTGTGAATGGACTGTTCGATCAATACGCCAATGACGTCAATAGCAGGATTCTCTGAGTAGAATTAATTATGAAAATGTTCAATTATCAAGTGCTGGTATTGATATTCCTGTAGAGTCTCTGTATCTAGCTAGATTAATAACAGTGATGAATGATAGGGCAAACCATCGTGCTGTGATACTTATGATCGGGCAATATATACCTAATTTAAAAATTGGTCGTAATTTTAGCTTATCATGTTTACATACATCATTTGTCTTCCAACAATATTGGCAATTTGACATAATTGAGTTCTCAATTGAAAACATTCAACAGTAGAATTCTACTTTGATACAACACAGTGATCACAACACGATTTTAGATCTGTGGTAAAGGAACACATATGTCTAAATATCATCTGATTAAGACATTTACAGGTAGTTCAGATATAAACGGAATTACCTCAATGATTAAGGGAATTACCTTAATGATTAAGGTAATTCCGTATCATGAAGAACTAAGATATGCCTTCCTTATTGAAGTTCACATGTTAGTTTTTAGATAATCTACTCGTTATCTAAATGCATGTAGATTATGGGAAAGTGATAAATCATTACATAAATTGTAAAAAATGAGAAACCCAATGACCTATTTTGTACTTTTTTTTATAAAGTAGGTCACTAAATTTCCCATTTACCCATATGCTTATAATCTAAGAAGATTAGTGTACACTTTGCTCAATATCGAAAGCTGTTTACCATGTGGGGATTGAACTATGATTGCCTGGAAATCAACATATGAATCCAACGAGGAAGCCATTTTAATCAATCTTACGAAACAACACTGTATCTTAATTTACATGAGAAAATGTCACAACATGTAAAATGGTTACCCAGAGGTCAACCGCCGACGTCGAAATTTCAAAAATAAAAAAATCGAAAAATTAGATCAAAGCTACCTGGAGGTAATTACTATACATAATCAATTAAATATGATATAAACATTTTCTGAAAACATCAAAGCTCAAAGAATTGCAGAAAAGAACATTTATATCAAATATACGGTTAATCATGACATTTCTAATTTTGGAGTCGCATACAGTCCTGGAGATAGTCGGAGTTAGATCATTCTACATGTAATAATATCACATCCATCACAATGACGCGTTCCTATATAAGCTGATTAATAATGTCCAACAAAACAACTGAAGATATTTGTCATAAATCTTAAATGTTAAAGGTCGACTAATGACTCCTGCACTCATATTACCTATCAGCAGATTGTTTACAAACACTGACACATGGGGTCAATTACTTATACACCGTTTCCATACTGGAAATGATTAATTTACTGTCCAGGTATTATCCAATACTGCCACAAGAGATATTCACCTGTGTATGCAACATACGTCATTGATATCAATTTGCATTGGTCATTTGTTTGTATCCAATTGAAAGCCCGTGGAAGAAGTTAGAGATGAGAACTGTCAAAACTTTGATCACTGTTGCACAACTAGTTATTTTGACGGAACGGAACGTCAATGTAACAAAATGGATGAACTTCCTGGATACAATTTTTTTTATTTTATCGATTTAAACTTACGTAATTCAATAACTTCAATAAGTTTCTTCGATTTTGAATTTGTTTTGTAAATGAAGTTGCAATTCCTATATTGAGCCCCTCGCTTTTGTTACATTGACGAAAGTCCGTTATATTACCAATGTATGTTACTTTCACGATTTACGTCAATGTAACAAAAGCGATGGTCTAAATGCATGAATAACAGCTTTTTTTACAATCAAATTCCAAACTGAGAGCATTTCTAAAAGCCAGACTATATTGTCTAACTTTGTGCCAAATGATAAAACCTATACATTTTAATATTTGGTAAATTAGTTTTTGAGCACTTCATAAATGGCGAAATGACAAATAAATTCTCATTTTTCAGAAACTTAAAGTGAAGTATTAAAATTGTCCATTTCTCAGTTCCCTGCATACTTTCAATGGACACATACTTTTGTCCTTATAATGTAAATCCACATTTGTATTTGTAGTTTTAAAATTTTAATGGAAAAATGTCGACTTTGAATTTTGGCATTCATGATCGTATACCTCCCTTTGCCATTAGGTTTGGTTGAATATATATAATCCAATTAACTCTTTCTGTTGATATTTCCCGTCATAAGGTATTATGTTTAATTCTGTATATCGTTCATAGATGGACACGAATGACTTTTTCTCGAGCTCGTGTAGGTTCATCTTACATTTTATGTCTAACTCTACTAGTAACTATAGATCTGAAAATGTCACGGATCTATGTTGCAAACTATAAGATTACTGTTAATACGTGCATACTTAGAGCAAGATTTCACTTCCATCTATACATCACATGTTAACTGAATACTGTATTTTGTAGAATAGGGGGTCATGCAAAGATAGTACTAGTAGCAAAATTAAACCGTGTGGTTGAAGAAATGGAAAGGAATTTCACAACGAGTCAATGATTTCACCCTGTAAAACAGCACCACATGTAATTTTGTCAGGTGGGATACAGTATTACACAAGCTATGTTTGCAAAATATTATAATTTGAAAGCTTATCACATCTTGTGTAACATGCACATTTTCTTACACTTTATTCTTTGTGCATGATTACCCGTGTAAATGATGCACAAAAAGAAAAAAATCATTATTTTTAACAATTTTCAATTTTTAATTTCTTCAAGTCCATAAACCTCCAAATATTAAGACACAAAAGAAACCATATTTGAGCATCCCATTTATTCTCAATCTTTTTATCTTGCTGATATTTTTAAGATTCTAGAGTCAGAATTACAGTACCTACCATGAACAATGACGAGTTTACATTGGATCACAAATGATCCTTTATTCATGCAATTTTGAATATTAGGATTCACTTAGGACTCACCCCATCCTCCAAATGCAGGGCTACAAAACGTGTTCCTTCTTCTCCCTCTAAAGAAAAAGAAGATATTATGGATCTTGTATAGATCTTGTAGCCCTGTGGTTGGAGGGTGAGAATCATCACAAGGGTATCTTAAGACCTGCCTATGTGTCTTCATTGAGAAGTATTGAAATTGCACTCACAAGATAATAAACTCCATTTTGAATTAAGATGCCATTTTGTAACCCGCATGTGAACAGTATCACCCCTTTGAATCATACATCAGATTGCTGGAAATGCATTGAGAAACCATAAAAGACAATTTCAGAGTGAAAAGTCCAAAATGACCATCTTAAAATGCTAGGTAGCATGACTAAAATCTATTCACTCCCTAGATTCTCATATCAGCAAAGATTTCTGAAACTGAAATCAATAGGTAAAATAATAATTAATTTGCTTGAAAAAACAGCAGGCTAGAATTCAACTTGCTCAGCAAACTGATCATAATGTGACATCCAAGGTTAAAATAAAACCTGTCATGAAACACTGGATGGATGGTCAAATAAATAAATGAAATGACAGTAAACAGCTTCTTTATATCACTACACAAGCTTAGTGAAGGTCAATTAACACAAAAGGAAGAAGCAGTGGATTCTGAGAAACTAAAATATGCTGTATATCAAACTTTCCTTTCAGTGTTATTTAGCAAATAAAAATGTTGCAATCATTAATGGCAATGAAGGACTGATTTGTATCAGTGCTGTTTATCTTAATATCCTAATACTAAGATTGTGTACTCCATACTTTCAGTGTATTTGTAGAAAATCCTTCACTGCCATATACAGCTTGTATGCAAACTGTATATTTCATTTCATCCAGTTTTTTCATTCCATGTTTACTTCAAATGGTGAACTAGTACCTTTATTTTATTTCAATACACAGAGAAAACTAGTACCATTGATCTGATAAAAAAAGGGTAGGTTGGCAGGTCTGTAATCAACTACTGATCTCACTTGAGTACAAACATGATCCGCATTGGACACAATTTCAAAAACAAAAGTAAGAATCAGTTGATTCAAAGAAACTAAAATATGCCGTATATCAAACTTTCCCTTCAGTGACATAGAACAAATAAAGATATTGCAACCATTAAATGGCAATGAATGACTGATTTGTATCAGTGCTGTATATCTTAATATCCTAATACTAAGATTGTGTACTCAATTCAGCGTATTCATACAAAATCCTTCACTGCCCCATATACAGCTTGTATGCATACTGTATATTTCATTACATCCACTTTTTCACTTTGTTCATTCCATGTTTACTTCAAATGGTGAACTAGCACCTTCAGAAAAGTCAAAATTTGTAGGGGCTGTGATTTGCATACCTCCCTGTTGACCACTAACGTCTATCTCCCTTCCTTCCACTGTAGGAACTAGGGGTACAGGGGATTCAACAGTCTTGGTGTGATCATAATTTTCTATCTCCATACGTTTTGCCTTCTTTTCAGCTGCAATTCTGAGTCTCTCCTCACGTTTAACTCTGGCTTCTTCTTCTTTCTTATTAAAGTTGTCTATGAATTCCCCTGCAGTGTTATACTGTGGGGGTTTCAATTTCATGTATTTCTCAGGAACAGGGATGTTTAGGACTTCTGGTAACATCCATGGCTTCAGCCACGTCACCAACGGAGTGGAGCCGAATGCATAATGAGATTTCTTATGGTAGAACAGGAGGCCATCCACCTGAAAAATAACGTATCTAGTTAAAAATGAATCATAAATAATGTTTGGGTTTTGCTACATAAGGACTAAGAATGATACAAAAAATAGAAGATCAACAAACTTTTTTATCACATGCATCTATTCAATCTAGAATAGATGCATTGATAATTACAACATTTAATTTGTTACATAAAGTTGACCATTTACCTTATAACTTCAGGCAGCCTGTTCCAAAGTGACCAAAAAATTATTCTTACATTCTTGTGGAAATCTGGGTCAGCCTGTTCTATACTGTAGTGATATAAATATTACTCTTAACTGGAAATCTGGGGCAGCCTGTTCCATAGTGGCTTGAATATTATTCTTACCTTGAAATCTGAGGCATTCTGTTCTATACGGAATTGAATATTAATCTTACCTTCAAATCTGAGGCATCTTGTTCTATACTGACTTTAATATTATTCTAACCTTGAAATCTGGGGCAGCCTGTTCCATAGTGGCTTGGATATTATCTTACCTTGAAATCTGGGGCAGCCTGTTCCATAGTGGCTTGAATATTATTCTTACCTGGAAATCTGGGGCAGCCTGTTCCATAGTGGCTTGATTATTATTCTTACCTTGAAATCTGGGGCAGCCTGTTCCATAGTGGCTTGAATATTAATCTTACCTTAAAATCTCGGGCAGCCTGTTCCATAGTGACTTGAATATTATTCTTACCTTGAAATCTGGGGCAGCCTGTTCCATAGTGGCTTGAATATTATTCTTACCTTGAAATCTGGGGCAGCCTGTATCATAGTGGCTTGAATATATATCTTACTTTGAAATATGGGACAGCCTGTTCACATAGCCATAGTCACTTGGATATTAATCTTACTATGAAACCTGGGGCAGCCTGTTCCATAGCACAGCAAAAAAAGTGAATCAAATCCCCGAATCCTGAAGGCAGGATTCAAGCAGGATTCATATGCACATATGAATCCTGTATGAATCCTGCCTCCAGGATTCGTACAGGATTCGCTGTTTAAGTAGTTTACAAATGAATCCTGTAGCTAGGATTCGTGCAGGATTCATATGGAAGGTAGTTTACAAATGAATCCAACCTTCAGGATTCATGCAGGATTCATATGGAAGGTAGTTTACAAATGAATCCAACCTTCAGGATTCGTGCAGGATTCATATGGAAGGTAGTTTACAAATGAATCCAACCTTCAGGATTCGTGCAGGATTCTTATGGAAGGTAGTTTACAAATGAATCCAACCTTCAGGATTCGTGCAGGATTCATATGGAAGGTAGTTTACAAATGAATCCAATCTTCAGGATTCGTGCAGGATTCATATGAAAGGTAGTTTACAAATGAATCCAACCTTCAGGATTCGTGCAGGATTCGTGCAGGATTCATATGGAAGGTACTTTACAAATGAATCCAACTTTCAGGATTCGTGCAGGATTCATATGGAAGGTACTTTACAAATGAAGTATGGTATGAAGTATGTAACAAATATACAATGTATCTAGAATGGTATATTAAACTTTTGTCTAATGTTGATGTCCAAAAAACATTTTGTTTTTGTTTATCAAAACATTCCGGTGACACAATAACGAATATACACATTGTAACATAGATAAGAGAAATGGGGAAAATTATAATCCCTTTGATCAAATTTTAAGATTTAATCTCCAACTGAGGGGCAATCAAAGAGTTGATACACATAATTAGCAATCAGAAAGTTAATTACCACTGTAGTTTAGATTCCCAGGTTCAAAGTTTTCAATTGCCTTTGTTGTAACATCTTATTTCAAAAGAATGGATTTTGAGAATATGGTTGTATGGATGTATTCATATTCATATCAAACATTATAGTTTACAGTGTATTATAATTCCTTCAATAAATGCAACATATTTACCTGATTTAGATTTCATATTGGACTTTCTGCATGATAAAACGTTGATGATATAGTTTTCAATAGAACCCCCGGGCCGGAGCCAACATGACTTTTAGTCGGGGGGGGGGGGGGGGGGAGGGGGTGTAATCATGACAAGTGAGGCAAAAAGATTTGTTTTGAATTTTTACAAAAATTGTCTTGTTGAGATATTAACTTGAATGTAAGGTTTAATGGCCCGTATTTTAAATATTTTGATTTTCCCTTATTTGTGTTTTATCGGGAGGGTGTATGTGTATTGATTAATTACATCGGGGTATGGTCGGTTCAATGTTGAAATTGAATCTGGTTGTTTTGTTCATTGTTTCAGCTTCATAGTCACTGGTGATCCACTCGATTACGCTGGTTACCAAAACGGTTCGTTTTGGTAACAAAATGTCGGAACATCCGGAAGATACGATTTTTCTCGTTTCCTTATTTTACACGTTGTAGGCAGAATTCCCACGACATTTTTTAACACAAACGTGTATCAGTATCCTATGTTTAAAAAAGTGTACATACTTGCGAACAAATAGTTCAGAAGACAACAGAATCGTCGATTTACTTCGTCACTTAAGTTACATAAACGGTTTGGGTTAAAAGTGCAGATCTTAACTGTTTTTCGAAAAACCGTTTATGTAACTTAAGTGAGGAAGTAAATCGACGATTCTGTTGCCCTTTGAGCTATTTTTTCGCAAACATGTATATTTTCTAAAACATATGATACTGATGCACGTTGTGAGAAAAAACGTCGTTGGGATCCTGCCTACAACGCGTGAAATAAGGAAAAAAGAAAAATCGTGCCTTCGACGTTCCGACATTTTGTTACCAAAACGGTTCGTTTTGGTAACCAGCGTAATCGAGTGGATCACCAGTGATAGTCAGGTATATGTTATGTTCATATTGTGTGTATTAGAAGAGTTGTTGATTTTTTCGTGTTTAGTCGCGTTTTTGTGTTTTCGTCATTTTGCAGTATTTTCGATTTGTTGAGTTGGTTTGAGTTTGGTGGTGACTAGCACGGGTCTATAGTAGGTAAATTGTCTTTTGATGTTTCAGGTGGTTTGTTTAATGTTTTAGCTTTCCGTTGGTGTGTGCATTATGTTCGTGGCATATCTTGTTGTTGAGATATTAACTTGAATGTAGGGTTTGATGGCCCATATTTCAAATATTTGATTTTCTCATATTTGTGTTTTATCGGGAGGGTGTATGCGTATTGGTTGATTGCATCATGGTATGGTCAGTTCGATGTTGAAATTTAATTTGGTTGTTTAGTTCATTGTGATAGCTTCATGGCCAGGTATATGTAATGTTCATATTGTGTGTATTAGAAGGGTTGTTAACTTTTCCGTGTTTGGACGTGTTTTGGTGTTTTCGGCATTTTGCGGTATTTTCGATTCCGGGTTACTCTGTCTCATTATGTTTATACTTACATGTTACTTACATGTACATATTGAAAATTATTGGGGGGGGGGGGTAAAGCGTCTTTATCCTTGATTAGTCTTTATGATCCAAAATGTTAAAGAATCGCTATCAAAATGTTGAAAACAAAGAGATATCTATGGTCCTGTATGCGACCTTGCCATAAATGTAGACGGAACAAACGAGATTTACGCATTAGGAACTTATCTTAAAATATATTCAAATAATAGTTTCAGGCTCACATATGCGTGTATATGTGTAGCGTAATCATTCAGAAAAGTCGTACAATCCCAAATAATTGGAATATCTTATTCTCTGTACTTGGCGCCCAGGGCATTTAGAAAATTGAAAATAGACCCTTCAGCCATCTAATAAGCGCCCATACATGAACGAAGTTAAAATTCCGAGGAATTGTATGTATGGCAAATGAAAATTTCCACTAGGGACGGTTGATAATCGATCTTAACTTCTACCTTATTTTTTTAATTGGATGATAGATCATCATGTTCGGGTAAAAGTCATGTAAAAATCGTGAAATGTAAAAATGAAATGAGAAAGTCTAAGAACAACGGTATATGTACTGAACTTTAAAACCACTGGAAAATTATAAGGTCGAAGGAGCTTTGAATCAAGGTACCAAGACACTCGATCATTAATCTAAAAACAGATTCCTTCTTTCTGATCACACATCATATTTATCAACACTGATGATTACATGTAAGGGATTAAATCCTAATTCTATTGATCAGGTTATTTGATGGGATTATTATTTTTGGAACTCTCTGATAGCCTGGAGTTCATACATGTTATTACATACATGTAGTTATATATCTTGGCAGCATTTTGAAAATATAATTATTTTATAGAATTGAACAGATTACAGATTTGGTTAGAATGAATTACCCAAACATGGGTATTGTCAAACTTATCCCCGATTTAACAATGATGCAAAAAGCCATCCTTTGATCATTAGTTTAATCACAAGTTCGGGTTATGTGGATTATAAAATAAAAGCTCTTAAAGAATAATCCATTGTCATTGAAAATGATACCGGGACCATCATACTTCTCCCGGGATATTTCTCTTTAAACCAAACTCAATATTTGGAACAAACTCTCTGATAAAACACATTATTCAACCCCCGCCCAATGAATATACTCTTTGTTGTAAAATAAAGGTAATTGTGCTTATACACAATTTAGCGCTTGTTTCGAGATTCCCTTGCAAAATTAAACCCTGATTCAATCCATTCCTAGCAGAACACTAACCACCAAACGCTGAAAAAGGACACATCATAAAGTGAAAGGAAACAAATGTATTATTTTCAAAATGCCAAAACAGTCATGTCTTCTTTTATTTTATAGCTGTATCAATTGAATACATGTTACAGGGGCGTAGCCAGCTTTCAGTCAGGGGGTGCGATCGTCATAATAATTCGGTTTTCAGTGGGGGGGGGGGGGAGTTTCGAGTACAAGGCATTCAAAGGTCCTTTCTTCTTCTTTCTTTATTGGTTATGGGGGGGGGGGTGCGATCATTCACCCATCGCACCCCCCTGGCTACACCTATGTGTTATAACAAACGTGACACAATATCAACTATATTTAAGGAATAAAGACCGAGATTTTATGATTTATGGCGTGATATACAGTATGACCAAATCATTTATTCTGTTCATTGTCAAAAGACCGAAATCGCGTAGCGATTGAGGTCTTTGTCAATGGCCAGAATAAAATTTGAGGTCATATATCTGACATACATCATAAAATCGAGGTCTTTGTTACGATTCTAATATGATAAACACAGACAAAAAGAAATATTTGCATTTATGAATTTTAGCGGTCATACATACTCCCAACTTTTCTAGTTATTGTGACCATGGGCTTTCAACTAGAAAAAGCCCATGTTGTGACGTCACGTATCATTTTAGAATTAAAATTATATATTGTAAGTGGCTTATTGAGCACCAGATTAATAATGATCAATCATTCATTCCTTTTTAATCCTACGTCAAACATTCTGGTACGCCAGAACCCCTCTTATCTGCCGTTTGCGTTTGGAAGGATAAAGACAAAGGTGGCGCGGCTATATCGCGATATACGTCAAATCTTTATGACATTTCCCTTCACCAGGGCCTGCATCAAGGGGTAGACATCATTCAAAAGCCATAATTATTACTGGGTCGGTCGGGGGAAGGTTTGCATACAATGCAATTTCTACATGCAAGCTCATTTTCACATATGCACATATAATTAATAAAGTTGATTCCTTGGGAATTCTAATTGGGTTTATAAGCGTAACAAGGGGAGCGAGGGGTTCGCACATCCTCCCCACAAGCAATAAAATACAAACATTAGATAGATGAAGAAAAGAGCGTTAAAATGATTTTTAGTTTGAAGCTTGCATCATTTTTGTAAACATTCAAAACAAATCTTTTTTGCCTCCCTTATGTCCCTTATGTCACGACTGAAAACCGCAAATATTTTGGCGATTACACCCCCCCCCCGACTGAAAGCAGGCTACGGCCCTGGGGTTTTATCAAAAACTATATCATTAACATTTTATCATTATGCAGGAAATCCAAATTGGTAAATATGTTGCATTTATTGAAGGAATTCCACTGTAAAATATATATGAATGTTTGATATGAATATGAATACATCCATACTCTCAATATCCATTCTTTTGATATAAGATGTTGTTTCAAAGGCAATTGAAAACTTTAATCTAACTAAATCATTAAAGCATTTCTAATTGCTAATTATGTGTATCAACACTTCGATTACACCTCAGCCGGAGATTAAATCTTAATAATTTGATCAACGGGATTGTAATTTTCCCCAATTCTCTTATCTATGTTGCTATGTGTATACTCGTTATATTGTGTCCGGTATGTGTTGATAAACCAAAGATATTAGCCTTGCCCATGTCGGTATTTTTTACTTATCTGATCTTGAATTATTACCGCCTTGTACAATCCAATACATCTCCGCTGCTATTATGCTGAGCTATTCAACGGTTTCGAGATTTCCATAATACCTACGATATCATGGGTATCGCGAAACCTTATTGATTAACAGATACGCGTGGACACGACGTGTGACTTCAGGCTGATTGACCAATCACAACGTTATTAGGTTGAGCTGCACAACAAAACAATCTTCCCGTCTACGACTTGAAATTCAATGATCTGATCGATTGTTTCTTTAGAGTTACAATATATTATGTAATTAAATGTACACAGGGAATGTAAGAATTATTAATATAAATTAAATCATGCAATAGATTTAAAACTGATCTCGAGATGAAAATGCAAGACCTCTAGTCCAATGTAGCGGCTCATGAAGTCGTCGATCAGTGATTGAATCTCAGCCTACATGTTCATTCAGCGATCGTTTCAACGTTTATTGTTGAAATCTTCTAACCTCCGGTTACCGATCGATGTCTGGCATCCACTTAACTCTGATTGACATTTATCTGATAAAATATTTGTATTTTCATGATGAATTCATGCAAGATTTGTTCGTGAAAAGTCCCGACGAAAAGTGTACTTGTTTTTGACCGTGCATAATAATGAGCTAACGCTGCAGGGCCGTCGTTGATTGGTCAAATTTTACCGACATAAACATTGAGTCGGTAAAGCACGTGGCTTTCTCTTTGGTACAAGGCGGTCATAATAGAAATCAGATAGTAAAAGAGACCGACTTGGGCAAGGCTACAAAGATATGTTTTTTTGGATATCAACATTCTGAAAAAAGTGTAATATACCATTCTAGATACTTTTGTTACATCCTTCATAGCAGGTTAGAAAACTCAAACGGATACCAGTTTTGATTATATGGTAATGTTAATATAGGCAGCATGGTTTAAATAATTGGTTGAACTGGAGGGGGGGGGTGACAAGGGGACATTATCAAGGTAGTTCACAGGGGCGGACTTAGACATTGGCAAGGGGGTTAGGACATACTCTGGAAAACGGTCTTCTTTTAGGCTCTTGAAACTCTTTTGCACAGATCTTTTCGGCAATATAAGGCCCGTTTGTTTGAAAATAATGTTGCCTAAACTAATGCCTAAACGTGGCTATACAGAAGTAAATATTGTATTTCATGAATTCTAAAACAATTCCTAAACATCAACCGTAATCATGGTGATCCGCAGTTGTAAAAACAGTTCAAAGAAATAGACGGATTGTTAAATAATTATTATCTTATTTTACACATGTTACTTAACCACTTCAATTATGTGGACTTACAAGTTTTCAAAAACTACAGAAATGCTCACAATAAATGAGTCTTAATATTGGCTTAAACAAACATAATAAGGTTCATTTAACGAAGGCCCGGACTCATCAAAACAAAAGTCTTTTAAGGCTCTAAAGTCTTTCGAAATTTCCAACAGTATAATACAATACCATGGGTATATTCTAGTTTGATTTGTATTACACTAAAAATGAATGTTATAATCGGACATTTGGGAGAAGGTGATTAATAGTTATATTTAGTACATGTGTAAACCTGTGAAATAAATCGTGCTGTTGCTTCAAGTCCGTAGCCCAGAGGAAGGTTCGCTAAACATACAGCAAGTATTTTCCCAGGGGGGGGGGGGGGGCATTTTTAAAAAATTTCCAGGGGGATTTATATTTCAAAATTTGGCCACAAAGTCACTCCATGTTAAGAATTGTGAAAATCAAACGATTATATGATTCATTTTTCATATGAATCACGTATGATTATTGAAGGCTGGATTCATTTGTTAACTATTTTGAATATGAATCCTGCTTGAATCATGGTTGCAGGATTAATTTGTAAAGTACATTCCGTATGAATCCTGCGCGAATCCTGAAGGTTGGATTCATTTGTAAACTACTTTACATATGAATCCTACTTGAATCCTGGCTACAGGATTCATTTATAAAGTACCTCCCATATGAATCCTGCACGAATCCTGAAGGTTGGATTCATTTGTAAACTACCTTACATATGAATCCTGCCTGAATCCTGGCCACAGGATTCATTTGTAAAGTACCTTCCATATGAATCCTGCACGAATCCTGAAAGTTGGATTCATTTGTAAACTACCTTCCATATGAATCCTGCACGAATCCTGAAGGTTGGATTCATTTGTAAACTACCTTCCATATGAATCCTGCACGAATCCTGAAGATTGGATTCATTTGTAAACTACCTTCCATATGAATCCTGCACGAATCCTGAAGGTTGGATTCATTTGTAAACTACCTTCCATATGAATCCTGCACGAATCCTGAAGGTTGGATTCATTTGTAAACTACCTTCCATGTGAATCCTGCACGAATCCTGAAGGTTGGATTCATTTGTAAACTACCTTCCATATGAATCCTGCACGAATCCTGAAGGTTGGATTCATTTGTAAACTACCTTCCATATGAATCCTGCACGAATCCTGAAGGTTGGATTCATTTGTAAACTACCTTCCATATGAATCCTGCACGAATCCTGAAGGTTGGATTCATTTGTAAACTACCTCCATATGAATCCTGCACGAATCCTGAAGGTTGGATTCATTTGTAAACTACCTTCCATATGAATCCTGCACGAATCCTGGCTACAGGATTCATTTGTAAACTACTTAAACAGCGAATCCTGCACGAATCCTGGAGGCAGGATTCATACAGGATTCATATGCGCATATGAATCCTGCTTGAATCCTGCCTCCAGGATTCGGGGATTTGATTCACTTTTTTTGCTGTGTAGTGGCTTGAATATTAATCTTACCTTGAAATCTGGGGCAGCCTGTTCCATAGTGACTTGAATATTATTCTTACCTTGAAATCTGAGGCATTCTGTTCTATACGGAATTGAATATTAATCTCACTTTGAAATCTGAGGCATTCTGTTCCATAGTGACTTGAATATTATTCTTTAACCTTGAAATCTGAGGCATTCTGTTTTATACGAAATTGAATATTAATCTTACTTTGAAATCTGAGGCATTCTGCTCTATACTGACTTGAATATTAATCTTACCTTAAAATCTGGGGCAGCCTGTTCCATAGTGACCTGTAAGCTTTCCCGGCTGCAGGCAAAGTGAGGCAGGGGAACTATATGGAACTGGAACAACATAGATGTACTGCATTGTATATTTAAATATAATAGAAGGTGCTCTGGATGTGATGTTATTACTGATTCTGTTCCTTATATGTATATAATGTACAGTATATAACTTTTTACTAATTTATCTTCTTTAATAAGAAATTGTACTCTTCAGATTTGGAGGAAATAAAGATACAAACAAAAATAAATCAAATAAAGTTGCTCAACAAATGCTAGATTTTACACACAACATATATGTTTTCTAAATTTGAGCTTCCAAAGCTTAACCTTATTAACATTGAAACAATTTATAGACAACACTGCATATGCATTACCTTGCACCTACAGTTGTATTTTTAGATCCATTTCTGATTTCAGAAACTCACAATATATAAGGTAGGATTTCGACAAGCTTTTAACATATCTAAGCTACGAGTAGATCAGGAAAAAACCTAGAGAAATTACACTGGTAATGTACATACTCAGTAATAAATGTCAAACGAAAGCAATGAGAGTTTTTTAAGTCTTACTTGGTTAGCTCGGGTTAGTTTTGAGATATTTGGACAGTCCTCAGTAAACTTCTGATGCATCCAGAAGAACCTAAACTCAGTCTGAAAATACCATTGTTGATAATATTAAACAAGCAAATCCGAATGTATCAGAGTTGAAAAAGTTCAGCAATTACAATTCTATTTTATTTCTTTAGTTTTCACAAAACAGTTAAACAGAGAAAACTAGTACCATTGATCTGATAAATAAAAAATGGTAGGTTGGCAGGTCTGTATCAACTACTGATTTCACTTAATTATGAACTTGATACACGGGGTGCCATCGAATAATTTTGGCAACGTACCGGAGAACGACATTTTGCTAAGAAATGGCAATAATTTAGCACAATATATTTTTTAACTAGAGTTCTATTTTGATTTTGACAAAAGTAAGTATTCCATGCAATAACTATTTCATTCATGAGTTTGTAGGAATTCTGTTGGAACCCAGTTCTGATCAAGTACGAAGTTATTGAAATCGGCGCAGACGGACTTTACTCCGAAAGATGGTTTTTCGATTATAACTTTTCACAACATTTAGGTATAGACTTTTGAAAAAAGTACAGAATAGTCTTTATACTTTTGAATAATTCTGTTATTTCCCATTCACACGACTCTGATTTGTTTAATTTAAAAAAAGTTTTAAAAATATTACTTAGGAACGTAACCGGAGCTGGGAACGTAACCGGAGCAGATCAGTTGAATTATTTAATCAAAAAAATTAAAATATATGATTTGTAACATGGTCATTTTCACATTGTTTATATTTCTACTTTTCATATTGACCAATCCCCATCCATGTCATTTTAACAGGTCCCTTCATTACTTTACACCAGTGTTTCAAATATTTAATTCCAATGTTTTCAATTCTTTTGTATACTTTCTACTATATCTTCCTTTATTTAAAGCAATTTTTAGCTTTTCATGGTGTGATTGTTTCGTACTGTTTTTGTATTCCATATAATAGCATTCACTCACATGTAGCTGAGTTTGGGTCTTGGCCCAGCCTAAGTAGTTGCTTAGAGTTAGATGATAATGTAGATTGTACAGAGAACGTTTGAAGTTTATTTGAAATAGACTATTTTATATATTTTAACTTTAGTTATCTGTTACTTTTATTTGCCACCCACGGGCCTTAAACTCGCCCCGTTACAGATTTAAAGCACATATACTAATTTAAAAACATACGGGATTGTTCGAATGCGTATTTATTACATTTTATTTAAAGAAAAAAATGTATCCATTGTGAAAAATTAAATTTGGTATTTACCATGCATAAGTGCACTTACCTTAGAAAGGCTATCAGACATAGAACAATCATTGTATGGAGAATGAAGTGATTAAATGTAGTAAGCAAATAATTCCATTTGATTTCACCCATTGTATTTGTTCAGCGAATTATTAGAACCCACTCTGTTATACTAATTTCTAATTAATTTCTAATTTATACTAATTGCCATGCATTGATTTTCCTGTAAGTGAAGGGTAATAAATGCTCATTTTAACATTCATATGTGTTTGTAAACAATATATATGCTTTAAATCATATATTGTATTTTTTTAAATTATATAATTCCACTGATCTGCTCCGGTTACGTTCCCAGCTCCGGTTACGTTCCTAAGTAATATTTTTAAAACTTTTTTTTTAATTAAACAAATCAGAGTCGTGTGAATCAGAAATAACAGAATTATTCAATAGTATAAGGACTATTCTGTACTTTTTTCAAAAGTCTATACTTAAATGTTGTAAAAAGTTATAATCGAAAAACCATCTTTCGGAGTAAAGTCCGACTGCGCCGATTTCAATAACTTCGTACTTGATCAGAACTGGGTTCCAACAGAATTCCTTCAAACTCATGAATGAAATAGCCATTGCATGGAATACTTACTTTTGTCAAAATCAAAGTAGAACTCGAGTTAAAAAATATATTGTGCTAAATTATTGCCATTTCTTAGTAAAATGTCGTTCTCCGGTACGTTGCCAAAATTATTCGATGGTACCCCGTGTGATACACAGATTGAACCTTATTTCAAAAATGAAATGCTCTACCTCAGTGTCATAAATGGGGTGACTCTTCCAGCACATCATATCAATGATAAAGTATGTCTGCAAAGCCTCAGACCAAACGCAGTCCAATACACTATATTCTAAAATAAAGCAAATAAAGTAGGTTTAACATTAATGTGCTCAGTAACTGAGTATTACATTTCAAGGTGTTCACCTTGATCTAAAATGAATGCTCTAAATGCTCCAAAAGACTGAAGCAATGGTGGTAAATCCGCTACTTTTAAAATCTGCATTTGTAAATTTACTGTTATTAATGGGATCACAATAAGTACTCTTATACTGGTACATACATATCATGCTAGAGTGCATCTTATGTAGTTTACTTTACTACTACAACTACCAGTAAATTGGAAGGAGAGAATTTGAGTAGATACCTACCATGTGATCCCCGGCCTTGTTGGGACATTGACCCTCCAGGTATTGCACTTGCAAACTCATTCAGCTTGTAACCTGTCTTGCCATATGCTCGTGTGATGCCCTTAATAAACATAATGGAACCACAGTTGTTTAAAGTAATCAGCGTAAATCATTATTGTTTAAATAACTATTGTTTCCACATATTTTTGTCAACGGGGCACTTAAATCGAATTGTTCCTGTTCTGGTCATGATAATGTTTCCTACTGTGTGTTTCTTTGATACATGCGCACTTGTCATTTTCCTTTTTGCCAATGTGCTTGCTTACATATCTACATGGATACAAAATCTCTGGTTAAAAAAGAGGTAATAAGCATGCATATTACACACAAGTTGATTCCTTATAGATGACCAGGTGTACCTTAGATGCAATAAGCAGGACCCTCTTCCCCACTGGACTCATCACCATCAGCCACTCCTTGTCAAAGTTTTCAGGGACTGCCACCATCCATTCACTGAACATCAACTGCAATAGAAATTAAGGTTAAAGACATAATAATTTTTCATACTGAATGGTTGGTAGGGGTGTCAGCCATTGTTGCTTTTAGTGTTTGATTATAGTTTGGGATATTTGGGGTTTGTTATCCTGATGGATAGTAGTGCTCGTGGATGATTCTTTTGTTCCCATGTTTTGTAATTACTATTTTCTCTCTTTTTCGAACTTGTACTTGCATAAACCTGGCATAAAACATTGCTAGTCTCGCTTCAATGCCCTCACCTCCTCCCCCTTATTTACATGTACTTTACAACAGGTTGTTATAGTAGATAAGGTGAGGGGGCTCATGGACTAACAAAATCCATGTACTGTACGTGTAACTTTATGATAGATTACATGGTCCAGTTTTACAACCATAGGATTAGTAACCATGGTTATAAGAGGTTGGAAATATAATCACTGAGCTTATAGAATTAACAAAGGATCTGGTGATACCATGACTGTCATACTTTGACAAGACTTGACCCACCTTTAAGATGATCCAAATCTAAATATCCAAATATCTTATGTTATAACTTCTTCAATTAAGAAGACTCAAAAGTTGACAAAGTTGATTAAAGTACCTGATTGGAGTAATATCTGCCAGGTTTGTTAACTGGTTCAGATACAGTTTCCATTGCTTCTTCTGCACCGTCATCCTCGTATTCATCATCATCTGCAGTTGACCAATCAGAATCTGCCAGTCTCCTCGCATGACTCTGATAGTTAAATCTTTTTCTATAACAGACAAAGAAGATTTTGAGGTTCCATCCTGTTTATTTCAAATTTTATTGATTTTAACATATAAATTGGCATTAATATTCATCTGTTTTTATAGTGGTATAATTTTCATATCAATAGTTATGCAAATTAAAATATGTCCAGTAAAAGAAAATGTTATCTGACCAATATAGTGGGGAGGCTATTCTCCACTTCTGGTAAAAAGCAAAATTATACAAGAAAAGGTATTTAACTTTTTGTGATTTTATAACATGGGCTCTATGGGGAATCTCCCCAAACTAGAAGTCACATTTTCAAACAATATTAAATTTTCAAAGTTGATAGACAATTTTCGAAACCATATTTCTAGATGTACTTTTACTTGTACAGGTGGATTTCAAATATGACATCACTTTGACTGAATTTTGAATATTTAATGACGTAAATCAAGATTATATCTACTGGCATCTAGTCTATTGAGAAATAGGCATGTCTTTTGATAAGACTGAGCCTATTTTGTTTAGCTTTAAATGACTATCATATATCCCTTCAACATGTGATTCAGTTAACAACAACTCTTACTCTTTCTGGCGTTCTAAGATGCTCTTCCGTCTTTCATCTTGACTGCTTTTGCTATACTTTGCCTTATATTGGCTGATACGCAGCTGATCTGGAGTCAAGGCATTCTTCTCGGGAGTGGACATTTTAAAATGTAAGGCTAAACCATCTCAATTATCTAAAAAAAACATAAATAGCAAATTAAATCGCATTCATTTGCTAAATCTTATTTTTTAAGTTTGATAGATGAAAAAACAGTGAAATACATAGTTGCTAAAATATATGTGGAATGGTAACTTGTCACTCAACTTTTTTGCTAAACATCTTCCAAAAAGTGGATGAGCATAAAATCATATTGTCAACAATGCCTGTTCATAAATTTCTTACATCATTGCAAACTTATGCCATTTTCATTGATATTCAATATTCATTTTCAATATTCCTCGTATAAAGACGAAATATATTGTTGTATCTACACAGCTTACATTCTGTGTTTCCATGCCAAAGCAGCATCATCTTCGTACTTTCCAAATCGACTTCTGGTCAAAATAAAAACAAAATTTTCCAGGAAAAAGACAACAATTCTACTAATTCTAGGTAAAATGTAATATGGTTTCAAGGCGTGATGTTGGGTTGATTCTTTCACCAGAATGTGGCGGTGATATATTTGAAGGTAGTAGAAAGATGCTATCTGCCACTTTCTAAGGTTCTAGCGAACACCACCCTGAGGGTGTTTGCCAGCTAATGTGGCGAACGTTCTGAGTATGTCTGTCTCCTTCATCTTCACCATCTTCTCAGGGCAGCATTCGACTCTCTAGTCCAATTTACATCTGGGTAATCAAAAGGCGACAAAGCTGTTTCTGGTCAATCTGAGTTTCTGCGAAATGGTAGACGTCAGAGCGATGACAATATTTTAACTTGGTGCCTATTTGAAACTTTGGAATGCTTTCTGTGAATCGTATAATATGAAAAAAACTCGACGGTGACTAAAGTTAGTACCCGGGTTCAGTAAATTTTGGGCCTTTGGAGCACTGCGCTAACAATTCCAAGGGTGTCCATCTCTTCATTTAAACGCTGGGGATATTTAAAACAGTTTCAACATGGTGAAATACATAGAAAATGACATAAAGTGGCCAAAAATGAAAAGAAAACACAAACCGGAAAATGCTGCAGTGATGACGGTCGTGCTCACAAATAATTAGCACGATTCAAAATGGAAAATGATGTTGATTTGATAAAAATAATACTAAAATAAATAAAAAAGTAATGTTAAGTTCAATTATGTAAAATCGAGTCGAGTTATTAATGATATCATAGATGATGAAAAGGTATATTATTGCTTGTCTTTATGAGCTAAAACAACGAACGAGAAATAATTCGCCTCAAATCTGTTCGCAATTTAAGCTGGATACTTGTATAAAAGCCTTACTCCGGCGATAGTATAGCCAATAACAGAATATTATCCCGTGCCGGTGTGAAAGAAATTATGGTCCCCTGGGGATTATGGTCCCCTTTCTAAACGGCCCTTATTGGCCCTGATTGTGTATAAGATAATAAGGGAAAGAGTTGTATAGCACAAAGAGGTCACCATATAAATCAATGGAGAGTAGGACCATAAATTAATAGGACCTCCTACCCTTTTACACCGGTGTAAAAGGGCAGGAGGTCCTTTCAAATTATGGTCCTACTCTCCATTTGTTTATATGGTGACCTAAATACAACTCTTTCCCTCATTATCTTATACACAATCAGGGCCAGTAAGGGCCGTTGAGAAGGGGGACCATAATCCCCGGAGGACCATAATTTCTTTTACACCGGGATGAACAGAATAAAGATACCGTGTTGGAAGAAAGTAATGGAAGCAGGTTTTGTTTGCGTTTTGATTCCGTTGTGTCAACCGAAAAATTCAGTCTTGAATGAGGCCCATTTTCTTCAACTGAAATCTGGACTGAAATTAAAAAATAAGGCCTTAAAAGACCCAGTAATGACCAAAAGGCCCACTTTTTAGGGCCACCCCCTTGGATGGGCCCAGAAAAAAATAGGTAGAGGCCCCAACCCCCCCCCCCCCCAGAATGGCCCAGATCCGCCAGTGCGCCAGTGTTATTCAAATAACATCGGACTATGTTTGATTTTAGGGGCGGGAGCGCGCGTCTCGCGCCACTGGGTTTATGTAATTAAAAATTGGATAAAAATGGCCAATAATTTATATATCACTAGTCCATATTAGTTAGAAGTTTGTATTTTAAAACGCAACCCCCCCCCCCCCAACCGCTTTCAAAGCTTGCTCGAGCTCTTGCTCGCTCGTGACGTATAAGTTTATATTACTCACAAAATATCCACTGCCATGGACCTCTATTTTTTTAGCTCTATTTAGGTCCATTCACTGGCGGATATGGGGGGGGGGGCAGAAAATGCCTTAAGGCCCCCAAAGAGTGGGCCTTTTTGGTCAGGGCATTTTGAGGCCTTATTTTTCAATTTTTGGCCAAATTTTGAAGAAAATGGCCTCAAGATTTCAAAATTTGTGTCTACTTTTTGGTTTAGGGGCCCACATTTTTTCTCAGACCTCCCCTTGTTGATTCCAAGATCCGCCCCTTAAGTCCATAATTATTTGCACCGTGGGCTAAAATCTTGCAAGACCCCATGTTAACATTGCCCATGAAAATATGCATCGTTTTAATTTACTCGATCGATCGCGAGTCTCTACCTAATTCTTTCAGTGGCCATAGAATATGGTAAGTTTTTATCATTCATTTACTATTGTTCATGATTTTAAAAGTTATTATGAGCTTTTTGAAAAAAAATTGGAACTAAAAGTTGTGAGCTTTTAATTTCTCAAATATTCAAATTTCCTGCCATTTCCAAATAGAAGTTGAAATTTTCTAACCACCAAAATTGATGTTCCACTATTGAGTTCGTTTATCATCTTCACATTTATGAGTTGCTTGTGTCCTGCCAGTCTAAAGATATCAAGAACTACGACCCACAACATGCAATAAAGCTTTGGTGGGAAGGCGCAACCCGACATACTAACTATAAAGAGGGTAGAACGATGAGATCAAAGAAAAGCACAAAAGTGAACAACAGAGTACAACAGAAAGACGAAGAAGTAGAAACTGTAGAAGTAGAAGCTGAAGATGTAGAAGCAAACAAATTAGAAGCTGAACAAATGCATGCAGTGGAAAATGTAGCTGCTGAGATAGTACCATCAAATGACACAGATGATGATGATGATGATGATGATGATGAAGGGTTTGATGAGCTATCGCTACGTGATGATGATGAGTATGAACTGAGTGAAAAACAAGTCAATGACAATATGAAAAATATCATAGCAATAATGGATAAGGATGATGATTTATAAATGTTGTATTTTTATGACCTTCTTGCAAAACTATGATTGATAATGATGACATATGATGACTATAAATATAGTATTTTTATGAATTTCATGCAATAGTTAGTTATAGTCAGTTTAATTTCATTATAATACTATGTATGCGCAACGGTGAGTTATTAGGCTACAATGGCAAGTATAAAAACATTTGCACTTGCCAAATGTTGGCAACTTAAAAAATGGCAAGGCAAGTATAAACCCAATACCAATTGCCTATCAGGCAAGTATAACCCAAAACTCAGCTTCCACACTGTTTATCCAATGCAAAGATGAGTAAAGGACACTCTTTGTCGATTGAAAATGTCATATCTATGCCGGAGTTAAAATAAAAATATTTTGTACGACGTAAATGACATCAACGTGACATGACTCATGATATGGCAAAAAACTTTTGAAAAAGATTTAATTTTTTCGGTCAATCTTTAGTCTAGTGTAAGGTTGGTTTCTATGAGAACTAGAATTTCGGAATGCACTTTTTATTTCTCGCGTATTTATGAACAAATTTTCCTTTTCGGCAAAAACCATACGAGGATGAATGCTATACATGGGTGTGAACTGTGAATTTTCGTTTATTAAAGTGTCTCACATATTCGATCAAAATTTGCCATGCAAACATGTTAGTCTACTTTACTGGCCCCCCTTGCTGTAACAAGGAACACAAAACACATTAAAACGTAAACATAAACCAATTAGTCAGACGATCACTTCACTATGAAAGTTGGGGGTGTTCAAGGCAAATGTGTATTAGCACGGAATACGCTGTGTGCATGGACTAACACAATATCAGTGGTCATTTACTGTGTCAACTTAGTAACCCTTGCATATCGTGCTCACTCAAGTATTGAATAATTTTTTTATGATCTAAATGTTTGTGGTTTATTAAAAAATGTGATATATTTTAGTTGGAAATACATTAATAAATATATTCATTCAAATAGCACTAGAATGCGCGGGAAGAAAGAGCAATGGTGACAAAATGCAGACCGAATTTTCCGTAAGGGTTTCAAACATTTCTGGACACAATCATACATGGATTGTACTTCATGTGTACTGTTATTTTTAGTGCTGTATTTATAGATATAATTTCACGTATTAAAATCATATTTTCCAGCAATGACTTCAAATTCGGAACCACCCCTATATCACAGTTTCTTCAATAACTCCAAACATGTGTAAACATTGACCATGTGCATATAAATTCAGCTTTCACGAGCTCTTTCCTATTCCAGAACCTCATACACCCCTGCATGGATTTGAGTTGGATTCGCCTTTTATACGTGAGCCGGTACACATCGCAAACGCTGATTGGATAAAGATTGCGAGAATCTTTAAAAGATACTGTACAAGTGACCTTTAAAAGCTATTTTTGAGTAAATAACCTGTACGAGTTTTCGAACAAACACATCACATCATATTTTGATAACATTGGGTAAGACAACAAAAGAAACCCAAAAGTTGTCTAAACTTTATATGGGGGCTTTTAGACCTAGCTTACAGGGTGACCACTGACCAGTGATGTACCACTGATGACATCTAGACTTGCAGTCATGCCAGATTTTTAATTTTCCCGGGAAAATCAAACCGGCTTGTGATTGGTTAAACTTATTCAACCGCTTTACCGATCATATTGAAATTTGAAAAATATAGTTCCATAATTATATCATCAAAATAAAGAAAATTAGATATGGAATATTTAAAGTAGATAGCTTAGATAAATAGTGTTTTAGCATTTATTATATTTGCTTGTCCTTACTTCATACTAGATTTAGTCTACTTTGAAATTGATTGGCAGATGTAGTACTGCGCATGAATCTAATTGAATAGTTCAGGAAACAAGCTCGTTCGGCCATCTTTGTCACATGAACAAAATTTCTCTCACATGACCTGTTGTTTGGCCCCGTGATCAAACCTTGTGATTTCTTCCTGGCAAATTCAAATAGCGTAAAAACACATGGATATATTGGAACCAGGTTTGGATTCAGGGTAAGAACAGTTATGGTAACGATAAGGTCCATTGAAGCATGTTTATGTGAAACAGAAGTTTGCCTTTGAGATTGAATGTGAAAATTCGATTTTATTTGATTTCAAGTTCAAGGAAGTTTTGTGATGCAGCCAGACTGCACAAATCAGATAGAACCATTTGAAGGGGTCGTTATTTGGCACGCCCAATTCCCAACTTGTTTTGGATTTCAGAGCCTGTTCACATAGCAAATATGGATACAGGCATGGAAGAAAGTGGGCTAAATTATCCCCCCTTCAATAACCTGTTTGAGAATTTAATCAGGACCATCTGATCCAAAGCCTGATGCGCTTTATATAAGCTAAGGTAGCTGTACTGAAGTAACAACTTGTTATCCATGGGTTATTAATTCGTTTTTGGTCATTGTGCCTTACGATTCTGAAAAAACTGCATTGCCTATTAGACATCTATAGGGGGGGGCTAGACAGCGGCGTAACCAGGAATTTGATAGCAGGTACGCGAGGCCATAGGCAGAGTTAAACTATGTTTAACTTTGATTTTAGACTTTAAATGGTGCGTTCTGAGCGATATCAGAATGTGTTTTGAAGAGAAGTCGTCAAAGAAAGATCATTACACAAAATATTTTGCTTTACATTTTTATATTTTTTACAACAATTAATTTTTTGTTCCATCATTTAGGGTACACAACTGCGTAACCTCGCGAATGCCTGGTTACGCGCCTGCTATATGTTGAAGATCAGGGAAATGATATTATTATGATCAGGGAAATGATATTGCCTAGTTTAGGGAAACTCATTATTTTTATAAAGTAGTCTAAACATTCCGTCGAACAATTCCTGTGGCATGAACGTTTGACAAGCTAGCCAGATGGATTATTTTCTTACTTTAGTTTGATATGACTTTTGATTTTAGAAGTCAAGACAAGTCTCCTGATCACTCACCTGGTACTAATGACCATCACGAAGGTAAAGTATTCTGCTTTCTTATTAGTTGACCATATGACGTTCTCATGAATTCTTAATGATTTGTCTCTGCCATCTTTGAGTCCAATTCATCACAAATAAAGGATTGTACTTATTTTTGTTACTTAGTAAATTTTAGGAAAACTTGTGTAAATTCTTGATTGTTTGCCTATAACATGAAAAATAAATTTTTCTGTCATATTAAATATATCATACATGTTACCTCCTCCAAAATTTCCCAGGTCAGTTTCCCATGTAGGAATGAGTTTTTATTTGATCCCCTGATGATGAAAGACATCATTTTAAATGTAAGGAAAAACAATATTTTCAACGAAGAATGTTCTACAGATCAGATATTTTTGAAAGTTTGCAAGTTAAAAATTTCTAATTTAGATGATGGTGAGACGGAAGAGGGGGCAGCCACTGCTGGTCTTCATGCTGCAAACCCAGGACTGGCGCTAGACCCTAACATTCAATACCAGTTCAGAGCAGATACCTCACAGGGTGATGGTAGGTTTAAATTCAAATATTTATAATTTAAATAATTATTAAAGGCAGAATCAGATCTATAGGGGTGACAAAAATTACAAGCAACTTGTATAATTGACCTACCAATCTATTCCTCACAATATCAAATACAATATCTCCAAAACAATTCACAATATGTTATAAATTGGTGAAGTTATTAATGATTCAAAGTGCAAAAATGGGTGAAAAATGTTTAAATTCTCCCAAATTATAAGAATGGTAACCATTCTTATTGAAAAATAATGCATTATTGTAAAAATCTTTAGTTTTCCTTGAATAAAGTGTGCACTTTTGTGATTTTTAGAAAATAGACATGACAAGGAATGCCACGAGCCAAAAATATTCTGAAATTGAAACATTTTTTGTTTAGCCTGCTTGCTATGTCTGATTCTCTCTTTAACTTAATAATTATTATTTAGATAATTAATTTAGATATCAGAAATCCCCCAAAATATGTTATGCCAATATTATATGGTACCTTAGTGTATTTTGTGATCAACTTTTTAAAATATAATAAATCACATAAATCATCTAATAGAATTCAACATTGAAAAACACCTCAAATGAAGAATAAATAGAGGATATCCTATGATTTTTGAGGGATAACATTTTTATCCATGAGTTGATATCTCCACGAGTAAGCTCAGCGAATGAGTGGAGATCTGCGATATCAAAGAGTGGATAAAAATGACAGCAAAGAAAATCATAGGATATCATATAGCAACCATATTTCTATGGTTGCTATTTTTGCATGGACTTAAAATAATTAGACCGAAAAGTTGTTATTACAAAATGATTGAAAAATCAATTTTCAAGAATTTCATATTTTTTTAAAATCACTTCGTATGGATCGGATACGAATTTACTAACGCATACCAAAATTATCTTGTGTTGTTAATTGTTATCCCCATATATATTTAGTAACCATTGAATAAATAGAGATTATCCTATATGAGGTTCAGGATATTGGGATTACCCCGAGGCCAATATAATATATTTGCCCGAGGGCCGCAGGTCCCGAGGGAAAATATATTATATTGACCAAGGGATAATCCCAATATCCTGAACCGACTATAGGATAATATGTTTATCCCATACCAATCTTGGTCATCTGGTTCACATTGTTCAATCGTGGAAATATTTTAGAATATTCATGTCCAGTTTTGTTTTCTTGGCCGTGGGCGGATTTTTCTGTTCTCTCAAATATTCCCACATCTATTTTCTCTCGAATTTTTTAAGTGGATGCTCCTTCCCTTTTTTAAACCATCAAACAGATCCCGATTGTCTGTGTTTTCTCCATTGTTGTTTACAGTCATTACGCGGACGTTACAAATTATGAACAAATATATGAGCGGCGATTATGACGTAGCGGGCAGATATACTATATCTGCCCGTCCGGAGCGGGACGTAAAGCTATATCTGCCCGCTGATGAAAATATAAGTTTTTACAAACCGGCTTTATGTACCTGTAACACGTCCAAGTATGGGATAAAAAGGTTTATCCATATATTGAACCATTAGCTACAATGTTTGAATCATTATTCAGTTATTTAACACTATGAAATTCTTTGTAGGTCAAGTAACCTACAGAGTGGTGCAGGTTGCCCAGGGTGATGGACAGGTAGCAGCCACCAGCACTGGCTTTCCTGCAGGCACTACTGTAGCACAGGTAGGTTTTATGTTATATATATTATATAGAGGCAAAAATGATGGGAGGGGGAGATTTAAAGGAACTTCATAATAGTAAGATTCATACATAAATATGAGTAAATTGATTCACATCCAGGAAAATCATTAGATTCACTGCTACAATATTGGAATATTTATTGCCTGCACAAAAACAATATTTTCCACTTTCAATAATTCAACAATTCTTTCCACCTACAATAATTTATGTGCAAAAAATTGTAGAAATAATGTTGATCAAAAAAATGAAAAGGGTGAGAGGAGATTGTTGGGAAAAAGGACATAAGAAAAGTGATTTTAGTAGATTTAAATTTTTTGACATAGGCTGTAATTCAGAGTCCATTCAGCAATGGGAGCCCAACACCAGAACAACAAGAGCGTCCATTCACTTACTTCTCCCCCACAGTGGCAGGAGCAGGGGACCCAGGAACAGCTCAGGTACAGCTGGCCCCCACAGCAGTAGGGGATGGTCAAGTGACACTAGGACAGGTTTCAGCACAGGGAGGTGAAGGTGCGTAAATTATATAAAACCTGCTTTATTACAGTATTATGGGTTGAGTACTCTAGTGTTATCAGTTATTATGAAGGATTGAGTCTATACTAGTTATGTTTGGATTCCAGTGGATTGTGGATATATGAAACCTTTGAAATATTGTAGTAATATAATTAATATTGGGTAATGAAGTGTTTAAGTTAGATGTAAAAGGATTCAGCATTGATGTTTTTGAGAAATTGAGAAATAGTTCTGGACTAAAAAAGTATAACTTCGGTCTTGTCATCCCCTCAAATGTGAATTCTATGCATGTTTCCCAGTATTTTGAGCATACTTATAACTATATTGAGCCATTCTTGATGAAGAAATTCATTTTTTAAGAACTCAAACCTACCAACAACTTGTTTATTTCGGTAATTTAATTTTTACTGAATTATAACATTCAAAATAGGTAGAATGTTAGCTTTGCATACAGGCGGCCATGGTTGAAACTCTGCATAGATTTTTTTTATTTATTTTTTTTAACTGAATGATTGTGTTTTGACATTACGCAGAAAAAACAGATTTAACCACGCCAACTTCATACTAGAGATTTAGTAATCGTGTTGACTGTATGAAAATGTAAAAATAAAATATGTCAACATATTTTATTCACGACCTTGTAAACTGACCACATGTGCCCAACTGAGGAGAGTGACTGGTGGGTGGTTGGCAGTCAACCCCTCAGTTATGTAATACAAGGTTCTATATTTCAGGTCAGTTCTATGTTATGATGTCACCACAAGATGTCCTTCAGGGTGGAGTTTCAAGAAATATCGCACCAAGGACAACATTTTCTCCCAAAGCTGGTTCGGAAGGCAGAAATACAAGAGATGAAAGGAGAAGACAAACCCACAACGAAGGTATGTATATGCAGATATTTCAGTAAAATTGCCTGGCTCAATGAATATGCAGTTATTATGTCACCACCAAAAAGCATATTGTTATGGTCTCCATTTTTTGTGACGGCGGTTGGTGGGCGGTGATAGGCAGTTGGTGGTTGGCGCCTGTAACAAATTTTAAAACTTCCAATAACTTAACAAATACTGTTTTTTCAAAATCGTCTACAAGTTTTCAGAAGTTCAAATCTTACTATAGATTTGAGATTTGACCTTCGTTGACCTTTTGAATGTTAAAAAAGGTAAAAAATGTATTTTCAACTTGCTTAAAATTGACCAATTTTATTTTCAAAATCATTTAGAATTTCGCAAAAGTTCAAATTTGACTATAAATTTGACCTTCAATGACATTCTCAAGAACAAAAAATATTCGACCTTCAATGACCTTCTCAAGGTCAAAGGTCTCAACTTGCTTCAAATTGACCAATGTTTTTCAAAAGCATCTACAAGTTCTCAGAAGTTCAAATCGGACTTTAGATTGAACTAATAATATTATAAGGAACTCGGTGGTGACATTTTGTCATGTTAATGCCATGGTATAAAATAGATTTCAAAATCAGAAAGATTTGGGGGCCTATGCCTAAATATAAACACATATGTAATGTCACTTGTACTTCCTATATTCTTGTATTTAGTTGAGAGGCGGAGACGAGACAAGATCAACAATTGGATTGTTCAGCTCTCAAAACTTGTCCCAGATTGTACCATGGACAGTACAAAAAGCGGGGCTCTAACAGCTAACGTATGTATTAAATAAAAAATATATAGGAGGAAAGAATTATTAATCTGATGTTAAACTTACTAATTATCCCATCGAACGAAGTTCGGAGGGATATAGGGAACGTCCGTCCGTCCGGGCAATAACTCAAATACCGTTGGCCCGATTTTGTTCATATTTTGTACACATATACCCTATTGGAATAGAAGTTCTGCTCGAAAGCCGATTTTCAAAATGGCCGCTCATTTCAAAATCGCGGCCATTTTAGTGCTGATTTTACAGTAATTTAGGTGCAATATGTAAAACTGTAATAGCAATATGTTTTAAATGTAAAAATATTATGAAGGACATTACTAAAGCTACAAATATAGATATTAAAGAAGCACATGGCAGCCTTTACTCGTTATTTTTATGATTTTTGCTGTAACTCAAAAAGTAGTGGAGTGATTTTGTTCATATTTGGTATGTGAATACTATAAGCATTGCAGACTGTCTAAAGACACTTTTGGTAGAAGGCTGCCATTTTGAAAAAAAATTAGAAAATGGCCGCCATTTTAACGTATTTTACTATAACTCGAAAAGTAGTGAAGCGATTTTGTTCATATTTGGTATGTGAATACTATAAGTATGGCACACTGTCTAATGACACTTTTAGTAGAAATTTTAACATATTTTACTATAACTCGAAAAGTGGTTCATATTTGATATGTGAATACTTTAAGCATGGCACATTGTCTAATAAAACTTTGGGGAGTAGTCAGCCATTTTGAAAAATGGCCACCATTTTTATGTGTGTTATTTTACAAGTACATGTATGCGATTTTTCAAAAATTCTGATGACAACTTGGCTAGTGAGCAACCATTTTGAAAATGGTGGCCTTTCTGGTGTGTTGTTTTATAACGTTTGCTATATTTTTCGTTTGTAAAAATGCCAGCTATTTCTGTTCGATGGGATTCGCTACGCTTTGGCGTTGCTGTTGTTCTGGTTACATTACAACATAAAAGGCAACTTTTGCTAGTGTTTCCCAAATCCCACTACTCTACACTATAACTCACATAGTCAGCACAAGTAAACAACATATTCATTTAACAACACTTTCAGGTATTAATGTCTAGAAAATTAAGTTTTCATTTTCTTGAACTTTCTGGATTATAATTTCACATGCTAAATATACATGTATGATCTATCATTGAATTCCTATAATAGTCAGTGCTTTGTTCCCAAATGTGGGATGACTGGGGTAATGCCTGGTATTTAGTACTTGTTGTAAAATATTGACTGGTTTTTCTTAATAAAATCACAGATTTGGTACCTTTTTGGAAAGACCAACAAGGGAAATGTAATATACCTTTGTAGAACCCAGTTTGAGTTATAAAAAATGTCTAACCTTATTTGTTGTTCTCCCATTTTAATTGCCATGGTTATTTGATACATTTGTACTGTTAAGTGTTCATTATGAAGTTTCTCTTGAATAGCACCATTCTGTTTAGTTATTGATATGCACAAAAGGTGAAGATATCTATGTTTTTACTTAAACGACAGTAACTGAAAAAGATGCTTCAAATACATCAATAGGATATTTCATTTCTGTTTCCTTCAATCATCAAACAGTTTCACTTTGTATTTTAGGTTGAATTAAGTGATTGTTGATAATTGTGTGGTTACACCTGGGCTGATGCTTGATTTTAGCAAGAGAAATCTTTTTTTCTATTCCAAGAAAGTGAATGTGGCTTCGGATAAAAAATTACTACTGAATGATAAGCTGTTAAAGTTGTCTAATGTATCAGTTACTAAAAAAGAAATCATGTCCTTGACCATTCATAAATACACAAATGTACTGTCTAAAGTGTGTTCCTTTCATTCATTGAAATTATGTTACTATGTTGTAGAGTAAAGGAGGTGTATTGGCAAAGGCATGCGACTACATCACAGAGCTTACCAAAGCTAATGCTCGAATGGCAGAGAGCTTAAAGGACACTGAACGTTTATCTGTTGACTCTGAGTTGTTACGACAACAGTGTGAGGAATTAAAACAAGAAAACATGTTACTGCGACAACAACTACAGCAGCATGGAATTGTGGCGACAGAAATTAACCAATCAGGAACCTAATAATTATTGAGTGTTTTGATTCATCGAAACTTCAGAGTTTTATATTAGTGAAGTTAAGTGTACATTGTATAAAGTGGTTTTACTTTGAATTGACTATTCTTACTTATCTTGCAAACCTCGTAAACCATATGGAACTGCAGCCACCCATGATATATCGGAACATTTGGTTCCGGAACTGAACTGAACAGAAATGTTGAATAACTGGTCTGTGTTCCGACCCGAGAGCCTAATTCCGTGGAACAGAACAAAATCGTGTATCCGTGACACCTCTACTAGTTATAGCTCTAGTCATTAAAGTCATCATGGATCCCCAATATATTTGTTTAATATCAAATACTATCTCAATGACTAAATTGAGCAACTAAAGCTATAAGCAATTATAAAATGAAAACTTAAATGATTGTTCACCTGCCAACCAGTGTTATTATACCATCAATGGGAAATTGATGAAGATATCACCCAAGATGGCTGGAGATGACAAATGAAAGACCGATCATTTTCCCTCATTCCATGGCAATTGCTAGCATTCTAAGCAATCTGAGGTTAAGTTTGAGAAATATGCATGATTATTGATTATGAGCATCGATATGTAATATAGGGTGACTTTATGGCAATTGTTTCAATGCATCGTGGGTCTACTAGTATGTACATATTGCTTAAGAACTTAGAACTACACTGTAGAGAAATACATGTATATCCAATAATAGCATTATAGTTATAGTCATACCTCGTGATACATTACCATAAACCGTTGCAAATTACAGAATTTCTTTTTTAAAAATCTTAACTTATGAATGCTTCTGGTAATGTGTCATGTGAGTTTTTATTAATTTTGATAGCCTGTTTGTCTATAGATCCTTATTGAAAGAACTGTACAATGTTGAAACAGAAATTGAGGGTTCAAGCAGGGTAGGCATCTCTATCATATCATATAAGAAATTATTAGTTTATCCATGGCAACATTATGAAAAGATTATTGAATTTGAAAATAAAAAATCAATTAATATTACTATATTATTTATATCAATATTAATCATTGTCATTAAGTAACATTGTGTGAATCAGCATTAAAGAATAATTTTTAATTAATTTGATTGGTTTGGCTTGTCATGTTTAGCTTATATCTTTGAATTGTGATATTAATTTTCTTTTGTACCATGACATTGAGGTGGCATTATTCTATTTTGAATGTCAATGTTGAGACATTATTTTACAAGAGTTTCTCTAAATTATGCTTTATAGATAAATTCTATTAAAATCTGGGTTGATTGTGTTTGTTAAGTATTTAACCACAATTATGTATTTGATATGTAAACTTAGTGTGGAACAATCATATATTAGAGGATCTGCTTTTTATATTGCACTAACATTTACAGAATATGATGTTTTTACATCAACAGTTTGGGATGATTTTTTTCAACACATTGTATTCATGTTGATGTCATATGAAATATGATCTGATGTCTGAGTCCACAATCTTTATAATTGACAGCTTAAGCACATGATTTGAGATAAATCTGTCTCCTTTGCATTCCTATTGGCTAAACATGCTGAAGTGAGACCTAGGAAGTTTTGGACTCAAAAATGGCAGATTTTCAGAACTATCAAGGAGGATTGGCTCTCAGGATCGAAACTCTATATTTTCCAACAATGAAAACCGACTATAAATTCAAAATAAACAGTTCAAAAGATTCAAACCAATATCTCAATCATTTCTCGTGAGTTTTGGAATTATTCGTTAGGAAATAAGACCAAAATTCACGATTCAATTGTTGAAGTGACCAAAATTGCGGCAGTTTGAATTCGAATTTTATATCACAACATGTCCATATATGGTACAGAATACCGATGTTGCACTCTGGGAGCCAGTCCTCCTTGAATTCCTTTGAAATGTTTAACCATATACCTACCTATTCATGCTCTATTTGAAAACAACAATGCGTCTTATTTCTGCCGTGAACATACATGTTCCAGGTATATGTCATATTGCTATTGTTGTTACATTCAAGATTTATTCACTACAATATCCAGTATCAGTACAATATCACAACACAACTTATTTAATATCAAGAGCCATCTGAAAATCCATCAATGCTATCATGCACAAATTAATATAAAGAACCAATGCAATGACTATCATTATGTGGAACATTCTGTAAACATTGGAACTGCTTACTAAAAATCTAAGTTTCTTATTTTTGGGATAACCTTATATGGATGTGGTTGTTCATATCTTATATTGAGTATGGTTAGGAAATGTGAATTGGTTACACACTATATGACACATTTTGTATCAGATGAATAGTGTACGATGTATATGAAGTAAAGAATGAAATATTAAGAAATTATTAAGAATAAAATAACATGTACAGTATATAACAGAAGTTGTCATGTAAGAAAATATATTTTATATTTAATAATACTTATAAAAACCATAACCAGGTAACAATGGTCAATAATAATTAATAAATATAAAACCATAACCAGGTAACAATTCAATAAGTACAATAATATTGATTAAAACTTAAGTAAAACATCGAACAAAAATGGTATATGAAATTATTAAATCATTATTCACAAGTGTCTTATTTCTGATCAGTCATTATTCATAAGCGTCTTATTTCTGATCAGCCATTATTCACAAGCGTTTTATTTCTGATCAGTCATTATTCATAAGCGTCTTATTTCTGATCAGTCATTATTCACAAGCGTTTTATTTCTGATCAGTCATTATTCACAAGCGTCTTATTTCTGATCAGTCATTATTCACAAGCACCTTATTTCTGATCAGCCACTCTTCACAGGTGTCTTATATCAACCATTATTCAGGTATTCACTTGTATCCAATTGTTTGTCCAATTATTCAGTTTTAGTTTTGCTGCCACCATATAAAGGGAACATGAGTAGCTTAAGAAATGCCACACAGATTCCTACAAAGTTTGGTCCCTGAAAAGATGGAGTGGTATCTTTACATACGAAACACATATTTGAGGGATATGAGTGGATGCATTCACAAATTGAGATGGTATCAGAACTTCATACACCTGTATTTCACAGTTTACATCATGGTCAAATGGATAATTCTGGATAAGCAAATAAATTGCATTTTTCGAAAAAATGAAAACTTGGAAAATGAAGTGAATCAATACTCCGAAAATATGAAATTCTAGAATATGATGAAAAATTGTTTCTTCTACAACACATTTGTTGTATGACATAATGCATAAAACATGAATAAAACTCACATATATGAAGACATCTTGAAGCAAATAGCCATAAGTCAACCAGCATATAGAACAAATGCAACTACCAACAAGCATAACAGCTGGGACTCCATCAGCATTCTTATTTATGATATTGCCAGGCTAAAACAAGTAGAAACGAATAATAATACAATTATTTGAGTTGCAATGCACAGAGAGTATGAAACACGAACTGAAATCTCAATCAGCTCTTTTTGAGTTTGAAGCAAAATAAAAAAATAGAAGCTGAGAAATGTTTTTATTATGCACATGTATATAACTTGAGAATATAAGTACATAACTGTTATAGCTTCTTTTGAACACAAACATTTTATGTTGTTATAGAACACGAACACCATGTATATTACTTATTCTCATGTAATATTTTGGCAGTTTTCACTTATGAAACTATTTCCAAAGAGAGGCAATAAAGACAGATACAGTAATATTACATTAATAGACATTATCAAACAGTTTGTAGATTATATTCCTATAAACAACCTGTTATATTCTACAGTCTATATACAGTCTATTATACATGTTATATTCTACAGTCTGCATATACCCTAATTTGGCATGAATTTGAGGGGTTTCTTTGCGAGATAAAGCCATCGTTGAATGCAAGCAAGAGAATCTATCAATATTTTGATCCATTTGTGTCAATTTTACAACGAATGTAAAAAAGTAATGTTGACATAAAATGGGAAACAGCCTGAATTTGAGGGGTTTCTTTGCGAGATAAAGCCATCGTTGAATGCAAGCAAGAGAATCTATCAATATTTCAGTGATCCATTTGTGTCAATTAATACAACGAACGTTAATCACCTTTGTTATAATGTTTGTCAAATAAGTAGATTCAGGGGTGTGAATGTAATATACATTAAAACAACAATAATTTATCATTTCTGCATCTTACCAATTCAGTGACAGGCATGAAGAGCATCATGGTACAAATGGTACTTGCTATGATCCCAACATTTTCCCTTACTAGATCGGGGTCAATCACTATTGAATACAGGTAGTAGTACACTGAGCAAAAGTATAATAAAAACAGTAGAAAGTATGGCACACAGTCTAACTGAAAAAGAAAAACACAATTTTAAAACCAATGGGAACTGATAGGTTTTGTGGCAAGTCAAATGACAGAATATCCATCTATCCGAGTTCTCGCAAGAAAACAGTTTGTAGGTAGAAAATTGAATTTACAAACTTTGTTTAACAAAAAACGATATGTTTCTTAACGTCCAACTAAGTTATATGTCTCCTTACTTAAAAGTCAAAATTATTTTTCAAGAAACCTCTCCCATTGAAATAACACAGGAGGCGAAAAATGATTTCCAAAAATGACTTTGAAGCTCTGTACCTTAAATGTAAACTCAACACTTGGCATGCAAAAAAGTTAGACAATTCAAAAATTCTTTGGTGAAGCATTATTGAATAGATATCCAGAAATCTGATTTGCCCAGCACCCACCATTTCCCATTGGTTTACATGGGAATGATAATTTATCAAAAATTAATATCAAAGTCAATTTTCGACCTTTTGTAACTGAGAAAAACAATGGCATTGGATGAAGTCAAGTTACATTATCACCTTTATCAATTGTATTTTCATTGCTGGTTATGTAAACAGAAATTCAAACATAAACAGTCTTTACACGTAGTCCGATGAGGGAGTTAGGGTTGCCAAACTTATAGGCCTTATAGGGGCCGGGGGTAGTGTACATATATGGCGCCCCAAATTGACTTGCATGAAACTCATACTCTATCGGTAATGTCATATATACATATAATATACATATAAATTGCCTTTACAGAACATGTGGGTTATCGAGCATAAAATATATCATTATGCCAATTAACTAGGCGAGTTTCAGAATATTACAGTACTGTTAAGTTGTTAACGTTATCAATGATAAATTGTATTGGTTACTGTTGTGAAGTGCATACTGTTAATCGGATCAGTTTGCTGGATTTTTCATTTATTTGTCGAATCAATTGAGTTATTCGGGTCTTTTTCCATTGATTGTTGAAGTGACAAGAATTTATGGGTCTATTTCAGATAATTAAAGTGTATTTACCTTGTTCTTAGTAACCGCTAAGTATGTAAGAGCATAAATAATCTGCAAAATAGCTCCTAGTCCGTTCAGGTTCATGATACTTGAATTGCCTATTTCTCTCCCATAGTACATACTGTTGGTACAGCTAAAACAAAAATAAATGTATAAATTGTGATAGCGATATACGTAATCAGGTATCTATAGGCGAGAGTCATATATCAGATGTTGGGCTATTGTGGTCTGCTTTACCGACGAGAATGATGATCTATACGTACATTTAAAATGGATGTACAGGGTGTTCAAAAAATTGCAACCGCAGTAAAACCGAATAACTTCCTGATTATAACCATAGTGATTTGGCACTTCAAATTTGACATAACTCATCTTCATTCAATGCTATGAGGAAAATGGTATTAGGGTTTCCATTTTTTGACCACCCTGTATAATAATTATGTTATTCAACTAACTCACTATATGAGCTATACATATGGTCTAAGGTTTCTTCTTTATTTTCTGGAAAAATGAAGACAATTTATTTATTTCGGTTAGACTTTTTGAACACCCTGTATTTCACTACAATATTCGTAAAAATATAATTCCGTGCTATAGTGTGGTTTCGCATTAGATAAAATTGCCCATGCATCAAAGCGCATCCTGGTACCCCTCGAAGCACTTACCTCACAGAGCCTATTAGAAATAGTACGAAAGGCACATTCTTCGTACTTCCTGTTTTCATCATGTTCAAACATGGTGGGCTGAAAAACATTAATATAGAACCTTTACTATTTTATATTAAATGGTACCCATCCCTATAAAAGGATGACAACCCCGACTCCCCAATTTGGATGACGTGCACGTGATTTTGCTTTTTTATTAACACAACCTGTAATCATAATCAGAAAAATACTTGAAGTTTTTTTTATTCATTTATTTCAGTTAAACATAGTTATATATTTACAGGTATGGTACAAAGATGAGGTTTCGAATTCATAAAGAGCATTTAAGTTACTCACACATTTTTCAATATACCATTTGTGAATAGACAACTTTGCTATCACTATATTTTTGTAATTCGTTACTTTACCTATTTCATATATTTGGTTGGCAGTTATATTTGGGAAATGTTTAGTCCAAAATTCAGCAACAGTTCTTTGCATTTAACAAGGCTTGATCATGAAGTATCAATTTACATTTCAATACAATGCCTTCACTCATACTCAATTCCCGGGACTCAGTTTTCGTTAATTACACGTAGATTGTTTCTCGCAAATTCATGAAGTTGAATATTATTCTAAATACAACCTGTACTAAACATATATTGCAATGGGGGAGTTAGGGTTACCAAACTTTTGGAGGGGAGTGTATACTAATGTAACGTTAGTATCGTATTTGGCGTACATGCACAGACTTCAACGCATTGCCCAACGGGGGAGTTAGGATTGCCAAACTTTTGGAGGGGAGTGTATACCAGTGCAACGTTAGTATCATATTCAGCATAAGGAATCCACAGCAAGTATTATCCTTTGAAATACTCACCAAAGCGTTAGATAGAGTGAGACTTTCATATTCAGGCATTGCATGCAACCTCGGAAGAAAGTATTGATATCGGCTGTGGGAAATCCAAGATGGTTTATCACTATTTTTTTAAAATCAATCACCTGATATGGCTATTATAAGGTAGTAGAATCGAGGTCAACTAAATCGATCCTGTATACTCGTACTTTATGTGGTATATAAACTACCCTGATTGATCCCTACAATACCCAATATAAATTGAGGTATTTATTGGAGTTATGCATGAGACTGTATACAACTTGCTTAAGTCAATGTACACATACAAACAAATACATATGTTTTATCTTAACAATAAGTGTTAGGCGTTAGTAATAACATTTATGTTTTTAGTAAATGTCAGGACGTATACAGCAAATGATGTAGCTATAGAGACTAGAGTATACTTACATGCCAGTGCAAAACATGAGAAATGTAGCCGTATTTGTAACATACTCCACTGTGGTTAGGGATAGCATCTTTAGATCTTTAGAGTATGTAGTGCCGATGTAGTGCAACCAAACGCCCCTCTGTTATCAATACCCGGTAATCGACAACAGCTGATTACGTACGTGGTCGTGGTCAACTTGCTCAATATGTTAAAAATGTTTAGATTGTTCTTTTCCGCATTTGTATGTATCCAGGTCTCCCGTCCCGCATTAATAGAAATAATCACTGCTTCCTAAAGTTATTTCAGTGCGAACGTAACATCTTAAGTACATGTAAATCAGTCAAGGCCAACTTCACTATACGCTAACTGTGCAACAAGTACTAATCAGGACGTTATGGATAAAACATAGGATGGTATAGCGTAGTGCGGGTAATATTGTTGTTTAATCGAATCTTTTTTTGTACGTATGTACGTTTAACGGATAAGGTTGAAATGACACGTCCTTGTATTTTAATTGTAACCTACTGTAGATCTAGTTTAATTTTATTTTTGCAGGCTCCCTTGCTTGACACGTTAAAGGTTTATCTGAAAAAAACGCATACGGTACAGTGGTGCGTAAGTCAGTGAACAAAGTACACTGGGAGTAAATATAATATAACCGTACCCTTTAACCGTCGTTTTTGCATAAAGCTTGCCTGTGTCTGCAAATGCTGTAAATGATGTTTGTCCGATATACGCAGGGGCGGATCCAGGAACCAACAAGGGGGGGGGGGGGGGGCCCAAATTTCAGCCTTCCCCCCCCCCTAATCCGCCAGTGATACGGTGTACTTGCAGATTTACTTACGGCTATTGAAATAAGTAGTTGAATACATAGAATTTTCTGAATAGCCCTTAGATGAAAATATGTTATTCATTTCATTGCTTCTTTGGTTGATTGAATTGAACATGGGCTTTCATTCCGCTTTCATATAATTGAACGCTCATAATTTAAATGACAGCGAACGTGTAAAATGGAGCGAATTGGCAAGCCATACATACATTTTGAGTGACAGCGTAATCGAGCCCAAAATATATTTCCGGTTGGAAAGTGTATTCCTATTATTTCTTCTAAAATCCCGATTAGATATCTAATCGTTATCATCCGGAATATATGCTGATATCATATGGTAGATATAAACATAAGAATTAAGATGGGGATATTCGGAGCTACATCAGTCGTTATTCTACCAGAATTTATAAACAAACTCCCGATCCTCAACAAAGAGGAATTAATTTTGAATGCTGCTGCTCAAAGAAAAGTCATCATGTCAAAAAGTGCTAATCATATAATACTCCAAGGATCCTGGACTGATATGCAGTCGTTACACATCTTTCTTGAACAATACGTAGGTGTCATGACATCACAATTTGACAGTGATCCCTCTATTATCTCAACTCAACGGGATGATGTTGAGCGACTGAATGCCATTGCAGATGCATGTCCTTATCAGGATATGGACACTGATGTCAATAGCATTTGTTATGGTGAACCTGCGAAACTTAAATCAAATCATGACATTGATACATCCGATATGAAGCCATGTATTGAGAACATGAAAGAACATAATTATGCTGATACAGGAAGTGACAATACCATCATTGATGAAGCAGAAACAGAAAGAACAAATACTGATAGCATCCAGAAATACAAAATCATTGTTTATGATGATGATAACTATATTGATACAGCTGAAGTGAAACCCTGTAATCTTAACATTGGTGAACCTGAAAAAATAAATCTGAATGTTGAAACTGATACGGCTTACCTTTGTAATGACAACCTGACTAAAGATGCTGAAAACAAAGAAAGTGAAGGTACACTAACCGATGATACAATTGTTACTACTACTGACAGAGATCCAGAATATAAACCCTCGAAACGTACAAAAACATTACGCCAGTTCCACAAAAAAACGTCAAATATGACTTTAAGGAAAAATAGGAAAAGTAGATCAAATTACAAAAGGAAACCGAAGAAAATCCATAAATGTGATAAGTGTGACTATCATAGCTTAGATCCTCAGGGATTACGTCATCATACAGCGCGTATGCACTGTGATGAACGTAATCAAAAATGCGATCAATGTGACAAAGCATTCGCTGTGAAGCATGACTTGCAACGACATGTACGACAATCTCATACAGATATAAAAAACATGTGTATATATTGCTCTAAGACATTTAAACTACAAAGAAGCTTAAAGCACCACTTAAAAACACATGAGGTTGGTTATATTCCTGAGAAACACTATTGTGAAATTTGCTGTAAAACATTCAGCACTAAGTTTACATTAGTAAACCATGTAAAGGCTGAACATGAAGGCAAAAGGGAGATGCATCAATGTGATCAGTGCGATAAATTGTTCACTCAGAAAGGTCATGTTCGATTACATATAAAAGCAGTACATAACCTTATTAAGGATTACAAATGTGATGTGTGTGGGAAAGTTTTTGCATATTATTCAAGTCTCCAGAAGCACAAAGTGCTGCATGCAGAAATCAGGAGCAGCTGTGTTTGTAGTATATGTGGAAAAACACTTAGTGGACATGACTCCTTAGTGCACCACATGAAAATCCACCAGCCTGGAAAATTTGTGTGTTCGCATGAAGGTTGTGGAAAGAGATTTGTCCAGAGCCAGGCCTTGAAACGCCACACAAGAACCCATACAGGAGAAAGACCATTTCTGTGCCAGTTATGTGGCAAAGGTTTTAATGATAATTCAATACTTCGTCGTCATATGATAGGATTTCATAATCGTTCGAAAACATCGTGGAATGATTCTGAACAAGGGTCACAGGTTCCCGCTAGAAATGCAAGGATTAAACGTATTAGCGAAATTGAAGCTGAAAAAAACTCTGAAAAGTATACTGAATCTGATACAAAAGCTGTTACCTTGACAACGGGTGATGCTTCTAAAGAGGATATTTCCCTGTATCACTCAGCCCCCGGCCTACATTTACTTTCACAAGCAACAGAAGCTGCCCATCCTCTCTTGCATAATACAGATGGCTCTAAAAGCAAGAATTTATTGGAGGTAGAGCAAAAAGACCCCCTCAGTCAACAGCAAGAGACAAATATTTCACTGGGTCCACCAAATAGTGCTGCAGGACAAAGTAGTGCACAGGGGGTACTGCTAGATGGGATAGGAACTCCCTGGGGTGTTGATTTACAAAAGGAAATGAACATGGTGGTACACCCAATCCAAAATTACAATGTTGATGGAAATAACAAACAAGACTCTACACCAAATGAGAAAAACCAGGATGAAAAATCTTTGTAAAACAATTTACATAGTTTTATAGTTTATGATGCCATTGGCCAATTTATTTACTTAGACTATTTATCCCATGAACACAGTCAAAGAATATGGAGAATATCATCTTTTTTGTCTGACCATTCTTCAACTTCTATCCATTTGTAAGAGTCTAATAACTTAAATACAGTAAAGCCTGTTTATATTGAACATTTTTTGTCAAAAAAAAATTCTATGTTGGTAGGTGTTCACTAAGACAGGATTTACTGTACTAGGCTAGATTACTGTTCATTACTGTAGATTGGGTTAATTTGTCGCCCTCTTGAATTTGGTGAAATTGAAAAACTGCCAATTTACATCTTCGCCAAAGTTTAAAAAGGATTCCCAGGAATTTCATTGTATGATAAGTCACTTCTAAATTAGCTCAAGGGCGTTGCTTGAACAATGAATTACAAGATATACAGGGTGTCCCGAAAGTATGGGGCCCCTCCTAGGCAGACATATTCCAGTGTCGTGTCCTCATAGTATGTGTCATATATCATTTAAAAGCTTATCTAAAGTTACATTGATTTGCCAAGTATCCTGGTTTAACTCCAAAATGGGAAAAAGTTACAGTCATTTTAAAAGTTAGTGTTTTGTCAAAATGAAGTTCAATTTTACACCACATTACTAGTCAATGTGTCCCCCCATGTTAACCATGTTAACAGCAGCTATTGTTTTCAGATATGACCTTAAAAGCCCTTCAAATAGGGATGTGGAATTTTATAACCCTCTAAAAACCTGTCAAGGGACTTTAGAAGAGTTTCCTTAGAGTTTCTACCCTCACCGTTCTCTTTTTCCAACTCAATATCCCTCTGACCCCAAAAGAATTGCTGCTGTTAAGATGGCCCGGGAGGACACATTGACTCGTGATTTGGTGTAAAATTGAACTTAATTTTGACCAAACACTAAATTTTGAAATGCCTGTAATTTTTTCACATTTGAGAGTTGAACCATGATACTTGGCGAATCAATGTAACTTTGAATAAGCTTTAAAATGATATATGACACATACTATGACGACACTGGTATATGTCTGCCTAGGGGGGGGGCCATACTTTCGGGACACCCTGTAGTAGTTGAATTGAAGGAATAGGTGTAACTACTATGTATTTTGTTCCAGTGTATATGGAAGTTGTGGTGTCAGAGCAATGTCAAAGCCGTAGTGTTTGCCAAATTAAATAGCTGACAATATGACAAAAATGGTAAAATCACCAAAAACCATTCTACAGTATTATAGTATTGTAGTCAGGTAGTATGTGTTCCATCTATAGGGTGTACAGGAAATATAGAAGTGTATAGGAAATATACAGGTTGTATGTTGTCAATTTTTCTGTATATGCTGATTGCAGTACATGTCCATCCATATATATAATGAATCGAATTCTTATATATTGCATTGCAATTTCAATGGTGTATAAAATTTTAGTAAATGAAATATAGTACTTTAAATTGAAGTTAGCAATTAGGGACATTTTTATTGTCCCATCCTGTACTCGTATATAACGATACAAACGGGAAATGGCTGCATTGATCATCAATGAGCAGATGAGGTAAGAAACATTCTTTGCATCAATTGTGTTTGTTTTTTATCAAGGATTGATTTTTTGTAAATATGCCTGTTATATTTATTATATTGTTGCATATGTAGGAGTTTCTCCATTCAATGTAAATTACAAATAAATGAATTAAGTTAATTGCTTTTTGCTTTACTAGTATTTCTTTATATGATTCCATGGAATAGAGATGAACATGTAGGTCAATGCATATTATTGTGACACGTGGGAATAATTTTTTGAATAGGTCAGTGGCGGATCCTGAAATTAACAATGGGGGGGGGGCTAATTTTGAGTCTGGAAAAAAATTTGAACCCATTAAACCCAAAATTGAGCCCAATGAAAAAACAAGAATACTTATTGATCGATTCGATTTTAAATATGACAGAATAATTACAAAGAGTAGTTACTGGTGCCTTTGGCCTGATCACGTCAATGCCATTTTTGTATTTCTTATTTCTTGTATGATAATTGAGCACCTTGATCCGCCAACGCCCCGGACCATGCAAGGCACTCCATATGGCCAAAGAATACACAAGTTACAGTCGGATCCAACATGTTCCTGTACTAAAGAGAGCGTTTAATTTTTTGAGTCAAAATAGATGGCATGGAATTCAACAGACCATGCCTATATACAGATGTAAACTCCCCTTCATAAGTTTGGCAACTTCCCCCCCAGGGTGACATGTTAAAGTCATATTTTATTTTCAAAACCTGCAAAGGAAAAATTGGCCTCATCAAGGCGGGGATGTAACTTGACTTTATTACCGATACCTCCAATTTTTTCAATTTTATTTCCACGATTACAATAGGTCACAAATTGATGATAAATTTTTTAAATTGTTATTCCAATGGTAACAAAATCACGATTCTCAGCCAAAAATGTTGGAAGCAATATGCCAATGATTATAGGTCTATAATTTCATCATCTGAAAATGGATGGGTATCTAATTAAATTGAAGATAGAGGATTTGTTTAAAATGCAGAAATGTCCAATTTCTGTCTTTGATCACATATCGCAATTCTTGTTTTTCAGAAAATACAATTACATGCAGCACTTCGAACATTTTTACACCTCGTTCCCGGGACTCTAATCCAAGTTGAGGTTCAATGCCCCGGGTGATTTACTATCACTCATTGCGACATCCATGTCATCATGATAAGTAATTTCTCCGATGGCCCGTTTAAGACTGCATCCCATAAAAAAGTAATAAATATGCAAGACTTAAGTGAAAAACAATTATTAAATCATATTTATAACCATAGCTAACTATAGACTTCGCCATTGATTGTTTATGAGTATTCTATTCCCATACTCATTTAATCTATGAGAGTAACCACACCAGGGGCGACTATGCAAATTGACAAGGAGAGAGGAGGCCACTGGTAAGGATGGGGGGGGGGGGGGGGGGGGGGCATGGGCCCAGAATTTTTTAGGGCCCCGAAATGTTTTTGGGCCAACAATTTTGTTCGGTCTCAAAAATAATTAGGCCTTTATGGGCATAACTTGGCCTTTTTGGGCCTTATTTTTTGTGCCAAATTATCAAAAATGGGCTTCAAAAAATTTAGGCCCAATGTTTGGTTTAGGGGCCCAGAACTTTTCCTTATTTGAAATATGCCCCTCCCCCCCCTTCATAGCTTCTGGATCCGCCCTGAGTGGAAACAAACAGGCTTGCCGCAAAAATGGTCCCTTTTAATATCAATCCGTCTCTCCAAAAAAGCATGGATACGAACCCTAAATCAACACGTTTTTCAAAATGTTATAGAATATATATATAATCACCAAAATTTGTTATCTTTAAAATTAGGCATTTCAATTCTATTCTACTTTTGAGGAATTTTTATATATCTTGTTGTATAATTCATTCATGCTTGACTTCTTTTACCTTATCCATTTTAGATCCGGTCTACAGTATATTTTTATATTTTTTATTAGTATCATGGTATAATGCTATTCTAGTCTATCTCTAATTCTAACTAATCTTAGCTGCAACTGCAACAGCTGAACAAAGCTGAGATATGAAGCTGAATCCAAATGTATGTTTGATATTAAACATTTAATCATAAACCATCGATTATCTCCTGAAATTTGTTATCATGAATACCTCATTGCCTTTCTGATCTTAGAGTGTCTGGCCATCGAGTGTTTGCTTCAGAATCATCTACGCCACGCAATGTGAAACTTTCTTGTTGCATGCTTATCAGTGATGACTAATGTGATCGAGAAATATCAATATTATAAGAGCGAATCTATTGTGGCATTAATTAATTTGAAATGGCATTGTGAAATAAAAAGTTTTTTTTGCACTGAGTAAATCATTTAAATTAACTATACCACACTTCAATACTAGGTTACAACTTCTAAGTTGGTCATGTTTAGTCTAACGGTAGAGTCAGCACATGTGTACCTCTCAGCTCTTACTACTAGTATATGAACTTTTTTGCATATTCTGTTTATAAATGATGTTCACACGCGAAAACTGCCGGATGACTTTCAGACATCGTTGAGGATTTTTTGGCGGCCATTTTGAATTTTCATACGTGTTTGCATTTGCATCCATGAGCAAGATATATACTCTACATCTATACATCTATATATTATGCTTTTTCAACAGTATTCATTTGAGTATATGTATACGTATAATATGTTAAGTTTCAAAAATGTTTCTGAACAAAAAGCATGCAGTATTTCAAGATGGCCGCCAGTCTGGAAATTCATTTGCGACTCATTTCCTCAAATAATATCAAATAAATTTTCATCGGTTTCCTACAAAGAACAATCTTCTGTGTCTTTAGTCTTTGGTCTTCAGTCTCTGTGTCTCCAGTAAGATATACCAACTGTTATGGTCAAACTGTAACCTACATAACAATTATGTTGTTTAAGAATCATTTCTTCGGTGATCTAGTCTTGAAAATGAATCCGACATTTTTGGCATGTAGAAGCCATACAATATGGAATACGCAAAAAGTCTTGATATATCATATGAAGGTTATCTCCAAAAGAGTCCACAAGGCACTTTAAATAACGGTAGACTAGATAAAAATAAGCGTGTCAACATGTTGGGAGTGAATTCGCAGTAAAACATGATTACGTGTAGCTTGTATCTGTAACAATAAACAAAACTGAACAGATCATGTTGTCAAGGGATCAAAATATCTGAAATCTTGAGAAAAGTACTTAGAACTTGAGATATTTAGTAAACTCGAACTCTGGTATCAATTTGGATGCATTCCAGTGATTTCCCCATCCAGAGTCCAGTTTTGAACCGTTCTTCATAAACAAATATATATTAATTTGCAATCGTAGCTCAACAAAAAATGTTGTTTTTAACGCCTTTGCTAATTGTATCTTGTTGAAGCATCCTACCCCCAAAACAGCCCTCATTGACAGTATACGTTGAAATCTCACTTTACGATTGCTCGAGCAAACTGTTTACTGAAATGCTGTTCTTGTTTCGAAGAAAAAACAAATACTTTAAAAAAAATTCGACCTATCTTTATAACTCTGACTTTGAATTAACGCTTTGAATTAAAAGCTTTTAAGAATTTAGGCAATATTTTAAAATAGCTATGGTAAGGGGGTTCACTTTAAATAATTTGAAAACTCATCGGAGAGTTGATTTTTCTGATTTTCTGATATTTCGGGAAAAGTCCAAGCAAATTCCAGAGGAATTCGTCATGGACAGCTCCCGTGAACATGTCATCAATGAATTTTTATGAGCCTGAGAGGAATTAAACATTGAAACTTTCAATTGTGAGAGGAAATTGACATGGAAAATGCTCAAAAAGGGGGTCTTTGGCACGCACATATAGGTATTAAGAGATATATTGGAGTGGAACCCCCGGGCATAGTATACAAACCATCG